GAGAGAGAGAGTCAAACAGTATTTTATTTAATCTAGGGATTTTGTATCGCTCTCATAATTGGCTGGAGACTGAGATTCTCTTTCCGTTTTACTTAGCGGTTTCTCCATCAACTTGCAGCCATTAACCCAATGCCAAGAATAGCAACAAAATTCCATAAGAAAAGCTGCGCATAAATTAAGCGAAACATCAAAAATCACTCAACTAAGAATACGCAGCGTCAAAAAAAAAGAAAAAGATTGCTTCTACTTGGAAAAAGGAAAACGCAGACGGCGGCGGGAGAAAAAAAAACTCTGCCAAACTCTCTGCTTGGCTAGTCATTGGGGGAAAAATCAGTAGAACAATGCAGTCAGTCAGTGGCATCCAATCACAGCCATAAGTTGAACCCCCCCACCCCCACCCACGCCTCCAAATGGGGAGCAACTGTTAACTTAATTGACTTTTTCCCGAAACGATTTTCAAATGGAAATGAACGCAAATTAAATTTATAAATTATCAACGAGCCGTGAGCCAGCCGGCCCTTTGAAAGCGGATTTCCTGCCATATGGTAAATGTCATTATAAATGCATATAATATACCATACAGTGCGTTTCGCGGCCATAAGTTGCTCAATGTGTTTTTATGTGAATATCAAAGCCAAACCAAATGTCCGAACACAGTTTTTATCGGCTGGCAAATATTTGTTTCTGTTTCTATCAGATTTCACATTTGCATATTTACGAATACATATCTTTGTCAAAAGGTTTTTTTTTTGCTGCTCTCACAGTTTATGAATGTCAATCAAATTGCAAACGGAAATCAGATTGGGTAGCAGGTTGTTTAATTTGCATGAAAATGTACATGAATACTCTCGCCTGATGGGAAAATTAGATTGGGACATTGAAACCTGTTTTGGGGCCTAGATAAAATAATTCAAATTTAAATTGTTTTAGGGATAAAATTGATCATTAAGGTATCTGCTATTTTGTGTATTTTTCGAACTATTTTATTAGAAGATTTCCTGTGCAAAAGTTGAACACACTCGATATAAATTTTTGCATCAAGTAATAATCCCTAAAAAAGGTACATTCGCCTCTCAAATAAACTCCAAATAATAATAATCCATTTTCCAAGGTCACTCCTAATCTATTGCTAAACCCCCCCAATTCAATTCACATAATGTGACTCATTTGCCTGGTGTTGGGGTCTGGTTTTGAATTTATTTTTGGTCTGTTATTTGGGATTAAAAATGATTTTGCAGACATTTTAGCCCGGGCCTGGCCTGACTTTTGTTTTGTGCTCTGTCTGCTGCTTCTGCCCTGTTGCATTTGCCCCTTTTGTGTGTGTGTTTGTCTGTGTCTGTGATTTTTCATTTTGTGAACAATTTTTCTTCTTCTTCTGTGTGCCTGGCTCTGACACTGACAATGATGATGGTGTGGCATGGCATCGCAGAGACGATGGACACATTTGGCGAATGCTTTGAGGTTGTTGTCATTTGCTTGCTTGCCACCTTGCCAGCTCCTGTACTTGTAGTCTTTTGTCTGTATTTGTCTGTGTGTTTGATTAATAAAGCCCACGTAACATGACAGCTAAATCTTATCACACACGTCAGCTTCTTCCTGTGGATTCCTTTCGGCCCTGCCAGCAGTCATTGGGGCAGCCATAGAGAAGGGGCTGTGGCCCACTTAAAGTATCTTTCCTTTTTCTAGCACAAAAATATACCCTTTTTGGCCATTTGTTGTTGCTGTTCTTGGGATCCCTTTTCTAGTCTGCTGACCATGAAAGTATTTTCCATGCTCTTGATGGCCTTTTTCCTTTGCCGTTGCCGGGGTAATTCAATCAATAATCCTTTTGGTCTTTTTGCCTTTCGAATATGTGTGAAAATGATAAGGGAAAGTGGCTACATCCCCTCTCTCTCTGTCGCTCCTTTTCCTTGATTCTGTACTGGTGTATGCTACTTGTACTGCTCTCCAGCAACAAGTTCAAGGACACACCCGTGTCCCTGCCGCTCGTTGTGCCCCCTGGCAAATGTCACGGCAGCAGTTTTTATCACTCTTCAAGCTGATAAATCTCAGCGATGCGTGGAAAAGTTAAAGCGCTGCCAGGCGATGGAGCTGGGAGAGGTGGTTTGTGATGGGTGCGTGATGGTTAGAGATGAGAGGAAGAGGCACAAGATAGATTCGGTGCAGGATGAGTTGAGAGCATGTTGGGGAATAAATGTGACAGTGACAGAAATATTATGTGCATGAGGCAGAGGCTCTTCTTGAAGTCCCAGCAACATGCTCATCTCCATTCGAAGCAAAACTTAAAATTAAAACATTCCATGAAGAAGTTCGCCAAATTTCTGTGCTTCGTCGCCCCCACGTTCTGGTGCCGCTGTTGCTCCTGCTGCTGCTGGTGCTGGTTCTGGCCAAGACAGAGCTGGGTTTTTATTGCCTTTTTATACCTGTACTCAAAAAGAGTCAAGGGGTATAATGTATTTGTGGTAAAAGTAGAGAATGACCATATCTACCAGATTGCCGAATCTGAGTCAGATTGGGTTCATTATAATAGCCAGAATAAAGAAATTAATTTTCAGTTGCTTCCCCCACCTCCTCCAGCAAGAGGATAGCTGTATTCTACATAAATCATAAGCTCACAAATTTATATACTGACTGAGTAAAGTAGAGTCGCGTCCACAGAAGCGACTCACACGTTCCTTCTCGTTCTGCCTGTTGCCAGCATTTGTAAGTTGTGTAATGTCTGTCTGTCCTGTCTGTCTGTCGTGTCTTTCTGTCCTGCCTGTCTGTCGTGTCTGCCTGTCTGGCAGTTACTTACTGCTCTCCGTCTGCTCCAACTGCGACTGTTGTATTGCCCTGCTGGAATTTATGCGACTTTTGCAGCACTTCCCAGCAAGAGTAAGGAAAAGTGCAGAGAGAGATAGAGAGACGGAGCATGACTTTTGACCTTTGGATATTGATGGCGAATAATTGGAAAACTTTTGGATGGAATATAGTGAAATCTCTCTGTGCCTCTAAGTAACTCAATTAGAGTTCAATCGGCGTTGCTGCCTGACCAATCGACAGTTGGTACAGTTGCTCACCCATAAATATAGATCCTTAGCTAATCTGCACTTAGCTCTCTTCCATCTCTTTCAAAACTTGATCTTATTACCATTTTCTTTACTTTTCGTTTGCCCTTTGCTGGCCTGTACATTTTTATGCCCAGCCATGTGTACGCTGCTAAAATTTTATGCGATTTTCTAATTCAATTTGAAATGTAACGATATTTTCATGATTTCCTGCTATTCCCCCCTACAGCCACCCCTTGGCTTGCGCAAATCTTATTTTATTTGAATTGAATTGAATTTGATTTGCATTTGCATTTGGCCTGCCACAAAAGTTGTGCTTGCTGCTGCTGATTCCTTGCTGGCTGCATAATTTTCTTTTTGCTGGACTAATTTCTGACAGATTTTTTAGTGGAAACTTTTTCAATCTGTCAAATTGTTTTTGATCACTGACAATATGCCAATGGGAATGAGCTGGGAGTGAGAGGGCTGCGCTGGGCTGGGCTACATAAATGAGCGAATGAATGAGTGAAATGAGAGGGAGTGATAGCAAGAGTTCAATTTAGCAGTGACCCGAGAGCTGCTCCATCATCGCGTGAAGCCGTGCAACATTAGCCGCTAATTGCAGCAGCCAGCAGACGTCAGCACTCAAGCGGTTCCTCCTCCTGGATATTCTCTATAAGCCCCACATCCCACCCTGCACAGAGTGGAATGGAGTGGAGTGGCAGGGGGTTGGGTGCTGGCAGAGATAGTCACAATTCACAATCTGCGCTGCAGTGCATGTCATTCGCGTCGCGTCGCGTCGCTTCGTTCGTCGTATCGTTTGCATTGCTGCTCCACTGCTTGTTGAAATTTTATGCTGGTTCGTTTATGGTTCACTTGCCACAGTCATTGGGCATGGATGGAGCTTGGTGCTTGCCTCAAGTGGAGCCTCTCAGCAGGGGGGTCCAGCACTGTGCACTGTGCACTGTGCTCTGTGCGCTCTCTGGTTCTAATTAATCGTGTGAAAGTCGCGCCATCATTTTTCTTTGTATTTTATTCAGCGCTGTTTGAACATTTTAATTAAATGTTTGCAGCGGTTTTCATATTAAGGCAAATATTAGAAGCAGAAGCAGAATAATATTTGCCACTAACTACAGAGAGAGAGAGAGAGAGGAGAGAGAGTGGAGCAAGAGAGGGAAGGGATTGGTGGGGGGTTATATAACCGGATGTTGCAACAACTTCCGCTTGCAATCGCTTTACAATACGGCACGCCTCCCTCAAAACAAATCTCAATGCATCGCTGGCTCAGGGGCAGCAGCACTTTAGAGGAGTGGCAAGCACTGAGAGAAATAAAGAGGGGCTTCCAAATACACTCCCAGGGACAGATGATTGCCCCCTATCAGTGTTTGCCTCAGTGTAGCCATTCAATCAAATGTCAGGGTGGGCGATTTCCCCCCTTGGATGTACTCGTAGGTGGAACACAGTTGAGTGCCCCATTTCGCTTTTCACGGCTCATTGTCAACGCGATGAACAGTTGCCAGCGAGATGTGTTGCATGCCTCAGCCTCAGCCTCGGCCGAGCCGAGCCCTTTATTAATTTCAATGCATCAGCCCTGGCACTTCTGGAGTGCCGCTTCGGATGGAGGACTCTTCAGCCCCAGATCCGACAACTCTCCATCCATTCATCCATCCATCCATCTTTCCATTCGCATTTGCATGCCTCAACGAGCGCTCGCTTGCTGCCTGGAAGTGGCTGCATTCATCAATGAAAGTGGAAAGGGGCGAAGGGGGAAGTAAAGTGGTTTATAGGCTTTAAAATGTGCCCACATATTTACCTAAACTGTCTGCCCTCCCCTGCGGATGTGGCAACTTCATTTACACACAACGTAGCCAATGTTCATTCGAGGAATCGAGAGGGTTGAAAGACAACGAATGACAATGAAAATTCCCATAATCTAACCAATAATTTCCCCATTCTCTCTCCGTCCCTTTGCAGATGCTGAAGCACGTACAAATCTCACCGCTGCGCAATCGGTCCGATTCCGTGTCGCTGCGTTCCTCGAGCATTGCCTCCTCGTGCGCCAGTTCCATGTGCGGCAGTCCAGAGCCACCCACGGATCTGCAGCGCACACCCTCGCGTGCCTCCAGTTACTCCAGCCTCAATGAGCAGGTGCCACAGGTACGTACAGAGCTCACACTCTGCCCCAAAGTATCTTTCTAACAATAATATCTTTCATTTAGACCACCATCAAAGTGTACACCAACTGCCTGAAGATCGACATTGAGTACAAGACACTGGGCATACAGTGGGACACCACCAGCAAGGAGGTCATAGCCATGCTGCTCAGACGGTAAGTTGATCACATAGTATCCCATTGAGAGAACCCATTCCAATTGCTTTACTCTTTCCCCGCCAGCTTGAAGATGCGTCATCGGGATCCGCGTCTCTTCTACCTCTCCATGGAGGTGGCCGTGCGTCGGGCGGGCGTGAAGACCATTCTGGTGCTGGACGAGGACACCCGTCCGGCCATCATGCAGGCCTGTCATCCCAAGGGCGAGTCCCGCTTCTGCCTGCAGCTGAAGGCCGGCGGACTGATCCGTGTGCACACGTCGGCGCTGCAGCCCACTTCCCAGTACAAGTCGCTGGTCATCAGCGAGGAGACAAACAGCGACGAGCTGCTGCAGCTGCTGCTGGGCTGCTACAGCTCGCTGGAGCCCGTCGAGAACTTCTCGCTGTACGAGGTGTGTCCCGGCCAGGAGTGCCAGCGGAAATTGCATCCCGATGACCTGCCGCTGCGCGTGCAGGCGGAGCGGATGAAGCGGGGCGAGAATTGCCACTTCCTTGTGCGTCGCACCCCCAACTATGCCCGGCGCCGCCAGCTGTTGGCCAACCTGAACGAGGCCATCAACCAGAGCTTCGAGAACGAGGCCGCCCTGGCCACCGGCGCAGCTGTGGATGATGCGACCAGCCTGCTGGAGCTCTCTTTGGAGTCCGAGCTGTCGCTGTCGGAGGATCTGCGCAGCTGCAGCAGCAGCAGCGAGGATGCCGAGGACGAGGATGAGTGCGCCAGCAGTTCCGGCTCCTCGGACAACTCCACAGAATGCGCTCTGCGCCGCGACTTCTATCCGCGTCCCACATCCATGGCCGCCTCGCCCACGCCGGCGCCCGTCGGTGTCGCATCGGTGTCTCCGGCCCGCGCCTACAGTCCGGTGTACAACATCCGCGAGATACGCACGGCCTCGCACTCGTTCTCCTCGCTGGGCAAGGACAAGAAGCTGCTGGACATTCACATGAATGCCCGCTACGGCCCAGCCGGCATCTACAGCCGACTGCTGCCCGTGGCCGAGACGGAGGTGCTGGACCTGAACGGCAATGCCACCTCGAAGCTGTCGGCGGAGGCTGTCAACAACAATCCGGCCAAGGGCTTGGGACACTTTGTCTATCTGTAGCGCGAGGATTAGTCAACCTGTAAATAGAGAGCTAAATATCAACTAGGAATACGCGTACTAGCACTTAAACTAAGTAACCAAGGCACCAAGACGTTGAAAGCCTCCAAAAAAGTAGAAAACAAAACGATTACCGTTTGGACCAAAGATGCATTTGTAGGTTTAGCATTTAACATTTAACATTTAGAATGGCAAGTGTAAATATTTAACTATAGTTTAACCTGTTAGCTAAGACATAGGACATAGGACTTAGTGCTTATACTAAGAGGGATTTGTGGGCCAAGCACTGACATCTGTTGTGGCCACAAATCCTAGTGTATCACTTCGCTTAGTATAATGCTAACAATCCCAAATCAATCAATGGAGTCTATAGCTTAGTGCTTTAGTCCCGCAACTAAAGCGTCGATAAGTCGTTAGAATCTGATTAACATTCATGTGCGAGTAGAAACCAAAAGATATTGTAATAATAAGTCTCGACAACTGTATGTAAAACTCAAACCAGAAACTGTTTCCATGTCACCATTCATTTGGCGGAGAGGTGCTGCCCGTTCTTATCGCCCGGGGGCTTAAGCATCCGGCTCTTGTGCATTTTAATTGCATTTAAATCAAGTTAAACACGTGAACGATGATGGCAAATGGCCATATAAATGGGCTCACAATTAATGCGGCCAGCCACGCAATTTGTATGGCACCGAGTCTCTCAGTCTCTCTCCGTTCCGTTTCGTTCCGTTCCGTTCCGGCTTTTGGTGCCGGCTTACGGTTGAATGATTTATGCGGCGTATGCGTAATTTTCATGGCAATAAGCTTTTGTTTTTTAAATGAGCTTACTTTACATAATGACCAAAAGGATTTAAAAGAGTAAAACCTTCACGAGGATTTTGGCAAATGAGATGAGTGGCCCGCCGGCCACCCAATACCTCTACGCATTATCGAGAGACCCTTACGACTTCAGGGTCAGGGTCAGCGACGAGTCCCTAATTTACTAAACAAAAAAAAAAAGGTCACCTTTTTAGGGGCCAAATTAAAAATCAACAAATTTGCGAAATCAAATCCAATTTGTTGCATCCTAAAATAATAACTCTGCCAGCTCTGGCTCAGGCTCGGGCTCGGGCTTTGGGTCCCAAATTATCCGTTTAGAAGGATACATTAGATGGAGGATGCTTGCACACGAAAAAGGACTCGGATAGCCGTGATTTTGGGTTTATTTTTGTCTAGTAGACCCACTCACAGTCCGTGCACACTTTATAGAGAGAGAGAGAGCTTAAAGCTGAATTTTGTATCTGAAATGCATTGCCAGGCTCATGAAAAATGCAAACTTTGTCCAGTTCCGGGAATTGCCATGAGGCGAAATGGGACGATGGGACGATGAGCAAACGGAAACGGATATGCTAAACAGGCTCAGAGCCAGACTGCCCAGCATAATAACTTAAGCACTTTATAAGTCGAATTGTAGATTTTTCGAGTCAAGCAAAATGTTTTTGCTTTTGCTTTTCGGCTGCATCCGAGTGAGTTCTGCACAAAACAAGATAACTGAATGGTAGTAACAGGAATGGGGGGCAGACATGCATATGTATATGTATGCAAGTGAAATCTGCTTGCAATCGGACATCCTGTAGTGGATGCTGTGTGCCTGGTACTTTTGCTGCTTTCTAGTTGGCCACATGACCAAAGTGACCAACAGAGTTGACCCCAGACCCCAGGGGTGGTGAAGGAGGAAAATCACACTAACCTTTTGGAGTGTGATTTACCTCCCCTTTACCTTCACTCTTCATTTGAGTTCAAATAGAAATTTGGAAAAATTGGAAAGGAAAAAATGACTTACCAGGCAAACAGAAATCTGCAAAAAGTCGATCCATCATGCTGGAGTTTATGTGTATGCCAGAATTTATCTTGTCTTTTGTGGGGTGAAAATGCAACCACTCTTTGCCATGGGTAAACTGAAAAGTTTTCTTCAAGTTTCATTTGTCTTTTGCATTACACTTAATATATTTCATTCAAATTAATTTCGAGAGCACACACACACACTCACAGAGAGAGAGAGAGAGTGCCAGCCAGCGCCACAGTCAAAGTTTCCCACTGCTGTCGGCAGTTGTCTAATTCCAAGTTGTTCTGTCAAATAGCAGGCCACTTGTTGGAAAGCCCGGCACTTAACTTTTCGCATTGTGCCTGGCAGTGGCCCAAGTCCTGGCAAACTTATCTAAATGGCTGCGATAGAATCAAAGTAAGAGTGCATACATACATACATATGTATATGTATATCAGTCAAGATGCTGAAAACATGGCTGTCCGCAGCACAGATTGAAACTAAATGTGGGAAAAATAAAGATCCCGATTTTTAACGGTGAAAATTGCATAAAATTCTGTTGTGGCATTCTTTCAGGCTGAATAAAGAATTTTGATACAAAATTTAAAATATAGTTAAGAGGAGCGTAAGTATTTTTATAAAAATTATGGCACTATTTCAGGTTAAGAGGTAAGTATTTAGACACTTTCTAGCTTAGAGGTAAGTATTTTGATCAAAATTATGGCATACCAGCTGAGCTGAGAACAGCTTGAGCAACATTTACTGGCTGTAAGCCATCGAGGATACTCTCCCGATCACGAGAAAGTGTGATCAGACGACAAATTACTCGACGCAGCGAACTGGCAGCAGCGATGCTCGCGCATTTTTTAAACCCAGATATATAAAAAAACACTGCCTACTTTTGGGGCTGGAAGTTTTAAAAAAAAGTATGGCATACTTGTAGGCTGGTCTATTCGGCCAATATATTACAAAATTGCATGTAGAAGGCGAATCCTTTTAGTCCTGAAGTCCTTGATGGTTTTAAAAATTAGGTGAGACCCTTCCGCTCACGTGGACATGCGTCACGTCTGGATCGGTTGAGAAATGGCGGAGTTATAAAAATTTAATCCTTAGTCCTTGATGTCCTTGATGCGAAACTGATTGCACACGATCGGGGGGTTTATCCGGATCACGAAAAGGTGTGGCCTGACCAAATCGGTCGACTAACAGCCGAGATATAGCGTCACAAAAAAATACTGGTTTTTTCTTTCTGCCGCTATATCTCGGCCAAATAGGGGCAAATCCTTGAAGGACCTACTTTTTCAGGATCCTGAGGATCCATACTGTCGATCCCCATCCAATAAAAGGACATCGGAGGAATACTGGTTTTCGCAAAAAGCATGATGTAACCATCATCATTTTCGCGAAAACCAGTATTTGCCTAATGTCCTTTTTTTTGATGCCAATCGATGAAATGGGTTGTCCTGATTACAAAAAGACATGCCACGCCCAGATCTGCCCCTATTTGGCGGAGATATAGCTTGATTAAAAAAAACCAGTATTTTAAATATTTGGCAGCCAAAACTTTGGGACGCTATATCTCGGACAATTGTGCTCTGATCGGGGCAGGACTTACCTCTCCAGAATCCTTAGGATCCATTCTGTCCATCGGCTATAGTTTTTCCCCGATCAGATGGAGGCGTGGCCCACCCTGATCAAACTGAAAATGGCGAAGCAATAACGGATTTTTAGCGGTTCCAAAGCAATATCCTTATTATCCTTGATGTCAAACGATAGAGGACTTTAACCCGATCACGAGAAGGCGTGACACGCCCAGATCGGACAGGAAATGGCTGAGTTATACGCATTTTAAAAAACGATATAAATTGCTGCCAGTTTCGTATCGGCCAGCTTTTGACCTGATGTAAAAAAGAAAAACCAGCTACCTTCTGCTGATTTCTGTTCGCCTGGTACTCGGTCTGAAAATTTTCTAGTTTTCGGTCATTTGAGCCTAAAAATTTCAAACAATTAGTTCCATGATTGGCCGTCGGAGATTTGGGGCGCCACTGTGCAACAACAAAATTTTTATTTGCACAGTGGCGCTCCCGTTTTTGAACGCCGATTTCTGGAACTACCATACTTTAGTTCCAGCAGTGGCCGTTGGTGATCATGGGGGCGCCACTGTGCAACAAAAATTGTATTTGCACCGTAGCGCCCCTAATGATGAACGGTGGTTTCTGGAACTACCATACTTTAGTTCCAGCATTGGCCATCAGCGCTGTTGGGGGCGCCACTGAGGAACCGAAAATCAATTTTGCACAGTAACGCCCCCATTATAAGTGACGGTCACTGCTGGAACTAACTTTTTTTTTTCATATCCGATTCATGTCCGATCAGGTCCAAAACATGTCCGATTCATGTCCAACACATGTCCGATCATGTCCAAAACATGTCCGATTCATGTCCGATCATGCCCAAATCATGTCCGATTCATGTCCAACACATGTCCGATCATGTCCAAAACATGTCCGATTCATGTCCGATTTATGTTCCTTGCATGTCCGATCATGTCCAAAACATGTCCGATTCATGTCCAAACATGTCCGATTCATGTATAGAACATGTCCGATTTGGGCGAGCCACACCTTTTCGTGATCAAGAGAATCTCCCGGATCGTTTGCAATCAGTTTCGCATCAAGGGTTAAGGATATAATTTTTATAACTCTGCCATTTGGCAACCGATCAGACGTGATAAGTGATCGTGAGCTGGGGGGTCCCATAAACGACCTCAGGGCTTTTTAGCAAAGCCAGGCCCATAAGTATGCAGTTGTTTATTAATAGTTCTGATATTCCTTTCAGGACATGTCCTTCTCGTGATCGCGAGAATGTCCCCGATCGTTTTCGACTGCAATTTGACTAGATTGGCTTCAACGATAATTAGGATATGGCCTTTTTAATGTTATATGTAAGTCGCTGTGACTATTTGTACAGCCACACAGCTTATGTAGAGCAATGCGTGTGCTGAGCGAGGACCTTTATTTTTTATCCAATAGCGTCAGATCACCAAAATACTTACTTTTCCAGGATCGTGAGCATCCAGAATTCCCATCGGCATACGAAGCAATGCAACATACTTACTTTTATGCTCAACAAGTTCGTCATATGGAACGAAAATCTAGAGTAATCTAAGCAAAGCCGCTTTTTGTAACTCTTTCAACTAATTGCCATAAGCCGTTGGGTATATTTGTACACGCTTTTCCGCATCTACCGGCAAAAACGTTTGTTTTTACACAACTAATCGGCTTAGGGGACAATCTGCCCACATCCACATTCACTCCAGTCCAGTCCAGCTCGTGAGTGGGTGCACACCCACTGCTCGCACCCACTTGCCTCCTGTCATTTTGTCCTTTCGTCCTTGGCGACTTTATTGCAATAGATTTCGTTGAGTGGCGCCATTTTTTTAGTTGAATGATTCGTAATACCGGCTGCCCCGCAGGCTGCCATTGTGTCAATGGCTGGAAATTAATTTCCATTTTCCCCATTCCCCCATTCCTTTGGAGCGACAGTTTATGAAGTATTGGCTCATCCCCTGCATTCAAGCGTCCCCGTTCTAATGGCATATTCAAATAGCAAGTTTTGTTTTAATAAATTAAGCTGCCTGGCATTTTAATTAAAAGTCCTTTGCATAACGGCAGAAAGAGTTGCCTGGCTTCTGTTCTGGTCCTGCGTGGGCCAAAGTCTGGCTAATTAGTATACTTTGCTTTCATGCTGTAAAAGTACATTTTGGAAATGAAAAGATTGATGTAACAGAAGGCAGCCCCTTGGACCACACATACATATGTGTGTTGCTGCAAAAGTCTCACAAATTATACAGCTCCTGTCCATAAACTTACCTTTACTTACCTATATGTGTGTACCTACTCATGTGGCCATAGCCTGCTTCAGATTGAATTAAACCACAGGAGAGGCAACAACTAATTCTGGCCACTGAGAAAATAAACCAATTTTCATCTCACATTGCCACCCAAGGGAGCTGCCTCCTCTCTGCCATCCGTTCAAAAATGTGTGCCCTTTAATTTTCAGTCGAAAACAAACAAACATCTGGTGCTCCTACAACACTCATACGCACTGGGGTACACACATCCCAAGCACTTTTCCAATTGGGAAAACGTAAGGATTTATTCCCCCAGTCTGGCTGAGATTTTGTCGGCTTTCTCTTGATATCTGCTGGCCTGGTACTTGCATTTTTATATACTTTTTATTTTTTCCAACAAGTTTTGCTTAAAAATACACTGAAGTGGGGTATTTGTATTTTTATTTTAAGTTTGCAGACATATTTTCAACGATTCGTTATTTCCGAACTGTCAGGAGAGCTGGCTTGAAATACACTTTCGATTATATTTTTATTTACCTTATTGCAATATTTTGTGGCATTTGTAGCAACTATTACTCGCAACTGCTTCAAGGAAAGTCTACCTCTGACTTTTCTGATTGCCTGGCACAAAGATTTGTTCAAAAAAATGGCTAAAAACCAATTAAATATAAAAAATAATTGGGTTGCATTTCTTTTTCTAGCAACTTGCCGGGCCAGTTGAATTTCATAGCATACCAGGCGCTCCGAAAACAAAGAAGCAAAAGAAGTTCTCTGGTGAATTTCTGTAGTTTGTATGGCCTTCTATACATAGCTCCGGCCCCATCCTACACATTTTGATTGGTCGAAGAGTTGGCACGTGGCAAATGCAAATTCAAAAAAGATTTCTCACAAATTGACAACTGAAATAACAGGAATATGAACAATGTTGGATTTATGCGTAGGAAACCTTTTAACGAATTAAGTCTTCGTATTTTTACAATGGATTTTCCTGGCTAAATAAATTGCTGTTTTAATTGGAATTCAGTAATTTACTAACTGGCAAAAAAAGAAGAGCTTAAACGATTTATCTCAGCTGTCAGATCCTTTGCCCACTTTAAATGTATTTTTTATGCTGTTGCTGGCTTGCTTAATAAGTATAATTAACAGGAAATATAGGGATTCCAATGATTCTTATCCTGCAGCGGACAGAAGGTCGACTGCCAATACGAGCTGAGACCACATTTGATGTACAGTCCGATTTGAATGATTTGTTGACTCCACTGAAAGAAAAAAGGAAATTGTTAGGACTGCGTTAATAAAGACTTAAACTAGAGCTGACCAGATACACTGCAAAATTTGTTGTTTGAATTTATTGTTGCGTCGCTGAATGGGCTGCAAACACATGGGAAATGCATAAATCATGGAGTCTTATCTTCGGGGCCATTCCTTATCCGGGTGGTTCGGCGGGACGTCCATGATTTATGTCAATCCTTAGTCTCTGAAGTTGCTCTTAATTATGAGCAATCTCTCTGGCACTCTCCAATGACTCACTCAAAGTGGAGCTGCCGCCCGTTTCGGGGCTTCTTGTTGCGGAACGGCGCTACTTGACACAGTTTATGGATCGCCCTTTGCATCACAAAGGAAGACCCGCGATAAAGGGTCACAGAATGGCAAAAAAAAAAACGAAAAAGGAAAAGATACGGCCATAGCAAACAACGAGATTCAAGAGATTTTGCAGGGATTTTTTTGATTTTTAATTTGCGCCAACGTCAGACAATCCTGGTAATTGAGTTTCGGGCCAAAGGGCTCTCGTGAATTTATTGCAGCAGTTTTCCAGTCACCTTATGACAGCCTCGAGGGAGAGTACGACTGCGAGTACGAGTACAGAATGCTGCGCTTAGCACAAAAATTCGACCAACAATTCGAAGTACGCACATATATTTTTAATGCACTTTATTCCATTCTTCTCTTTTTGTTTAGTGCGGTGCGGTGCGGTGCGGTGCGGTCCGGTATTTCTTTTTGGCAGCCGCAACGAAGCGTGTTCTCCGGCTGACCATAAAACCACTGTCATCAGATATCGCAAGTCAGGGATATAAATAGGAAATGCAGAAATTGCAAACGCAATTGCAACTTGCAATTTGTGTCACGGTTCTTCCTGCAAATTGCAAGAAATGATTGTGCTGGGAATGGAATTCATCCAGCCGGTTAAATCTATTTAATGTATCTGATTGATTGTTGCAGCATGACAAATGGATAGAGCTAAATGGTTAAGCTAACAAGTAAACCTGCAAAACATTATAAATTATTACCCCAAATTATATTAATTATTAAGTTTATTCTTCATATTAAATGACATTAAAAATAAGAGCTTACACTAAAAACTTGACAAGTTGAGACAGAGAGAGAGAGAGAGTTAAGCGAGTAGGCTTACTCGCACTCGAAGACTATCCGTTATTCGGTTTGTTCTGCTGTTTATTTTAGCTTTAAAAAATGGCTTACTTACGTATCGTTAATACAACTCGATAATGGCTAAATTCTACGCTGGGCTCTGCGGGCTGTACCCGTTCGTTTTTAATTGCCAATGCAATCCAAGCAATAGGCTTCTCAGAAAATCACAATGAAATTATAGCTAGCTAAGGACTGAACGGACTAGAAGTGGCTAGAAGGTGGCGGTCCTGGGATGGGTTGCGGTTGCGGTTGCGGTTGCTGCTGCTGTTGAGTTCTACGAGCGTCGGCCGAAGAGCTTGAGGGGCGTCTTCCAGCAGCTTGGCCATCATAGCTGCTCGTTGCCAATGTGCGTGGTGTCCGTGGGCAGAGAGTGGGTCTGAGGGGGAGGAGAGAGTGTGTGTGCCGTGCCAGCCCGCTTATAGCGGATCATTGGGTGTATTATTGCCATGGAAAACACTTACCTGCAGCGCCTTGCGCTTGTGGTGCATCGACGAGTTCGAGGAGCCCTTGCCCTTGCCCTTCTTCCACGAGCAGAGGAGCAGCTCCTTCATGCCCTTGCGAAAATTGCGACTGAGGAAGGCGTAGAGCAGGGGATTCACGCCCGAATTGAAGTACGTGACCAGAAAGGTGAGTGGCGTTAGCAGCGCATTAAAATTGGAATCACCGCGATACGAACGTGACCTGCAAAGGCATAAACATGGAAATAACTATCTATCCAAACATAGACGCACAATATACAAAGTGCCATGCCATATGTAAATGAGCATCTGTTGGTTTGGTTTGGGTTGGGGTGGGGTGCATTCCCGCTACCGAAAAACAACCAATCCAATGCATTAAATTAAACCCAGCGGCTGGCACCCACCACACGAAAACAGACCACACTTTGCGGTCTGACCCCAAAGTAGATTGGAATCCCCGAATATCCAAACTTTGCTGCTTACATTCGCTACGGGTAATGGGAAAATAACTTTTGCCTCACAAATATTCCACTCGCTGGAGTTTGTACTTTCAAATTCATGGGCAAAACTCCTTTGGCGATGGGCTCTACTACCTACTCCCACTGGGACATCCATTAATTATACACCAGCAAGAAGACTGTCACAGAGTCTGCTATATATTTAATTATAAATCCACTTAGCGCGTAGGATTAAATAACCAACGCACCAAAGAAGGAAATAGATATCTTAAATCTAGTCAGGAAATATTCATTCAGCTGTTACACGGCTTAATATCCGACTCGTACACCTCTGCTGGCTGCTGGGTGCTGGCTGCTGTCTGCTGGCCAGGTGATTAAGCTGCTCCTGTTGTTTGCAGGCCAAGGGACATGAGCCAAGGGCAGGGCAGGGCAGAGGGCAGCCAAGAACTTGCCTAATGTACCAAGGAATTTGGCCAAAAGCAAAGTTTTTCGCCGCCTTCAACTACGCAGCATAAACTTTGTCCCAAAAACTTTTTTGACATGTTCCGCAATATTTAAAGCAGCAGAAGTAAAAATTCGTGTACTTCTCTCTGTTTTTACCCTGTACTTTTGAGGGTATATATTTAATCAGAGATGGATTTATTCTGTGCATCTAATATTGTCTGCTAGTTAGATAATTTCCGGTGAGAAATCGCTGTGATATTTCGAATTTTATGACCACCTATCGGTCATAAATAAATGTAAAAATTGTGTCCGAATGTTGCATAGACTTTTCAAGCATTTCATTTAATTGAATATGCAAATAAATAGAAGACTTTGGGGGTGCAGCATAGTCGACAGCAGCTCGACTATAACTGAACCACTCTTTCACTTGTTTTGTAGCTTTGGTCGGGGCGAAAAACTTTGAGCCAACTGTCAAAATGTTTTGCAGTTGTTGTCCGCTGACAATTTGCGTTGCACTTGCAAGTGGCACAAGTCCACAAAGACAGGAGGGGAGGACTGCCTGCTGCTGGAGAGGAGACTGCTGGTTCTGGTGGCTTGGACATCTGATTGGGGCACTTGAGCAGAGTCCTTCGCTTTGTTGTCGCCACTGCTCCTTGAGTCTTGAAGTGGCTTCTGACCAAATTTAAATGCTCCCTCCGAATCGGGGCCAACATATTTATAAAGTGTGCATCACGGGATGTCCCGAGACCAGGCGCGCCGCGCCATGGGGTGTCGAATGCCCCGGGAATGCCCCTGGATCCCTGGATCCATCTAATGAGGCGACAGTTGGCAACTGCTGGCAGTTGTTATCGCTATCACCCAACTGGCCGGCCTTCAGTGTCATCGCTGTCATCACTGGTGTCCCTAAGTGCTTTCTGGGCTAATAATGAACACGTGCCAGCAGGCACAGAAGGACGCAGGACTAAGCGGAGAAAGTAAACCAATTGTCAGCGCGTGGCAGTTACCACGGCATGGGAAGGGAAGGCACTCGCAACATGATACCGGAATGTGTCCGTTTTGACAAGTACATGATGGGACCATCAGAATGGATGGGGATATCTAAATTTAGAGGTACCCAAAGGAGTTGGAATCGGTGGTTTTTCAATTACTAGCATTTGATTTATTGCCAGGAAGCTCCTGGAAGCGCAGACGCTCGCTCTGGTATGCCAGCTATTTATCTTGGTTGGGCTGTCAGCCACTAAGAGTTTTCCAATTATAATTAAAGTATTTTATCTCGAGATCTACAACGTTGCACGTTTGAGAGGTGCCAAAAAGGGAAAAGCATTTTTATCTCCGAGTAAATTTCGTGCTTTTATTCTGTGATTTTCGGCCAACAATTAAGCGAACGAATTACGGAAAGATTTTTGTACTGGCACAAGAATAATTGAGATTTATAGCTAATACTTAGAGAACTGCATAAATCACAGAAGTAAGTGAATCTTTTTGGCGCGGTTGAAGTTTAAGTAAATCATATATTTAATGCAGAAAAAATACTCTATACGTCTGGCAGCTGACACTATTAAGAACATATATCGGACTTAATAAAAAAAAAATAAATAAATACGAATTTAATCCACATGAAGAAACTACTCAAAGTAGGTAAAAATAATCCATTTAAGGAGACTATTAAATGGAATAAATCGTCAAAACTTAGGGAACAGTTCCTCAGTCAGGAGTCGTTATTGTCGAACAGTCTGTCGAACAGTCTGCGCAGTGAAGTGGATATCCTGTCAGGTTAAGGATGTTGTCAATAGGCTTTTAAACAGAATATTAAAACAGCAGCTCAGATTGGCAGCAGTCAGACATTGAAATTAATTCGTGCACATTTCGAGAGCACATAATTCGCACTTTTTTGTGGCCCACTGTGTTCAGGAACTTTATTTATTGTTGGGATAATATTTATTTCTATAACCCTGACCACAGGCCCACTAAATCATGTCTTGACATAATTGCTTACTTGTTTGCCATATCCATTTTAATTTCCTTAAAGACTTGGCACTTGATATTGGACGTGAATGTAAATGTGAATGTAGACGTGGACTTGTGTGCGAACTTGTACGTGGATGTAAACACTCCAATGTTTGGTTGTGAAATGTTTACCTTTCGTGGAGAGGAGACCGCAGCACTGCCACCTGCTTGGACAGCTGTCACGAGCTGTTCGACATTGAACCTTCTCACTCAACTGTCCGTTAACTGTCACATAATGGCCAAGTTAAGGCAAGCAGCAAGCAGCAAGCAATTCCCACTCAACCGGACACACAAAAGCAAACGGAAAAGCACAAAAAATCACCAGAGAGTTGACTCCAGAATGCCACATTGAATTAAAAGAATTTTTGAAACCCACTGTCAATTTGTTATGAAGCTATTTGTCCTACACGTACAAGCCGAATGGGAACGCGAATCCATTCGAATGAATGGACGTGGATGTGCTCTCCTACAGTTGGCCAATTTATAGCAAAAGAATTCTTCATTCTGTCGGTTTTTCTCTCGCTCATTGTAATTGTTGCTAATGGAATTTGTTGACATTTCCAGACAATTCACAAAAAAAAAAGGAGCGCATAATTAAGGAGAGTGCATGTGAAGGTAGTTTTTGGGAATGCTTAATATGATTTAATCGTAAGTTAAGCACAAAAATATAGAAATGTGAACTCTTTGGAAGTCTGCGTAAAGTCCCAGTAATTTCTTGAACCGAGAAAATGGTTCCCTAAGAAGCTTCTCGGCTCAGCATTACCCGCTTAAATTTACATTATTAATTTTTTTCTAAAGGAGTAATTATCTCTGTCTCGCTCTCTCTCTGCCTTTCCGCCTGAGCGCCACGTCCGTCAGCAAACAGCATGGCCAGCACACCCAGATCGTTTTTATGGAAAAGAAAACACAATCCTGGTCCCTAAAGTGTGCTCCACCCACGCTAAAAAACGCCCACTTCTCAATGCCCGGAACGAAATTGAAGCCCCAAGCTAAAAGGAAGTTGAAGCTGAAGGAACGTCTGGCGTGGCTATCGTTGTATAAACGGAGTGGAAAAGGTCTTAGGGTTTTCCTACTGGAATGGAAGAGGGATTTGTGGAAATGAAAGTGTTGTGAAATCGATTAAGCCCACGGAAATTAGCAAATGCGTAACAGGCAGCCAGCCAATGGGATGGGGGGATGCGCATTACCCTGCGCTCGCTCCAACGGAACCAATGGAGCGACTTAATTGTTTACCAGCCATAGTCCGAACCCTTCAGGGGCTTATCTGCGCACATCCAGATGTTAATTTCCCCTGTCTATCGGCAGCCATAGATTGTACCCGTATTGTGCGTATGCAAATGCAAATAACAAGTAGAAATAATTCTACACTCGAAAACAACGAATAAAGGACACCCCAAGCTACTTAAAATTTTACACAAATTGAATCGATTGGAACTGAGAATTAAATTGATTAACTAAAAGTCGCCCGTGTTGTGGATATCTTTTCGGAGACTACAGCTCTCTTCCGTGGTAGCACAATATACCCAAGTGTGTTCCCTGCTGCAATCGCAGGGTATTCAGTTTGTTTACACTCACTCAAGGTGGATTTATGATGGGATGGATGGGCCGGGTGCATGGCAGTGTAAAGTGAGTGGAATGATAACTGGAATGGGGGGGGGGCTGACTACGACGACAATACTCACCAATACTGCCACATTTTGCGAGCATGATACGGCAGATTGCAGAGGGCAAATGTCAGCACAAATATTATCAGCATACGGACGACGCCACGGCGGGCGCGCAGGACATTGCTCGAGGAGTGCGACATGTGTGTGGCACCAGTCATGCCCATGCCCATGCCGCTGCCCCCGCCATTGCCCTGTCGCTGATGATGCGGATGATGATAGAAGCTCGTCTTGCGACAGGCGCTGACAATCGGTCGATCGGCCTCCAGAGATACCTGACAATGGAAACCGAACGAAATGGCATTAGGGCATTATTACTCGTATAAAAATAAGCCGCATTGAACCCATTGGCTAACCCATTGATAGGTAGGCAGTTGGTTGAGCGGATTACCTACCTGGCAATTATCAAGCTAATTTGTGGTGGTGTTTTGTGTGGTGATTTTGGTTGTATTTTGGTGGGTTAGTAGAGTGGGAGGAACCAAACGGAAAACGCACAGAGATAGAGAGAAGAGTTAAAAATAAAAGAATAGTTAAAGACAGAAACGGGGATTAATAAACTCATTTCTTTTGGTATTTATTTGGTGGTGTTTGTTTCAGTAATATTTCCCATACAAATCTGTTGGTAAGCCAGTCTAAAAGTTTTCCTCCATCGAACAAATAAACTGTAAACTGTCAGACCTGTAAGCCAGATCGATTGCACTATTTGCCAAGTTTGCCGAGCTTGTGAAGTTTGCCGCGTAATCATTTCTATATTTTGTTTTGTCTTGCAGTTGGGGCTGGCGGGCTAAGTAATTCAACCTGCAAGTGAGTGCCCGTCTAAGCTCCTGTCGGCCACTCACAAGTAGCAAGTAGCAAGCAGCAGACTTGCAGAAAATAAAGTATACGCCAGGTGTGCCTTGCTCCAGGCACCACAAATGATGGCAAAACATTTCGCTTTTCTCAACTTTTGTCCTGCTCTGACTGGGTGTAGATGGTTGGTGGTTTATTTCAGCCTTTACCCACGGGACAACTGTCAAACGAACTGCCGCGTTTATGGACAGGCGATAGTCCTAATGGCCACTGACACCTGCTGCAACTTGCCCGAATGAAATTTTCGCTAAAAGTTTATACAATTGACATATCTGTACACTATATTTCTACGACTTTAAGGCACGCATAAAAGGCTGCTCTTCGGCAGGCACATTTAAAGCTCCTCTGGCCATCCCAGCAGGCAATTAAGCGACAAAGCTCTCTCCCTTTTCCTATTTTTTTTTTGCATATTTTCTACCCCCTTTTTTTTGCATATTTTCCCTTTACTTGTTTGACATTCTGTTCTTCTCTTGTACTCTTTTTTTTGTATCTTTGGGAGCATTGTTTTCGCTCAACTGCGATGATAAAAACTCACCTGGCTCTCGGTGATGCTGACGCCGCGCTTCTCGTATTTACTGCTCTGTTTACGTGACAAGGACGTGGTGCTGCTGCTGCCGGAAGCAAGTGACGCACCACCGCCGCCACTCATTCCCACAGCCATTCCCACAGCCACTCCTGTTGCCGGTCCTGAACCCACCGTGGACGCCGCTGACGCCGCAGCTGATGGCAGCTGGTGATGATGATGCGCGTGGATGTGGTGATGCTGATGATGATGGTGGTACATGCTATTGTGCATGCCCATGCTATTGTCCTGACCAGAGGGATGATGCTGCTGCTGCTGCTGCTGTTGCTGCTGAACCACATGCGGTGTCAATCCACGAGAGCTGCGCCACAAGGCGATGGCAATTTTGCTGTACAACACCTGGGAGCACAGCAGCATAGACGATTATCGATTAGTAATTAAAAAAACAACATTATAAGAATTTAAAAATGAATTATTTGGTGATCTGATCTTTACACCTGTGTCCCATGTCCACTTATGTCCACTCACCGTCATCACTAGCAGCGGCATCACATACAGCAGCACAAAGTTAATCATGTCCAGCAACTTGGAGTTGAACATCTCACGATCCAGCACACAGATCTCCTCCGTCTGCCCGTCCTGTGTGTGCACATTCTTGATGGTCTTGCTGAAGACAAACTTGGGCGTTGAGTAGACGGCCGATGTGATCCAAACAGTGACAATGACCATCTGCAAGACACACACATTCACATTGTTTGCTGTTTAAAACTGTTAAAACTGTTAAGACACGCAAGCAATTTGTTAAATGCCGAATAAACACACACAAAAATTTGCATGCAAATGGCTGGTCGCCAGCCATTTGGTTGTCTTCATGTCCGTTGTTGTTTAATTAGGGGCCATCACCATTAACAAAACGCATTTTTAGTTTGCCAAATTGTTTCATTTGCCTAACAATGTGTGGCAGACCACGCCCACACCCCCCACGCAGTGTGGGTTCTGCTGGTTGGTTGGCTTCTGGGGCAAAACTTTCTGTCAGCCACAAAGTTTTTGCCCATGGCTTATTAAGCCTTTTGGGTCTTCTTTGGTCGCATAATTTTTGGCTGGTGTTTGTTCCTTTTTTTTTTTTGGTGTTGTTTGTTGGCGTTCGTTCGTTCGCTTTAATAAGTTTCATTAGCTTGCAAATTGGGGTCAAAATGAGTTACCAAAAGTTGTGGGGAAAAATGGTAGAGAAAATTTGATGAACAGCAAGCAAAAGAAAAGTTTGAATAAAGTCTACAAATTAAAAGGCTCTGAGGGTCTGCCCGGCTAATAAATGAAGTAGCGAAAGAGTATAAATAGATCGAACAAACAATATAAACAGATATAAATTCATATGCCATGTGAAATTTAACACTGTTTTCTTTGGGGCTCTTTTTGCTTTGTTTTCGTTTTCCACCTTTGTCCATCATTGACAGAGTGCCGCCCATTAAATGTTCATTGACGTGCCGCGAACTACATAGTATCGTGCCAGCAATCGCTTGCTTTCCATCCTATTGTTGTCTAGCCGTCAGATCGAATAATATCCAAAAGGGAAATGGCAACTATAACTCACCCTCAGACGTGCCGCAGTCAGGATCTGCTTGCAGGTTATGGGATGCACAATGGCAAAGTAGCGTTCCATACAGATGACGACCAGAATGAAAATCGATGCCGTGTAGCTGAGGGAGTGCACAAACTGGTACATGCGGCACAGGAACTCGCCAAAGACCCAGCTGGAAAGACACAAAAACCATACTAGTTACTCGTTGAATATAAGTAATTATTTATGGCCAGAAAGTGGCTCCTTTTAAAGGGGCTTCCTTCCGCCTGGGGCCCGGGACCGGCAACTTTAAGGCACGCTGAGACATAAAATTTTATGGACACGCCCACGAAACTAATGCGACATTAAAGGTGTCGTTAGTATTTTATGTGGCGAAAAGAAATTCTCTTTTTTTCTTTTCTTTTCTCTCCTTTTTCCTTTTATACTCGTATTATTCTATGGCTAAAATTACATTAAATGTGGACGAATGGCGGGTTGGTGGGGGCTTGGATCATTGTATTTGGGGGATTAGCACGTAATTCTATTTGCGGGGCGTTTGGATTTCCACGACAAGGTGAAAAGTGGGTTCTAATAAGGGGAAATTGTGATGCTTTTGTGGTTTGATTGCCGCGTAGCGTTCGCTGCTCTGTTCTACAGTATTAAAAATGATTGCCATTGCCCTGTTGCTGCCAGGTGAGTCCAATGGCATTTGTCGCCACATAATTTTGTGCTCTAAAAAATATGGGTTGCCTGGCAATAAAATGTCTACATGAGATGCTTTTCAACAGAAGCACAGACAGTCCCTAATTGAGAACCATCAGAGGGTATGAAGGGTATGGTTATGGGTATGTACACATAACTGGCACATAACTTTACAGACTAGACAATCTTTATATATTTACATAATTTTTGCCCTAATCTTCTTCACTTTGCATATGGTTATTTTTTTTTTTATTTTTTTTTTTTTTACTGTTGTGGTCGTCATGAACTTGTGCGCATAATTTTGATGAAATTATGCCAAACACATATTGGTCAGCTCCATAATTTAGGCTTTTAATATGATAATTGTGTGTGTGGGGGGACACTCACGAGTTTCTCGGAATCACGAAAAGCTCTTAACGATGTCACACAGAGAGAAATATTAAATTGAAAATATGAAAATATATTCAGAAATAGATTCAGTATAGATGAGCAAAATATGCATTTAATAAATAATTTTATTGGCCATTTTTATGAATGCAAATCGGCGCATTCAGAATCGGCAGACCACAAAAACATTTAATTTATTATTAATATTTGGAATGAAATGGAATGGAATGCCTTGGATGCATTTTGAATAAAGGGTGTATCAAAACTCAAACTGGAAGTATCGGGGAATATTGTTCCAATTCGCAGAAGAAAAATTTCATTTTAGAAATTCTCAATGAAAGTTCAATTCGCCATCGATCAGAGGAACTCGCAGCTTACACACCCTATATGTATGTATACATACATATATGTATGTATGCAATTAATTATTAAAATGCCAAATAGACTTCGCAGCAAATATATTACTTTATTACTCATATTTTCTCATTACAAGATTATTTCCAACTAATGTTTATTTTATAGGCCAAAACAACAATTAAAGGCAAACATTTCCACAAATTTCCACTCGAACTGCAATGCAAATGAGAATTGTGTTCAGAATAATTGGCATTCATTTTTTTCGGCTTGACTTGTGTTGGCTTTTTGTGTTTGTTTGCCTGGCAGCAGCCAAGTGACCGTGAAATGTACATATATTCAACCAAAAAGAAACTAAAAACCCAAATGAATGAAACTGAGCATGAAAGCAAGGAAATAAAATCTATTTTCACAAGGGAAAGTATCAAAAGACTACATTAATACAGTATTTATACATATTTATATGATTATATACGAAAATGTATCAATATGTTGTAGTAGAAAGCAGCAAAGTTCTCTAATTTATGCCAATGTGTTGATTACTTAGATTTATACAGAAATATAGTTAAAGGTCAGACGAAGGTTAAAGGGAGGCGTGGAAATGAAACGATTTAAAGGCATACAAAATACTAATTTTCCAGCTATAATTTGATTACCAGTCCCAACATCAGAAATATATATAAATAGCGCAGTGTTACTGTTGGCATTTTTACTTTTCAATCGAGTACTTTGCTCCATCATGAAGGTCGTAATTTTTTTACTCCTGATTGGTGAGTGGAAGAGCATCAATTGAGCAGTTTATTTAATTATTGTATCTTTTATAAAGGCGTCATCAAAATAGAAGCCCAACCTACTGGAGCATGCCACTTCGATTATTCACCCTATTGTGGGTTTGCTGAAGGTTGCGTAGTTAATGCAGGAAACAAATGCTTTTTGGAGGGCCAAGAAAAAATAAGGGTTAAGGCAAATAAGCCACGTAAGTTGAAAACTCTCAATAGATTGCATAACACTAATAGAATTCTTAATACCACAGCATTTATAAAAATGGAACCCGGAAGATGTCCAGAGAATATTCGACTCTGTGAACGCACAGAAATCTAAGTGCTGAGATACGTCCACAGAGAAAGAAATTTAATAAAAACTCTGATGATTTGATCTTAAAGCGGACATTCTTTTCGTGCACGTTACGTCTGTGCATTTTGTCTGTTCCACACCACAATGGGAACTTTGACCACTTTTTCTGGGCAAAATCCATTTTACAAAAGTAATTAAAATATCATATTTGTAGCATATACAAAAAGGTTTCTATATGTTGTGGTAGGAAGCAGTAAAGTAATTTAATTTATGCTAAGGTGTTAATTACATAGATTTAAAATTGATTTACCAATTGGTTCTTAGACAACAGAAATATAGTTAAAGGTCAGACGAAGGTTAAAGGGAGCCGTGGAAATGAATCGATTTAAAGGCATATAAAATAATAATTTTCCAGCTATAATTTGATTACCAGTTCCAACATCAGAAATCTATATAAATAGCGCAGTGTTACTGTTGGCATTTTAACTTTTCCATCGAGTACTTTGCTCCATCATGAGGGTCTTAATTTTTTTACTCCTGATTGGTGAGTAGAAGAGCATCAATTGAGCAGTTTATTGATTTATTGTATCTTTTATAAAGCCGTCATCAAAATAGAAGCTTCTTGCTTCTTGAATTATGCACCCTATTGTGGGTTTGCTGAAGGTTGCGTATTTAATGCCGGAAACAAATGCCATTTGGAGGCCCAAGAAAAAATAAGGGTTAAGGCAAATAAGCCACGTAAGTTGAAAACTTTCAATAGATTGCATAACACTAATAGAATTCTTAATACCACAGCATTTATAAAAATGGAACCCGGAAGATGTCCAGAGAATATCCCAAGCTGTGAACACACAATTTTGTAAGTGCTGAGATGCGAGTCCACAGAGAAAGAAATTTAATAAAAACTCTGATGATTTGATCTTAAAGCAGACATTCTTTTCGTGTACGTTACGTTTGTGCATTTTGCTTGTTCCGCTTGTTTAATGTTACGCAAAAAAAATTGGTCAACCAATTTTAGCTCAGTCGTTTTTCCATAGATTACACTAGGCAACATGAGAATTAGGCTGTGGCCCAAAATTACTTTTTCTTATAGATTTCGGCGTTTACAAATTTTTAACGAATTATGGTTTTTTTTATGGCGTAGTTTTTTTAAAATAATTTTTTAAAATCTGCTATTTTTTTACTGTTTTTTTTCAGAGGTAGTGCTTCTATTTTTCACATTACTTAAGTGTTTGGTTACGCAGCCAAATATTCAGTAGATCATAGTCAGTGGTGCAGCCGTAGAGTAAATATCTATTATTGTTCAGCATTTTTACTGTCCACTGCTTAACTTTGTCATCTACATACATATGTACATATTCATGCTCCCGCACGGCAGCAGCCGATGCAGCCGTTCTCTCGCGTCTTCAACTCACACCTTTCTTTCTATCGCCTTTCGCTATCACTCTCTCGATCTGTCGCTCTCTCGCTCAGCTAACTATCCTTTCGACTCTGTATCGCTTATTTACTTCACCACAATAAACTGTGAATATATATATTGAACAATCATCGCCTTTTTAATAATATCGCAATACTGAAGAAGCTCAGTAGCTCAACAATATATCTGGTTGCATAGAACTTTGCGGTCCTGAAAAGCTGACAAGTGCAGCTATAAATCCGACCCAGACTCTTTGTATCTGCAGCTTAATGCCTGGAAGATATTAAACTTTCAAATTCAAATTTCAAAATAGTTCTTGGCCAACATTTTTAGTTTTAGATAGACGCATTAATTAGGCGTCGTTTAAGGTATTGTTCATTAAAATCTATGGATCAATTTTTTTTCTATGCAACCAGATATAAGATTTTTACGTTATGTAAAAAATAGAAGCACTGCCTCTGAAAAAACCATGAAAAATATACCAGATTTTAAAAATTCTTTAAAAAAATGACACCATAAAAAAGAAAATAAAGTACTACAACAATTTTTAAATCCCGAAGTCTATCAGAAAAAGTCATTTTGGTTCACAGCCTAAATGAAAAGTTCAATTTTGTGGAGTAGTGTTATTAACAATACTTTAAACAACGCCTAATTGAAGCACATGTTCTCAACAAATTCCCAAATTATTATTATTATTTTTTTTTTTAATTTTGAATTGCCATGCTAAATTTTTTTAAAATACCTTCATCCTGCTGTTTTAAAATAAATAAAAAGAAAAGCAAAAAATATTGTTTCCTTTGGAAGTTATTAAATAGTGCCACAAAACATGGTCAAAGTTCAAATATATTTGCATTTTAAACCATAAAAAAAAAATGAAATGAAATCTTTTTTCACACGGTTAAGGAGCAGAAGACTGCATAAATATAGTCAAAATATACATAATATGTAGATATGGCACATACATTTTAGCATATACAAAAAGGTTTCTATATGTTGTGGTAGAAAGCAATAAAGTAATTTAATTTAAGCTAAGGTGTTGATTACATAGATATAAAATTGATTTACCAATTGGTTCTTAGACAACAGAAATATAGTTAAAGGTCAGACGAAGGTTAAAGGGAGCCGTGGAAATGAATCGATTTAAAGGCATATAAAATAATAATTTTCCAGCTATAATTTGATTACCAGTTCCAACATCAGAAATCTATATAAATAGCGCAGTGTTACTGTTGGCATTTTAACTTTTCCATCGAGTACTTTGCTCCATCATGAGGGTCTTAATTTTTTTACTCCTGATTGGTGAGTGGAAGAGCATCGATTGAGCAGTTTATTTAATTATTGTATCTTTTATAAAGCCGTCATCAAAATACAGGCCCGACTTCCTGCTGAAGCATGCTTCTTGTATTATGCACCCTATTGTGGGTTTGCTGAAGGTTGCGTAGTTAATGCAGGAAACAAATGCCATTTGGAGGGCCAAGAAAAAATAAGGGTTAAGGCAAATAAGCCACGTAAGTTGAAAACTTTCAATAGATTGCATAACACTAATAGAAATTCTTAATACCACAGCATTTATAAAAATGGAACCCGGAAGATGTCCAGAGGATATCCCACTCTGTGAATACATAATATTGTAAGTGCTGAGATGCGAGTCCACAGAGAAAGAAATTTAATGAAAACTCTGATGATTTGATCTTAAAGCGGACATTCTTTTCGTGCACGTTACGTTTTTGCATTTTGTCTGTTCCACACCACAATGGGAACTTTGACCACTTTTTCTGGACAAAATCCATATTTCAAAAGTAGCTAAAATAACATACATTTTAGCATATACAAAAGGTTTCTATATGTTATGGTAGGAAGCAGTAAAGTAATTTAATGGCTAGCGCTCGCGCGGCGGGCCCCGCGGGCCCGCCCCGCCCGGGCGCGCGCGGGGCGGATGTCGCGCGGATTTATGCTAAGGTGTTAATTACATAGATTTAAAATTGATTTACCAATTGGTTTCTAGACAACAGACATATAGTTAAAGGTCAGATGAAGGTTAAAGGGAGCCGTGGAAATGAATCGATTTAAAGGCATATAAAATAATAATTTTCCAGCTATAATTTGATTACCAGTTCCAACATCAGAAATCTATCTAAATAGCGCAGTGTTACTGTTGGCATTTTTACTTTTCAATCGAGTACTTTGCTCCATCATGAAGGTCGTAATTTTTTTACTCCTGATTGGTGAGTGGAAGAGCATCAATTGAGCAGTTTATTTAATTATTGTATCTTTTATAAAGCCGTCATCAAAATACAGGCCCAACTTCCTGCTGGAGCGTGCCACCTGAATTATTCACCCTATTGTGGGTTTGCTGAAGGTTGCGTAGTTAATGCAGGAAACAAATGCCATTTGGAGGGCCAAGAAAAAATAAGGGTTAAGGCAAATAAGCCACGTAAGTTGAAAACTTTCAATAGATTGCATAACACTAATAGAAATCTTAATACCACAGCATTTATAAAAATGGAACCCGGAAGATGTCCAGGGAATATCCCAAGCTGTGAACACACAATTTTGTAAGTGCTGAGATGCGAGTCCACAGAGAAAGAAATTTAATAAAAACTCTGATGATTTGTTACGTCTGTGCATTTTGTCTGTTCCACACCACAATGGGAACTTTGACCACTTTTTCTGGACAAAATCCATATTTCAAAAGTAATTAAAATAACATACATTTTAGCATATACAAAAGGTTTCTATATGTTGTGGTAGAAAGCAGTAAAGTTCTTTAATTTATGCTAATGTGTTGATTACATAGATATAAAATTGATTTACCAATTGGTTCTTAGACAACAGAAATATAGTAAAAGGTCAGACGAAGGTTAAAGGGAGCCGTGGAAATGAATCGATTTAAAGGCATATAAAATAATAATTTTCCAGCTATAATTTGATTATCAGTTCCAACATCAGAGATCTATATAAATAGCGCAGTGTTACTGTTGGCATTTTTACTTTTCAATCGAGTACTTTGCTCCATCATGAAGGTCGTAATTTTTTTACTCCTGATTGGTGAGTGGAAGAGCATCGATTGAGCAGTTTATTTAATTATTGTATCTTTTATAAAGCCGTCATCAAAATACAGGCCCAACTTCCTGCTGGAGCATGCCACCGGATATATGAACCCTATTGTGGGTTTGCTGAAGGTTGCGTAGTTAATGCAGGAAACAAATGCTTTTTGGAGGGCCAAGAAAAAATAAGGGTTAAGGCAAATAAGCCACGTAAGTTGAAAACTTTCAATAGATTGCATAACACTAATAGAATTCTTAATACCACAGCATTTAAATCAATGGAACCCGGAAGCTGTCCAGAGACTATTCCACTCTGTGAACGCACAGAGGTGTGAGTGCTGAGGGAAATTCTGATGATTTGATCTTAAAGCGGACATTTTTTTCGTGTACGTTACGGTTGTGCATTTTGTTTGTGCCATACGTGGCAGGATGTGAGTGTAAGAAAAGCAATGCAAATAATCATGGTCATACAGAGAATGAGGGGTGAGGCATGCGGCGAAATGGTCAAAAGGGAAAAAGTACACACGTAACGAAAGTGTTGCCTGTTTGTTTTGTGTTGCATATTTGTTTCTGCTTTCGTGTGTGTGTGTGTGTGTGTGTGTGTGTGTGTGTGAGTGGTGACTGTTAAAATGTTTCACAGTTGAGAGTTAAAACTTGTGTGTCGCATACTTTCAGGCGCCTCGCCACAATACCCCGACAGCTACATACGTCAGACAGCGCCAGCCACTGAATAATAAATTGCAGAACAAACCAACGAGTTGAATAGGGGAAACTACAGAATACCCTAACAGGAAATATAAAATTACGCAATAACAGTATGAAATTCAAAAGGTTACTAAAGAGTTGCCAGTCTTCTACAACGGGAGAAACTATCATTCTCATCCTGCTTGAAATACTCTACAGAAAATTGTAAAAACTATAAAATTAAACGCCACTCACCTCTCAATGAGATAGATGGAGAGATTCTGCATCACGCAGAACAGGCCCACACAGAAGTCTGCGAATGCCAGATTGGCCAAAAAGAAGTTGGTAATGGAGCGCAGACGTCGCGACAGGGTGACCACCAAAATCACCAGTAGATTGCCTAGAAAGATACACAAAAAAAACAGACACACACAAAAATAATCAAATAGAACGATAATAAGTTGACAGTTGCTGGAGGAAATGAAAATAAAAATAAAATAAAATAAAATAAGAAATCGGAATTTCGTCTTTATTCTTTAGCCTGGCGCTTGTCAGCGCCACAAGTCCAAAGACCAAAGCCCAGCGAAAGAAAAACCAACTGGGAGATATTAAAAATGTTAACAAAAATATTTGTGCAAGTGACATGCCCGCTGGCAGCCAAATGGCGACATAAGTCCTTGGGTCTGGGGGGTTTGGGGGTGCCTAAACTTTTCTCAACTGCCGCCGTCGCACACTGCACTGGGAGCAATAACTTTTTGCACTCAGTGTGCGCTTTGCATGACACTACACTCTCAACCCCCCCCTTCCGACCCGTCTGTGACAATTTGCCGTAGCTGCTGTCGCATATTCCCCTGGCGCTGGCGTTGGGTTTAGGTTTAATGTAGCGTTGAAAGTTTATTTTAATTAGGGGTTTCACTACATGTCCGGGCATCTATCTAAATTCGTTTCAGCTTTGGCCATAATTAAATAAGGACTTGTCCAGACTGAATGTAAGTGCGTAGCTGACAACTTTAAATAACTAAGAGAAGTTTTGGAAAAGTTGTTGGCTTTGGGGAGGGCTCAGTGCTGAAATTAGGGATTTTACCTTATAAAACAAATAAAAGCCAGCAACTCCCTGTATAGTACAATGGCTTAAAAGTTAACCTATCAATTTGCGAATAGAATTTACGCAAATTAGTTGCATTACCCGACTAATTTCAGCACCTACCTGAGGGCAAGGCATATGTCAATGAAAACCTCAATACCCATGAGCTGAGTAACCGCAAACCAAATGGCAATCAAGCCAAAATATATAATGCATTTGTGCATGCAGCTGTGAGCCAATAATGGTGGCTGCTCTGCGGTTTACTGTGGGAGCACTTTAAAGCTCAATTCGTGTCTCTGGTTTGGCTGCTTGCTCGTTTATTACTGCTACAATATAATTTGCATAAATATAAAATGCACTTTCTGCCTCACCTATTCTCGGTTTTAAATCTCATTATGCATGCAAGAAGCACTAGCTGCAGCAGCAGCAGCAGCACAACCAAAAAATATTGGCATGCAAAATAAATTTTTTCAAATTAGGACACACAAACACAGACGCTGTAGCCTGCAACCAGTGAACTCTCATCCCATATGCTGTTTGTTGACATTTTTGCGGGCAGCATATTGCTCTCCTCCATATATTTAGGATCAGTTGCAAACTAAATCTTTTTGCTGATTTCTGTGACTTGTGCCGTAAATCGTGTAGCACTTGGATAAAGATCAAATAAATAAATAAATCTAACAAAATACAGAAATGCATTAAAGCCACAGAAATTTCAAATATTTGCACAATCTTAGCGAAACCTTAACTGATGCGGACTAACCATATTAAAATCGATAATAGTACATAAAAAATTATACTTTTGCAGCTATAATTTGTTTAGAAAATTAATAAAATCAATAATCCAACTTATTGCCCCTTGAAAGATTTAAGCTTTTAATATTTCTCGAGCACTTTGCATCATCATGAGAATATTCAATGTTCTACTCATAGTTGGTATGTTATAGAGCATCGATTGGGAAAGGTTACTACACTGATTTGGGACTCCATTAAGCTATTATCCTATGGGAGGTCAAGGCTAAGCAAACTTGCCCAAGAATTCTTTCGTCCATATGTGCGTCACATATTGAATGCCATTTGAAGTTTTTAACGACTGCAAACTCGATTAATAAATCGAGAAGAAAGCAATTAAACAATTGCCAGGTGCGTTTCAAAATGTTTCTAAAAGGTTTTAATATGTATTGAGCTTTAGAGTATATTTTCTATATCTGCCTCTGGTTCATGCCCAGAGAAGAAAGATCTACAACTATTAATCGTAGATATGTGTCAAAAATCGTTGAACTAAAGACAGTAAATTTTATTATTTGTTATTTATTTATCCCCCAACAACTGTTAAGTGATTAAACTCTTAGGAAGAACCATTTTTGTTTTTATTTATAGCCCTGACAAGAGTATCAAATGAAAACTCAATCCACATTCCCTCCAGGGGCCAAATGACATATGATATTGTAGTTGTAGTGGAAATTTTCAAGCAATTGGCCAGCAGCAGCATTTTATTCTGGGCAGCAGCCTCACATGACAAACAAATGTCGAGTGAAACTTTTTTAATTACTCTCGATAGGCCGAGTGGCGGGGCACTGGGGGGTAAAAGAACCAAACCCGAAACAAAAACGCCAGCGAGATGTGCCAAAAAATACCGAAAACGTGCAACACTTCAAGGCGTGCCATGAAATACGATATCAAGGATCAAGGAGGGGACTTTCCAGCGAGCTGGCTGGGTACTGCGACAGAGGCTGCTGCAGGGGCTGGGGCTGGGGCTAGGGCTGGGCGGGCTGTGTTGCTGCTTGTGTTACATACGATACAATATGTTGGACGAAAGTTTCCCTCGTCTCTTTCATATTTTTATTTTTGTAGTTGGTGTTATTAAATTTGTTTCAATTGAAGGAAACAGCGGCTGGGAGGGGACGTTTGTGCTCATTTTCAAAGCCCAAATGATTGTTAAAATAATAACAATATTTTTTGTCAGAAAAAGAAACTTCAAGTGCTCCGACTTTGACTTGTATTTCTGACTGTTTGCCACCAGCTGCCAGTTAAACACTGGACCGTAAAATTAAGCATCCAATTCAGGTTTTAGGTGATGAATGTCCGCAGGGTTAGCCCTAAATGAGGCCCAGGGGAGCAGCAATTAAAGGACGAGTACTCGTACCCCACAAACACACACACACACACACACAGACAAGCTGCTAAAAGGGCAATAAAGTGACTTGTCACAGGAGCCAGCAACATCAAACCAAAAATTTTGTAGACTAAACTAGTCCAGCATTACGACTATAGGATACCCTAACTCTGTTGTTTGGGAACTTTCTAAAAACTAGCATTCGCAATTAATTGACAGAAATTATTTAAGCACAAAAAACTCTTTAATTGTTATGCGGACATTAGAGGTCATTCGTCGAATTTTGTTGGATCGGTAAAATATTTCTATACACAAAAAAACACCAAAGGGATCTCCAACTCTTATGGTCTCCGATTAAATACAAAACATAAATAAATAAATATAAAAAACCTCAAATAACTAATATTAAAAATTAATAATAAATAAATAACCTGCAACAAACATGTTCCCGAATTGTATAGACCCTTGCACTTTAAGCGTTCTGGATAAAGCAACAACCAGCAAACAGGAACTTGGAACGTGACTGCAACATGCAAATTTTATGGCTGAGTGTTGTAAATGTCCTGGGCCCTGTCCCCTGTCCCCTGTTCTCTCTCCATGTTCCTCTTCATGTCGTGGCTGCAAATAAGTTGCTTACATTTTGCAATTGTCTCTGCAATCCTCTTTAAGCCACGCCCATCATGTCTGTGTCTAATGGACGCCCATTTGTCGCCATTTGGCATGGCGAATACACATGTTAACTCCGTCATTCAGTGTGCGACTGTTGTGTTGTGTGCGGTAAACAAAGTCCCGAAAAATGGCTGCCCCCCGGATACAGCAGCAGCAACATTGTAATTGATATCAGCATTCAGATGTGACATTAAGGGCACATTCGATATTTATGATTGTGCAATTAAGCATCGCAAAGACACACATAACTAATTCATTAATGAGTGCCATCAATTAAGTGCTTGTAAGTATTCCTTTCAATGAGTCCCACGCGGCAGTTGCGGCCTATGCGGCGTATGCGCAATGTGCAAATGGTCAAGGTCAATGGTACATTAATTTCGGATGACAAAACCCACAAAAATCTCCAAACATACAAGTGTTGTTTACATTTTTACACCCCCCACTATGCCAACACCAGGTGAATCATTTATTCAGCTTATTTGCTGGCGTTTTTATTTGCCATCTCGTGTTAGAGCTGTCTGTGTGTACTCTGGTAATTCGACTAAAACATACCCTTAAATCTCACTTCTGCACAAGCAAACTTCTCCTACAAAACAGACATCTTTAAGCTACCAAAAAAGCCACAAAAAGGCCAAACTCCAACCGGAAAAGAACCCTACAAAAAGGCACAACCAAGCGCTGGGCATTGAGTAATTGGCTAGTCAGCAGTAAATTCACTGCGGCGCCGTCCGTAATACATACAACGGGTCTCAATGGACATTAGCACGCACCCGGAACGGTGCAGGGTCTGGGGATGCTGCCAATGGGACACCACAAAACGGCTTGTTGTGGCAGGCACTTTGCCTGCCTTTACTTTCATTCGTGTTTTGTTCCGGACACGAGCGGCAGAGGCCGCAGCCAATGAATGAATATAAAAAGTCACCCAGAGATTTGAGAAACAAATCAAAAAGAGAAGCCTAGATATAGACGTGCCGAATGACCTGCACTCAAGAGGGTAACAAATACTCGTAGCTGCTGCCTGGTCAGCGATTACAATGAGACTTGTTTATGCTTGTACTTCCCATTCCGTGGCTTAATTTCGTACTCACCGAAAAAGCAGCAGCAAAAGACAATGGTGTAGAGGCTGATGAATATGATGCGCACATCGGTGCGATCAAAGATATATTCACTGGCATTGGCGGCATCCTCCTCATCCTCGATTACGTCGATGGCCGAACCAGCACCGCCGCGTACTGGGGTCTGGGCCGGCGCCAGAGCCGTTGTTGTGTCACCAAAGAGCAGGGCATAATCGGTGCCATTGCCATGGAACGACATGGCCGTACTGCTCGTCGAGTCATTTGCAGACGATGCCAGGGTGGCAATCGCCTGCCAGAACAGCAGCAGCAGCACCATCAGTAGCCACGGAAATGAGCGGGGCAGACTGCTGCTGGTCAGACGGAGCTTGTTGTTGTTGTTGTTGTTGTGTCGCTTCAGTTCCGGGTTCTGTTTCCATTCTCGTCCAGCGGAAATGCTATAACTCGCTGCTGAGCTCTTGCTACTGCTCCTCGTTTGATTATGCTCCTCCTGCTCCTGCTCCTGCTCCCCAATGCTGTCAGCATTATTATCGTAAGCTGCTGATATGTTTGTCCGGCCACTTTGTCGTCGCTGTTTATGTTGTTCCACCGCCCCATCCTGTGCCCCATCCAGCAACAGTGTGTGCACTCCGCTCATAATGGGCTCCAGCTGCAAGGATAAAGAACAAGTCCATTGTCAGTTGGTTCGATGCAATGGAAGCTTGATTGGCTCTAATTCTGAGTTTCGGAGCAAACAAATTAATAAAGACCATTAACAGAGAAGCCATGAAATGTGCTTAACAAGTGGCTGTAGCTGCCACGATCGATTATATATATATGTATATAGAGAATAAGATTAAGAGTTTGTTAGTTTGTTTCCGCCAACGATTAACTTTACAACTTTTTCTCAAAATAGTTGTAAAGCTTCATCTTTTAATGGCTATTTCTGTCGTGTGTGTTTTTCCCCACTGCTGATCTAACTTGTGTTTAGTTTTAATGTTCTACTAATTATTATGGTGTTTACGTGGTCTTGGAGTGGCGAGGACCTTTGACCTTATGGGCAACGCAGTGACAGCTTCACTTCATTAACTGCAAAGTCACGTCTCTCTCCTCTGTATGTCTCACACTCACACTCACATCACGCACCCACCCACGCCCACCCAGTCAATGTGTAGACACTCGAGGGGCAATTAAACATGGCCTGTCAACTGATTTTTGTACCATTTGCCACATTTGTACCGAGACTGTGTGCCTCTCTCTCTCTCTTTCTCTCTCTGTGTGACTGTAGCTCCGTTTCTGCTGCTGCTGCCTCCCACTCTCACTGTCTGGGATGGCAATGGTACATACGACTGTTTGTGTCTGTGTCTGAGAGTAGACAACTTTTTAATTAAGCTTTAATAATGAGCTTAATTAAAACATTTGTCGACAGACAAACACACACACACACACGCAACGTGTCTAAAAAGGAAATTATGATTTGCCATTTGGCCACGCGCATTCTCCGTTACTCTTCGGTCTCGTTTCTCTCTCTTCCTTTTTTTTTTGTTAGTTTAGAATATATTTTTCCCATGCACTGCTACATTTTGTTGCTAATTACGCGAGTGCAGTGGCAGGACCTCTCCTCCTCACATTCTGCCACTCTTCAAAATGTCGCTTTGATTATTGCCCTGCTCTACTCTGTACTCTCTACTCTCTGTGTGTATGTTCGGTACGTGCTCTAATTAATAGAAACTCGCACTGAACACACATGAAAACAAAACGACTATCAAGTAATTAACACTGCTGAATCGTTTGAATGTCTTTCCATATTATAAACATTCTGTTTGCACAGAAACACATACTCCTGCGTTGCTAGTGGCTGGCAAATATTATTCATGGCAGCTGGCAGGGGGAAACAGCAGCACCACCACCCCAACAATTCACATGGAAATGCGCCAAACTGTGAGATGAATAAATTGGAAGTGGAAAGTGTGCTGACAATTTAACAAGCTATTGGGAATACATGGGAAAAATAGATGTTTGCTCACAGCTAATATTCGAGTGTCCCTGAAAGGCTTACATTTGCAGGCAATACTCGTAAAATACGACAAGGGTTTCCAAATATAAATTAAACTATTTATTTGCATTAATTATCATATTTTGAGCAAATGCTATGATCAAATAAATGTTTATTATATCAAAGTATCGGATGTTCCCGCTTGTCTCTAAAAGAGATTGTCCATCACATACCAGAACACACAAATTCTGTAGCTTCACAGCAATTGTTATCCAATAAGAAACCCTGCCGCCCCCCACACACCAATGGCACAGCAAACAAATAAAACCACATAAACGTCAGTCAAAGTTCACTCAATGAGCCATTAAGAGCCGCAATCAGGACGAAACAAACACCGAAAGCCAAAACAAAGAGGAACAAGAGGAACGAGAGAAACCCTTCAGCGCACAAAGGCAGAGGCAGTGGCAGTGGCAGTGTCGATGCGAGGCACAAGGCAGGCACAGGTTGCAAAAGTTGCCGCGATGTGGGTCAAACTGCAGGAACGGTAATTAAAGGGTGCACTTAATTGCCTCAAATTATAATTAATGAGGCCGCCCAGCGACTAAAAGCTGTGCCGCGCCTACGAATTAAGTTCGAAAGAATTGAGATTGCGAGGAAAATGGTTGAGAAAAACTCAATCACTTGTCAGTATGTCAGTGGCAGAGGCATAAAAGTTCAGAGAGAGAGAGATAAATTTTCTTCATTGATATCTTGCAACTCCTTGTCGGCCCCAAAAGCTATGCTAATCGTATGGCTTCCTACAACATTCGCCCGTTCGGTATCGAGTGTCAGCAGTTTGCTTCTTCGCTGTTTTCCGCACTGGCATATCTAATAGAAGTTATATTTTAGATGCTTAAACAAATGTACACTGTACATAAATATATGTATATTAAAAAAAAATATAAAACTGCCTGGCAAGAAAAAAAGAACTACGTCCATATTTAATTTGTGCAAGGTCATGTACCTTTAATACTAATTTTGTAGATTTTATACCAGCTAGTCAGGTCGCCCATAATCTCATAATCTCATCTCATCTGTACCATCTCATACATCAAACCGTTCGCTCCATTCCAGAAGGTGTAATCATTCATATTTTTACTCGAGCCAGCCCGGTAGGGCAGATTCTCCGGGTCGATCGCTTTATCGATGGCGTCGAGTATTTTGTCCGGCTCGACGATCCCAGTGGGGCGCACCACACGCACCAGGTGCTCCACACCAATGAGCGGTAGACGTATCAGCGAAACCACCGACTTTATGTCCGCGCTCGGATTGTGCAGGATCCATCTGTGCACCGATTTAAAGATGTGCACTTCCTGGTCAGCGAACGTGTCCCGCCGCAGAACTTCTTTAAGGGATTCCAGGGACAGCGTTTGGATCGAGTCATTTGCCATCAGAGTGGACCCATTTCTGTCCATGAATTTCAAGCATTCTTCGGCCAGCTCGTTCAGATTGTATAGGCGCGCTGCCTCCAGAACCATGCACATATTGCTGACGCTAAGATTCTGCTGCAGATGTCCGGATAGGGCTGACTCGACTTCCACCAATCCATACTGATTGGCCAAACGGAGCACTTTGAAGTTGGCAGGCACGTCCAATGTGAAAATTTCCACCGTGCCCGAATAAAGGTAGCCGAGGATTACTTTAAATGCTTCCAGCGGCACCTCCGGCAGCCGTATTTGGCGTTGCTGCGACTCGGCCATGCCTCCGTACAGCATGGCGCGAAAGTATTCACTGCGCGCGGCCAAAATCAGGCAGTGGGCAGGCAGGCTTTGATCCTCCACAATAAAAGACACGTCCGAGTAGAGTTCGTTCAGGCAGAGGCGGCCCATGTCAGACGAGAGGGGGTCGGTCAATTTGATGTCAGTCTTCTCGGACGAAGAGATCGCGTTGCTTTCCTGGCTGTTCATTTTGGTGGCTGGATTTCTCTGCGAGAAGCCTTAAGGTGTCTTTATTTGAGTGCCGTATAATTCCACAAACTAACTTAATTTCGATGTATGTTTAACTTAAAAAATTCGTATTTTGTTTAAATTCCAATTCTGTTTTGAAAATTACAGAATATGGATGGACTACACAGTTCTCTAAGTGTTTGTACATGTTTCTTGTAGATCGTATTATGTGTACTTGTTGTACGTACATTTTCGATTGCTCTTGTCCTTGGTATGCTCAAAAGGTATGGTAAATGGTCCCACGAACACCGATAACCGGCGAACAGTTCAAACCGAAATCAAATTCAAATCCATGAATATCTATTAACATTTTTGGTGGTTATTTTATATAATGGACTTGCGTTAAAGCTTTAAGCTTCAGGATATCCGATAGTTGCATAAATATGCACAATTCCTGCCACTTTTTGGTGCGATTTTGTTGTTCCTCCTCCAAAAATGGGAAAGCTGTGAATGGCATTATCCACATTTAACGATACGTTTTCTCCGTTCCAAGTTATGCTGTCAATAACGAATATCCACCATCACATCCACTTGTCAAATGCACATGGCCATGGCATGAAAACATTTTCAAATATTCTTATATTTCGATATAGAGCTTGTAGTAGCTTTTGTTCCGCTAGTTTGCCCGGGAATTGGCTTTCAATCTTGCCATTTCACATGTGCCCAACCTGAGTTCTTTCGGCTAGGACTGCGGCATGAGGACTCAATGCAAATGTCTGCCTGTCTTTCTGTCAATTTGTTCGTTAATTGTAATGCACCCAATGTACATTTACAATTTATGGAAGGGCGCACATACTGTGCATCTATCTATGCTCTGTTCACATTCAATGTAGATTATTCTGTGAAAGGATAGCGTACACATCCGTTTCACAATTTTCCCATCAACGATTTTCATCATTATTTTAATGGGGGCATTTTTTTGCATGGCTCCACATTTTCAGTTACAATTTTTTGTTGTTCAGGCCTACATGTGTTTTTTTTTAAGTCGGATGTTTGCATTTTTAACATTTACATGATGTTCCACGCCTAGACCCACGCTCAGGCACCTGAGTTTGCATTGCAATTAGTTTAAATGGCAAATGGCATATTTGTCTAATGGTTTAGTTAACCCCAGAACAGAGAAACGGTTTGTTCATTCCCAGTAAATGTTAATTGTTATTTTTATTATTATTATAGGTGGGTCCTACTCTGGTTGTGTTTATGTTTATTGGCATGCCTGTGAAACGTGGAAAGTAGTGGAGTTTTTTCGGAGATCTTTCTGCAGCTTATGTGGAAAATTACACCGTACTGAATACATTTTATTGAATGTTTCTTTAGTTTCAAAACACCAGCAACGTTTGTTTAACGTTAACCAGACCTTCCCAAAACATTTTCAAAGTGTCTAATACTGTTAGCATTTAACTGGAAGTTCTGTGGTTTCCCCCACTAAACTAAACAACCAACAACTAAATTCCAGCGTTAATTCCCAATGTTGTGGAACTATTTGAGACCTCCTTCGACTGCACTTCGACTGCACCTGATGGGGCTGATGGGACTACTATGTATAAGGGTATAAAGTGGCGTGCAGCAGAGTGGAGTGGAGTGAATTGTCGCGCTGGCGACGACTTCCGGAACGGAAATTGTTTGGCGCTTTAATGAGCCAAATGGCGCAGAGATTGACGTTCTGTGCCGCCAAGCAGCAGCAGCAGGGATCTTGGGCGCTTCCGGCAAACAAAGGGGCGTGGATCTCAGCTTCTAAATTGATTTGATCCAGATACTGATTTAATTAAAAACCAACTGCAAGTGCAATGAAAGCTTCCTTCGACAGCAGAGACCTGATGGCACCCCTGAGGGTAGCTACGGTAGCTGGAAGGAAATGACAATTGCCTGAACGCCTACGATGAGCTTGTTGGCAAAAATTAAACACTGTAAATATTTTTCAACACATTAAAGCCACTAAAAATAGTCTTCACTTATGCAAATCAGTAGCGTACTCCATTTCCGTGCCCGTATGATTTGCCTTCACAATGTTCAGCATTTTGGAACTTAATTTAATGTACAAAAATCACGCAAGAAGTCCGACTGGAAATGGTAAAACAAGAAACAACAACAACAAAACCTTAAGCCGAACCCCCCAAACTGAAACTGCCAAAAAACTTGTGCAATTTTCTTGTGCAGCTTTTAGCCAACAAAACGGGCAGCAAAAAATGAGGAAAAACCTAGGCGGGGTAGCAAATGAAAGAAAAGTCATTACAACTTGCACACAACTGCGAACAAATTGCAGAGAAATAATATTTTTCCTGGGACGGGTTGCTGCATGCGGCTGCATGTTGCATTGCCCATTCTGTGGCAATTGGAATTTTTGGCTACATTTTCCTATCTTCCAGAGAGCCTTTTACATCTCCTCTCTGTTGGCCGTAGAACCAGAGGAGGGGGCGCCCAATGTTTACGTAAATTGTGCTGAAGTAAGGACATTAAGTGGTAATTGAGTATGCCGGCGAGAGCCAAGTGAAATATGCTTTGCCATGGCCAGGCCAACCCTCCGACATCACCCACATGGTCCGACGTGTGAGCGTAGAAATGGGGGGAAAATTCAAGGAAAAAGCGAGTGCATTGGGCAACGAGTGCCGGAGCATTGGGGAAAATGAGTGCGAGAGCCCTCATGATAACCATGATTTATGATCTGTAGAATTTTTCAATTTTTTGTTCTTGGCAAACCAAACAAACGAAAATTGAATGAAACTTTTGGCAGACAAAGCTGCTTTCTCTGCCTCTGATTGGCTAACCGATATGAGGCTGAGGCATTATCTTCGGGTACAAGCCAAAGTATCTTCATGGATTATTATGCCAAAGGACCATCTATTATTAGCTGTCTTTCTAGGGGCCAAGAATTGTCGCATCACAGCTCGCAGATAAATTAAATGATTTAAATGCTTAACTCTTTAGTAAACCAAAATTAAAATAAAATTTAAATTAAGTTTAATACATTAAAATATTAAAATAAAATACAAATTGCTTCAACGTAAATTATTCCAAGACTTTAATTTTAAGGCCAACTATTGATTGAAACGTTACACTTTTAGCAGCCCCAACAAAATATTGTACACATTCTTGTCTGGTCTGGCAGATTTCCTCCATTGCCTTTAAGCTGAACGAAGCGTCAACGAGCAGGCTCAGGATTTGCGTCAACGGATGTGTAGGAGGGTAGCAAAAATGCGTTCAAACAAATTTAGGATGACACTTGGTCAGGTGCACAAGGATTTCTCTGTGTGGGTGTGTGTGTGTGCAACCCGACCTTGGTTACCTTGCGGCACTTTTGGCCTCGCCGCTCCATTGTTGGCCCCAAACTTTTGTGTACCAAACGTAACAGAGATATGTATTTTGGTAGAGGGGACAAGGGGCGCAGACACGACCCTTGGCGACCCCCAGCCCAGCCGACCCCCCACTCGTGGGTCGTGGTGCCATGTTATTGGAAGCCAATTTAGCCAGACAACATCGGCCGGGTCGATTGGCAGCCTCCGTGCCACCAATTTGTGCAATAAAAGTGCTGCAACAAATGCCATCGGCGGCAGCGTGCCTCGTGTTGCATATTTATGGGCATCACGGCAATTTATATGGCTCGAATGGCACGAATGGCGCGAATCGGAGGAATGGCTGCTGGAGTGGGCTTAAACGGCAATTGGCAAACGTCTTTTGCCGGCGACAATTTTCATTAAATTTGCATTCAAGCGGCTCCTTAACCTACCCCATTGCATAATTTATGGGCCCGCCACTTGTCCCCCCCCCTTGTGTGCGGTGGATGGGTGCTTGCGGATGGGGTTGCATGGGGTGTCGGATTGGTCGAAGATTATGCAAAGTTTTTATTCGGCGCCTGCTTGCGGCATGGACAGACGCCTCAACTTTTTTGGGAGAGTTTCGCGCCTGACTCGAGCAACTTTTGGCAATTGGGGGATTTTCCGCTTACCCTCCCACTGACTGTGCATGACAGGCGTGAGAAAATTGGCAAACCCAGGGCCGGAAATGACAGAGATATGCGGCGAGGACTAAGCCCGGATCCTGTTGGCTGCTGAAGCGCAAAGTATGGCTCCCCTGTGCCATGGCAGGACACTTTAAAGTTGCATAAAGCTGCGTAGAAAACCTTCCCTGGACTCAACTAACGAATTGATTGAATTTTTGAACAACCAATTTCCGTTTCAATCTTAAGAGCAAAGACAAAAAAAAACCCTTTTCAATTGCACAACAAAAGGGCGGCAGAGGCGTCGATGCCATTTGCAAACCGCAACAATTAAATTGAAATGCAAATGCAAATGGTAATTTCCAAAAGCCACAAAACAGCAGCAGGGTCAAGGGTTGAGTGCCAGCAGCGCCTGTGACACAGGCTCGACCTGTGCTCAGGGTTTTGCGGGGCAAAACATCGTAAATCTTTTGCTGCTTTTGCTGCGCCAAACTGTTCCTTTTGCTTTATCAAATGAAAACCCCCAAAAAGAAATAAATTACAAAATCATTTGGAAATGCATTTGCCTGCACATGCCCCCCCCACACACACACACACACACATACACACAGAGTCATAGCAGAAAGAAAACGGAAACTACTCGTAGCATTACGCCTTAAAGTAGGCAATAAATTTGTATTTGAAACGGCTACCCTACGGCGCAACATTTGTGGCTAATACCCAAGGCTGCTTTAGCAATTTGATGGAATTTCCAAAAAGGCCAGAAAAAAGTCTGCCCTAATAATATTGGTGTAATTTCCCAAAGAGAACCTCATCCTTTGCCGGTAATGTTATTCCTCCTCTTCCTCAACATCGTAGATCGGTAGTTTCTTTGAATATAGTTGTTCCACTTCCTTGGGCTTCTCTGCTGCCTCAGGATGATGCTTCTGCTCTGCCTCAGCATGCTTTTGCACAGTCTCAGCGGCTGTCTCGTGCTGCTCAGCAGCCACGGCCTCTGGCTTAACATGAGCAGCACTTCCGCTGCCATTTTTCTCCCAGTCTTTGAGTAATTTCTCAAAATCGCCTATCCGTTGCTTTTTGTCCTTTTCCGTCTCCGGTTCCTGGCCAACTCCCTGCTCATCTATTTCATCCTCATAGCCAGCAGGTGGTAGGGCATTCTGATGGCTATTATGAAAAGCAGTTCGATTGCCATCCTTGAACCAATAGGGCTTCGTTCGCTTGTACATGTGAGGATAATACAGAAACTCTGGATGCTCGTGCTCTTTATGTGTGCTAAATACGAGAGCCGTCAGTAAGGCCACCATTGGCAGTATGACAAATAGGGATATGTTGCGCCAACGCTTCATGCCCCCACCACTGTGCTTTGGCTTCTTTTCTTTCGGTGGTTTGCATGGATCACGTGTCTTGCCGCCCCCTTGAATTGTCGCTAGATTTTGCTTCTTGTTGATCATGACACATTTTTTCTCACGACTTATGAGCAAATCCTCGCTGCTTGCCTGCACTGCACCTGCACCGACCGGTGAGCACGGTATTTTTTTCCTTGGTTTGCATTTACTGCCGCCACAAATGATCGTTTCGTCCTTCGGAATTTCAACTTTATTCTCGCTGCAATTGGTCTTAAGCTTAGATGTGTTCTGGGACATATTTCTGCTGGTTTTTGCATGTCTGGATACGGTTTGCAAACGGCTTAGATATCGAAATAGATGCAGCATAATTTAGAGAAAAAAGAAAAACCAAAAATTTATTGTTCTTAGATTCCGAAACATCAATTTTGAATTTTGTTTGTGTAGCTTCTACTCTGTAGAGTATTAAAACTACTTTGATGGAATTTACAAATGAAGCGATAGAATTTCTGTGTTAATTCTGAATTAAGGAATCTCCTCTGATGGATTTTCCCCAAAAAGAATGCAGCCAAGAAAATGCCATCGCCCACATTGTAGCCCACAGATGAGCAATTTCTGTAGTTCACTCTTCCGTTTTCTTTTCTAATGTTTCTTTTTGCTTTTTCTTTTCGTTTATTTTTCTTCTTTTCCTGCTACTGCGCTTCCGCATGCTTTTTCCAATCTTTAAGTAATTTTTCAAAATCGCTTATCCGTTGCTTTTTCTCCTTTTCCTTCTCTGGTTCTTGTCCCACTCCCAGCTCATCTATTTCGTCTTCATAGCCGGCCGGTGGCAAGGCATTCTGATGGCTATTATGAAACGCTGTTCGATTGCCATCCTTGAACCAATAGGGCTTCGTTCGCTTGTACATGTGTGGATAATACTTGAACTCGGGATGCTCGTGCTCTTTGTGTGTGCTAAAGACGAGCAGCGTTAGAATGGCCACCATTGGCAGTATGGCAAATAGGGAAATGTTGCGCCAACGCTTCATGCCCCCACCACCGTGTGCTGTTGGCTCTTTGCGTTTCGGTGCGCATGGGCCACCGCCTTGAATTGCCGTCAGACTTTGTTTCTTTTTGTTGCTCTTTTTGTTGAGCAAATCATCGCAGCTTTTCTTCACGGCTCCAGGTGCATCCTTACCAGACGACGAGCTCGGACATTTCTTCTTGGGTTTGCATTTACTGCCACCGCTAATGGCCGTTTCGTCCTTCTTTGCAGGAGTTTTTGGTGGAGCGCTTTTTGGTGGAGCGCTTTTCACTGGAGGAGTTTTTGCGGCAGGACTTTTCGCTGGGGCCGGACTTTTCGCTGGGGCCGAGCATTTCGTGGGAGGTGTTTTCCCCTTAGACATCTGACGCAATGCAAACATCGCTTCCTTGGCATGCCCTGATATTTGCACATTTTTTAGCAATCGAACCAAGTGCAACATACTTTCAGCAAAAATTCAAAATTTGTGGTGGAAGTTTTCCGAAAAAGTTAATTTTAAAATATTAATTTATGCTACTTCAGCAGCAGGGCAGCTGTGACTGGAGCCTCGAAGCTGCTTTGATGGATTCTACAAAATTTAAATACTGAAGCAAAGACCGTACTTTGGTTCATGGAAATCAAACATACGACAGTTCCAAGAAATCCGGACAATCTGCCCCAAAAATATTATTCCAATCCCAATTCAATTATGATTTGAAGAGCCACAAGAACCGCATCGTAGCCACACATTTCAGGCATAAAAGACACTAAACATTTACGGTAGCCTGGCTGTATTCCAAATTAGCTTTAATGTGACATGAAACATTCTATGTGGAGGAGGATGTACCCGGGCCCAGCCTCCCAGAGGTAATTTAAGTTGTACGTCGTGCACATTCCACATTTGCCAAAGGAAACAAAGGAAACTGCCATAGAGACAAGCTAAAGTGCTTTGTAATTTCCCCAGCACAGAGGTGAGGGCCATGCCTCCTAGAGCGGCCCATTAATTAGGCAGGACCACAACTAAAGATAAGAATTGAAACAATGGCCGAGACGGCCGGGCGACCGGACCTTGAAAATATGTTGTGGCCATCATCCATCATGCTCAAGTGACGGTTTGTCGGGCAGCCGCATAAATATTACATTATAATTATGATGGCCAGACGACGGGGAACTGCGGCTGCAGCTGGTAGGGAAAACTTTTAGCTGGAAAATTAATCAAACACTTCACAAAAAAAAAAAAACAAAAAACAAAGAACAATACAGAAACTGCTCTCGGCCATTCATTATTTTCGAATGCCGTCTGGGCGGGCAGACGAAAAAAAAAACTTTGCCCAAGCAACTAATCGAAGGCATAAAAACCGTGAAATAAAATTGCAAGCAAATCGAAATAGAGGAAACCGAAGCGGGCATACGCTTACAGAGAAGCCTTACAAATGTATTATATAATTAATAGTAATTAATTGTAATTATGAATTTCTTGCAGCAGTAATTAAACTGTGAGATTAAAAAATGAATTATAATTATATATATAATATAATTATAATTATGAATTTCTTGCAGTAGTAATTAAACTGTGAGTATTTAAATACCTCATCAAATTTATAATATTTTTGTTGGTAGAGCATTCAACAAAAGGCCAAATCTCTGGCGCGACAGATGCCATTAAGCCAAAGTGGAGTACCAAAGTTGTTGGCATTAGACAGGAATGAAATCTCCCTCTCTGCTGCTCTTCGTGTCCTTGGCACTAATCAAATTACAAATGCAGCACACACACACACACACACACACATTAGGTTGTGAGACATTTGCTAGCAAAGCAATCAGATCACGCATACGCCGTGAGGGCACAGGCAGAGTCACTACCTGTATAATTTCACATATATGTAGATACATCCGCTTACATGTATGTACGACCGAGTATGCGAATATATCTATCTGCTAAGGTTAAAGCTGCTGTGATTGACATTGTCAAAACAGGTGACACTTGCACTCGCATTAAGTCAACCTTGTGACATTTTCTCTTTCGTTAAACCTTCCCCATGTGACATTTGCACTCCGCACCAGCCCCCAAACAACTTTCCTTAACCCTTGCCTGGTAGTCCATCTGCCAGCTCTGACTGCACACTGTATATCCTGCTGCTGACTGACTGGCTGGCTGGCTGGCAAATATATCACACATCACGTCTGTGACATTTTGACAAGTTTTTCACACGCTATTTGTCTGTGTGTGTGTGTGTGTGTCTGTTTGTTAACCATTAGCCTGGTTAGAGGATAAGCCAAGTTTTGGCATTTGATTCAATTAATTGGGGATTACTTTAACACCGACCAAAAAACTTTGTACGCCGAATTGCACAACTTGTGGCTTGGCTTATTTGAAATTCAAGAACGTTATTACACGCAATACCCCGCAAGAACGGGGGATACAAAAGAAAACCTTAGGGTAGATGCAGCTTGGAGTTAAACAGAACATTTTTGGTAAATGCTGGACATCTTATGGAGTATTTAGATAGATAAAAAGAATAGAAAAAATATGGTAATCAAACCATTTAATTTATTTAAATAATTGATTAATGAATATTCTTTATGTTTTGAATATAAAACAGCTCGCTGAGTATCAATCAGTCGTTCACTATAGTGCTTCTGCTCTCTGCCTTTTCTGCCGCCTGTCAGGCTGATTTCAAACCCAAAATGTATACTCCGCCACGGCTCCTCCGAGTCTGCTAGCACTTGTCGAGGTGTCAGATGGCACCCCAAGGCATTGACGACATTTTGTGAGTGTGTGTGTAGTGTGTGTGTGTGTGTGTGTGTGTGTGTGTGTGTAGGCACTGCTATCTAGCGTTCGTAATCATTTGTGCTTGCGGCAAAGATCCCTTAGCCATCACCTTTAACCAATCCCTTGCGCCGCCCTACAACCCCAGCGACAAACCCACAAAATAATATCCATGGCTGCAGTATGGAGGAGAAGGAGGCGAATGCTCATAAGTTTATCAGTTTAGCGCCATCTTCAATGGAAATTCCCTGAAAGTTCAGGTAATACTCGAGGGAGGGAGCCACAAAATTGATTTTGTTTCACTTTCGTCGTGGCTGCTGCCACGGAGCGCCTTCTGCTCACCTGCCTGGCATTGCCTCTTTAGCGTTAAATTTAATTTATGCTTTCGGAATGCAAACACACAAACGAAAAGTGTGATTTACTCCCCCAAATTTTATGATGGCCACTTTGTTGAGTTTGTACGACGTTGAGTACTCGCTGTTTGTTTTTTTCACGCCAAATCCAAGAATTTATGGGCTTGCATAAGGGCATCCAAATTGATAGCAAAACATTAGCGCCAGTTGGGCCGAGAGGGAGTTTGACTGGCTATAGGGGATGGATGGATTGAATGATTGAAGTGCTACAAATTGTCTGCCCATCAATGGGGCTTTAACTGCCTCCCCTACAGTTCGTCACTTCACACGTCCAGTTAATCACAAAAGTTCTATCGCAGATTTTTAATTAAATTTGTCATTAAAAGTGCCAACGCACGCAAAAGAATTGAACAAAATGAAAAGAAAGAAAACAAAATACGAAATCCATTGTGGTTTATGGAACTAAGGATTACCTAGTATTTTTGGTATACTACTTTGTGTAGCTAATTGTAGGCCATAATGTTTACAAAAAAGGCACTTAAATTAAGAGGAAAATACGTGGCTAAGTGCCAGGGAGGATTTTCTGTGTATTTTGGCAGCGGAGAGCGGAGAGACTTTTTTTCCTTGTTCTGTCGCTAAAATATATCCGATTGCAATGTTTTTCGATGTACATACGAGTATAGGCAGAATATAGTAATTAATTTATTACAAACAATTTTCGGAAGATTATTTTTAATATTTCTACATTTTCAAGATGCGAAAAGAAGCGGTAATAATTTTTCTACAAATTAAATCTTCCAGAGAATCAAAAACTGTCCCTGTGATAATACCCTTACGCTCTTCTACACAAATAAGAAAATAGAGTACACGTATACCCTTATTTTGTACAAATACCCTGTACAAAAAAGTATAAAAAAATCCCTACCCACTGAGATAGCCAAGTGACAGCCTCATTGTGTCCGGTGCGGTGCCTGAACGAGCTCAGAGCCCAAAAGTAATCTCTTTTCGGTCTGGGTTGGGCCTGGGTCTCCCGACTCTTTTGATTGGTGCTGGCCACGAGCGCAATCGGCCGGGGAATTGTGCGGTCCAACGCTTCTGGTTATACGCCTGAGTGTATATATGTACATATAATATTGCGATGTTGTGGATACATTTTCTGCCAGCATGAAATATTTCTGGTAAATCAAATTAAATTGAAGGTGCGTAAAAGTAAGTGGCGAACGCAAAAGGCGAAAATATCCTGCTCAAGTCGAATGAAGCTTTTCGCATTCAATGAAACGGGTTTCATTCATTATTTATGGTGGTGGATGGGGCTATATTCGTTTAACTGGCAATTACCTTTGAATGGGGGTTTCATAAATTTAACAATCAACTAGAAGACCATCAAATTACAAGATGTCTGGCAGCCTAATGGCTGGCACCTAAGCAGCAAGCCGATTTGCCCTAATTAGCTGCTGTTTTCATTGTCATGGCGAAAGTCTTAGAAGGGCCAACCAGTTCCTGAGTGAGATTTAACCTGCTTTATTCGTGGGTTAGGTAAAAGCAAACTCCTGCGAGTTTCTAACTCGTAATTATGTCCTCATTACTCTTTTTTCCACTTTGTTTTTCTGCACCAAAATAAGCTTTAAGGCTTTTCCTGCCTCACCTGCGCTCACATCGCACTTTCCATGCTCCCTCTCTCTGTCTCTCCTTTTCTTTTTCTGTGTGTTTTTTCCTGGCACTAAGTGCAACTCACACCCACACCCACACACACACACATATCTTTTTTGGCACTTTTTGGCACTTACTGCCTGTTTTTCTTTGGCTGTTATTTAATTTTTATTTATCTTCTCAGACGTTGGCGGTTCGTTGGTTGTTACGAGGACTTGCCACAGCATCTCCTGCGACCCCTGCCACATGTGAAATTAATTTTCATGGCACTTTTTACGTTGGCTTCTTCCATGCCTCCTCCTCCGCTTCCATTCTCTTCCCTTTTCTTGCCACCCGTTTAAATGATTGAATTTTAATTTTGTAAATGAAGCATTTTATATAAAATTGATTCCCTTGTGGCTGAGTGTGCTTTCACAACTTATTTGCGTATGTGGCGTCTGATTTTTCAAGTTTTTTATTTATTTTATTGTCCTATTATGGGGAAGTAAACATGCAAGTCGCTTGTTCTGCGAGGCAGACTTTGCTTAACGAATAGAGAGAGAGAGAGAGAGATCGGTTGTTGATTCTTTCCTTCAGTTAAACGCCTTCAATAATACATATATGGAAATGGGACCCTTTTCTTTTGACTCTATACTTTACAAAAAACAAATCCTGACACTGTAAATATTCAATTATACCGCCCTACACCCAGAGTTTGGATGATCCGCCCATTTACATACAAAATGCGATGGCTAGAACGTGTGTGTGTGTGTGTGTGGGTGCTCCAACCACGCCCCCGTAATCGAAACAATTGCACTTTGACAGAAAATCCAAAAACATTTTAAGCTCTCTCTCGTTTCTCATTTATTTGTACCCTCCTGCCCATCAGCCATTTGGCCACCTGGCCAACCTGGCCAGCACATCGAAATTCATGGAAATTTCTCCTCTACACTAAATGGGTTTTTGTTTCCCTTCCATCTCATTTGTTTTATTTGTTGTATTTGTTGTTGTAGTTGTTGTGTCCTTCTTTTTGTCCAGTTGTCCAGTTTCAGGTTTCAGGTTCTGTTTGCAATGGCGAACCGCTTGATTTGCTGTCTGTTCTGTTCTGTTCTGTTATTTCGGTCCATATTGTGTGTCACATCTATGGGCAATGGGCATCCCAGCCCATCCCCGCTATGGCTTTCCACATAGTGGCATAGTGATTCTATTTTGTGGGCACGCCAAATGAAATGGAAGCGCATAAATGAAGTGCAGAATAATGGATGAAATTGATTGGTTTGTCAGTGGCAAGAAAGGACTAAAACGAATTGATTAATTGCCGTAGCTATCTGGTTTAAATAAATGTTGAAATACTTTAAAATCCTACAGAAGGCAGTCTTCCTGTATTGTACGTTGGGTTTCTGCTTTGTTTAGGGATTGTTTTCATATTTCCAACAGCACTTAGCATAGTAATAGTATTAATAATGTAAGTACTAATCGTATAGCAAGACCACATTTCCCCTGGAATCATTTCAGTAAGCTGACAATTTAATAGTTTTAGTCTCATTATCGGATATTTATAACATCAAAAGTTTTCTATCGCGCACACAAGTTTTTCCTTTTCTGTTTCACTTTCTGTTCTTTGCTGTTGAGTTTATCACCCTTTCCACCCCACCAAAAAGTACAAAAACAACAACATTCATGCCACTTTATCTTCTGATACCTCCTCATCCTTGCAACATTATTTAAGTATACAAAACTGCGTCATAATGTCGTCGACTTGTGCAGCCGGAAATTGTTTTGACGTTTGTTGTGGTTTATGTCTCATGAGTACCCCTTCCCACCACAACAAAAAAACAAAACAAAAAAGTGCTACTGCTCATCTGTATTTTTGTTAGCAAACAGGAAGTACAGTGCCCCTAATTCATGCCACAAACCGACCCACTTGCCACAGTTGACATAGCTAGTTGGGTTGGTGAATTAATGTGTACCCTGTAGTCGGTGGGAGTAGATCTTAGAGGCAGAAGAGATGCTGTATATGTTGTCAATTCTTTCTGAGAAATGTAAGCTATAAAGGTTTAGCCTTCTGTCCATTTTTGTAGATGAAAATGGCCCTTAGAGACTGTAAGAGCTAACACTTGTAATTCACTATTAGTAAAACATAAACCCCCTTTGGTACTTAAATAGGATCGAAAGTCGAATCTTTATGAGAATCTTTACCCAAAATTGTCAGAGGAACTAATAAATGGAGTAGTATATACTGATTATGGTTAACAATAGTCAGGAATCAATCGGAAATCAGCTTTGCTATTTCTCATCCTCATTTTTTTTTTTTTTGTTTAAAGAAAAATCATTTTGAATATATAAAAATTAAATTTAAAATTCAGAAAACTTGTTACCTTGCCTTTTGACTGCATCTACTATATTTTCTTCCTAGTTTTCACCTTAAAACTATTCCTTTCTAATAGGTATCCTTTAGTCGTAGCATAATTCAACGCTCCTCTACTTGTCATTTTGTTGGTTGACTTCTTTTGGCCCCAAATGAGAGTGCGGTTTTGGTCGCTTAGCTGTTATTTCAGTTCGTTAGCATAAATTTTGTGTTGTCAGAACAACACAGCACAGTATTTGCAACCGACGCGACTGTCTGCATTAAAAGTCGAGAACCTAATTATCCGGGAACCTAGCAAAAGGAACAGCAGCAACAGAAGCAACGGCAGAGCCATTCAGTGGCAGGGAAAGAGTCAGCTTTCCATGCAAATGAGTTTAAAATTGGGACACAGAAAAAAAAAAAAAAAAATGCAGAAGAAGAAGAAGAAAAACATGAAGAAGAAGAAAATGCTTAATGAATGCATTGCGAAAATTACATTGTGAAAGCCAGCCACTAGATTGCGTGACGACGAGTCATTCTATGGCTAGAGTTTTCGTTTTGGTTTTATTTTGTGGCCAAAGGGTTTTTGGTGTCTCTTCTGCTGTCTTAAAGGTTCGTTTGCCATGTTGAAAGTTCAAGCAGTTTGTCTACGACAAACCAATTTTCAACGCTTTAACCGAAGGTCACCCGCCGTGGAAATGTCTTGACCCTGTGTGTTAACCAACACCGCTTCCTGGTTGATTGTTGTGTAAATAATAAATGTGAAAATAATTATTTGTGTACTGCGTTCGTGTCTTCATTCGACCTGAGGGTATCCTAATTGCATTACGTATACGCAATGCGGATCAGGGAGGGAGGGTGGAAGGACACGGAGGGCTCGAGCCACCAGGTAGAACCAGGGTCAACAGGGTGTGAGGGCAGGACAATCAATGTCAAGAACCACTTGGCAATGGAAACCCAAAGGTTATCGATAATACATATACACATGCACATTTATATATCCACTGAAGTATATATGCATAAAAAAAAGTATGCCAAATGGAGGTTAAAGTGTGATTGACATGGGATAATATTCAATGGATTCAACGTATTGATTGTGCGAGCGATAGGGTCAATGGAGGCAAATCCACACAAACCGTTTTGCAAAATTATACAGAAAATAATAAGGAGGGGTAAAGTGGAAAGGCAAAAAGCAATCTGTTCGGCTCACAGGTAAAAGGCTGAAATTTAAAGAACACTGTTTCTGGAACAATCAAACCTCTCACTCTATTTTGAGCTCAAATTCCGGCACATACATGAACATTTCTCGCATGATTTACACAGAACTGAGTAGCCCACAGCCCGCATTCCAGTAATGAATAGCAATTAAGCAATATTCTGCAAATAACCCGCAGACTAATCTGCATAGCATTCAGTTTGATCAACCGTACTGACATCGTACCCACCGCCTAAAGCCTAAGAGCACATTTAAGGTTCCAGGCATCCTGCGGCAGACAGGAGAGACTCACCTGTTTAAAGAACACCCCCTCCAGACAGTGCAGCCCATTAATATGCAGAAGACATAGAACGTAGCGAACAGAACAGAACAGAAAACATACGAGTACGAGTAGACTAGTACAACGAACATGTTTATTTGGGTCATTATGCAAACAGAGGCACCCAGAGAGAAACAAGACCCAAACCCAGAGCCCGAGTCAGAGCCACAGACACAGCCAGAGCCCAGACCCTGAGAATATGATGATAAATGATATGCTGCTGGTCTTTGAACCGTAAATGATGCATATAATACATTAAGTTGGGATCTAAGCCAAGATCTCCGTGGGGGGTTGGTCGGAAGTACAAAACAAAAACAAATTCAATGAATCAAAAATCAAAATGAAGGAACCCCCTCGTGTAGAGAGAGAGAGAGAGAGAGGGTGTGATGGAGGGCAATGTACGGTTGCACCCGTCATCCGGCATATTACCAATGCAAATCCCAGCAATAAGTTCTGTAGTGCCTATTTATAGGGGGGGGGGTCTGCCTTTTGTTTATCTGCAATTTGCATATGCGGGAGGGTGCCACAAGGAAGTGTATTTTATGACTGAAATATGCATGCAGCGGCCTCAAAGTACAAATACAATACCAAAATGCTTCTCAAGTTTTGCATATTTCCCCAAGTGCCCCAAAAAAAGGCAAAAACTTTATTCAAAGCAGCAACAACAAAAAAAAAAACCAAAAAAAAGAAAGGGTGGAAAACGTGCTCCAAGCAACTTTACTTTATGTTTTGGAGCAACAGTCGTAAAGGAAACTCATAAATGTTATGGAAACTCGAGAGGCTTAAAGGTATTAATACTGCGACATGAGACATCCTGAGGCAAACATCATGTGAGAGCAGCCAAAAAAAGGGACATCAAAGCTGTACGAATGCGTGATATATAAGAAAATATCTGACATTAATTTAAGTTTAATCTGATACTATATATAAAGAGTATGGGTAAACCAAGACTGAGCCACAAAATATACCATCCCAAAAGTATTTAATATTTTTCATTAAATTAGGATTTATATTATTCTGCATATATATATAAACTAAATATAAATAAATTATATTAAAAAAGTAGACAACCGTAAATAATTCCATTTCCATGCTAAATGTGCAATTTTCCACCCATGATCTTTGAAAACATTTTATATTATTGCAACAAATTCATTATTACTCGTAGGCATCGCCATGAAGCTTTTCTTGGTTCTACTCCCTTTCTTTGGTGGGTTTTCGGTCTCTAGTTTATTAAGATTCCTTACAATCTTTTGTTATTTTAAAGCTATGACTACATCCGGAATTCATTGTGCCACCAACTGCTCGCTAGCCTGCAACAGAATGTACTGGCCCCATTGTGGTTTTGCCCATGACTGTAATTTGGAAGCAGACAATGCGTGTATTTTGGGCTATGAGATCTGCAGACGTGGGAAAACTAATATGCCACGGAAGCTAAGATCATAAACCTCAAAAATATTAAACTTGTTTCAATAGAATTTGCCTCAGCATTTGAAAGAACAGCCGCTAAAGAGTGTCCCACCAATAAACCCAAATGCCGACGTGTAGATCCGTAATGAGAAGATGGTATCTTTGGGATTGGAAGTTGTAGAACAGAACCCCATCGCATCGAAATATTCAGTTGCAAAAAATGTATTTCTGTACCGAGCATTCACATTTGAAAAAAAGCAACCCATGCAAAAGGAAATATTATTTTTACTGCATGAAATTAATTATTAATTTTGCGCCATTTAACGACTCAATTTTGATCTATAAAGCCCGCTTGCATGACGCTGAAAATATGTTCCTTTTTAGAACGAATGCCATGCCAAATATAAGAGCTGTTTGCTTGAAGATATGAACTTGAAACGAAAGTTACAAACAAAAATTTAATAATAGATCAAAAGTATAAAATACAAACTGCAAATTTCATAGCATTCAAGGAAATTATCAAAGGCCCTTGCTCTTCAAAATAATGAATTTCATCACTAATTTGCATTTCGTATACTTTATGGAGCTATCCATAAAATCCATATATCGGAAAAATAAAAATTATGGTCGATATATTTGTGGGAATAATGTGGAACATAAATAGAAATACGACTATAGTCTCCTGAATTTATGTATGCAGTTCACATTTATCGAAGGAGCTCAAACATCTGCTCGGGCTTATAAGAAATTTTGCGCTTAATATTCTGGATTATTAATGGTATTGTACATATATATGTATATATAGTGCTACAAAAATATTCATTCTACTGTAATATCCCAATTGCAAAGCATCGTCATGAGGTTCCTCTTGATATTTTTCCTAATTGGTAAGTTGGAGCGTGAATTAGTTTAGTTTATTTTGTTTTTTTTTCTTTTTAAGCTATGACCACGTCATCCAATGTTGAAGAAGACTGTAAGTTAGCTTGCCCCCCAGAACTGAATCCTATTTGTGCGTTTGATGAAGCTCATAAAACTTCTTTTTAAGACACGTCAGCCGATGTAGAAGAAGACTGTAAGTTAGCTTGCCCCTCAAGAACTGAATCCTATTTGTGCGTTTGATGAAGCTGATAAAACTTATTACTTTAAGAACGATTGCTTTGTCCAAGTAGAGAATTGCATTCGTGAGAAAACAAATTTACGAGGTAAGATTACAAAAATACAAGTTTGTGAAAAAACAAAAATTAAAATCAATCCCATTTCACAGCATTAGAAAAGCTTATCTTTGGCGCCTGCCCTAAACTTATAAGGTAATAGGTATTTGCTATCAATTAAATAAATATGATTATGTAACCATAATGGTTGCAGTAACTGTAGGGATTTTTTAAATTTATACCGGAAATAATCAGTAGCGTAGTAGCAATCACTCAGCGTAGAAATGTATTCCTATGTACTCCAATATCGATACTATTATGGGCTCAGGAACACCAACTTCTCTACGTTTGAGGGGAATATCTCCGCTTCATACTCCTTACCAATTTTCTGGTTATGCAAGCTAAAACTATTATAATTGCATGTAAAATGAGAAATGTTGCGCCCATCAGTCTGGATCATTAAAAGCATTGGATGGTGTTAAAAATATCCATTTTATTGCAATATCCCAACTGAGGATCGTCATGAGGTTTCCCTTGATTTTTGTCCTAATTGGTAAGTTTGAGAGCGTGAATTTTAGAATTTTAATAGTTTATTTTGTTTTTTTTTTAAGCTATGGCCACGTCAAGCGATATTAAATCTCTCTGTAAGACATGGTGCCCTAAAAATCTTAAGCCTCTTTGTGCGGCTGATGAAAATGGTCTAGCTCATTACTTTCCTAACGAGTGCAAGTACGATATTGCAAATTGCAAGCGTAGGGAACAAAACTTGACACGTAAGAATACAAAAATAACCGTTTAAAAAGCAAACATTAAAATCAATCTCATTTCACAGCACTAAAAAATATGATCTATGGCGATTGCCGGAAAGTAAAAAGAATTTTACGCAAATAGGTATTTTATAACCATTAAATAAATATGATTATACCCATAATGGTTCGAATATCCTTACAATTTTGCATGCAAAATTACAAATTTCGCGCCTATTAGTCTGAATGATTAAAAGTATTGCATGATAGTTAAAAGTACCCATACGGTTGGCTCATCTCATCTTAAAGGCATCGCCATGAAGATATTATTGATTCTTTCCCTAATTGGTGAGTTTGAAAGCGCAAATTTCGGAAATCTAATAAATGATCTCTGTTATTTTTAAGCTGTGGCTTTGTCACAAAATGATACTAGTACGTGTAATAAAAAGTGCTACTTAGTATGGCAGCCACATTGCGGGATTCATGATGATGGATTCAGAACTCCCCTTTATAACGAATGTCATGCAAAATATGCCAACTGTATGCGTTTAAAAAAAAAATCAAAGCGTAAGTTAACAAAAATAGTTATTATATTAAAAAAAAAAAACACAAACTTTCAATTTGCAGCATTCAAGGAAATTAAGAAAGGCAATTGCTGGCAAAAAAATTGATCAATTTCGTCGTTGATAGCAAAATGTACATACATCGTATGATATTACAATATTTGCTGGCTGTTCATTTCGGATTGCATTTCGTATCCTTTATGGATTATATATGTATTTTCTAGCTATCAAATAAATAAAAAAAATAAGAACTATGGTCTATAGTCTCCTGATTTTATATATGCAGAAGAAGCTCATATATCTGATGGAAGTAAGAATATTCTCTGTAAGGGGCATATCCTGGGGTTATGCAAGCTGAAACTAATTGAATGAAAAATTTTACATTTTGCGCATATTCGTCTGGTTCTTTAAAAGCATTTCATGGTAGCTAAAAATATACATACAAAATATATACATATTGGCATATCTTACGTTATAGCATTGCTATGAGGATATTCTTGATGCTTTCTCTAATTGGTGAGTATTTCTGTGTAAAATCTAAACTATTTAATAAGATTTCTCTGTTGCTTTTAAGCTGTGGCAACGTCAAGGGATCTTAAACTCAAATGTGTGTCAACGTGTCCTTCAGTATTTTAACGAATGCTATGCCGTTTATCAGAGCGGTTTGCTTTTAGAGAAAAATTTAAAACGTAAGTTAAAAATAATAATAATAGTATCAACAAAATACGAACTCTTATTTCACAGCATTAAGGAAATTATCCATGGACCTTGCCCTATAAAATGATGAATTTCATCTTAAATTGCAAAATGTACATACAATCGTTTGGCATTATAATACTTTAATTTCGTATCCTATATGAATAAAAGAATCAGACCAGTAACCCATTACTATGTTTCTCAAAAATAATGTCTATATAAATATCTTTGGCTCTATTGGCTCTTTTATTCGTTTTATGTTTGTGGTCGGAGTGGCGGCCTGCAGCCACGAGTGGGAGAAGCAATATTAAAAATTCCACTGCTACAGATGTGTTCTCAAGGAAACAATCTGAAGCTGTTGAGTCGAATATCATCTTGTCGTCACATGACTTGTCGTCAACGACGAGCGTCTGTCTTTGTGTCATGCTATGAAATCAAATTGAGTGTGTGTCTGTGTTTTTCTTTGGTCGGAAAATGGCCAACTCACTCGCGAATGCTTTGAAGGAAGGAAAACCCCCTGCTGTGATTGCACTGTCAAGTGGCGAACGTGTTTCTACTTCACGGCAAATTAAGTTCCGCCAGAATGTAGCTATGCCGAAGTGTTTTCTCGAGCGAATAATGTCTAAATTTAATTCATACAGGAAATATATTTGGTTATACTTTAATATAAAGAATTTCTTATAAAGGTATTTCATGGCATAGCTTTTTTAGGTTTACCAATTTTATGAAACTCTCTTCAATTCCCTTAATTAATCCTTAAAGGAGAAGCTAAGCTAACAAATTAATTAATTTACATCTTAATTAAACTGTAAATTTTAAGCATAATTAAATAAATATTTGGGACCAACAAAAACTAGACGTTTCTGACGCCAGAAACAGGGGAAATTCATTAAAACCAACTCTGGGAAAATCCTTAGAGCCTGTCGACAACAGAGAGTACGAGTGCGACCAGAAAAGGAGGGAGATAACGTCACCTCACTCTCTCGTTTTCTCTCTCTCTCTCTCTCTATGTCTCACACCTTCCCAACTGAGTTGACAATGTTTGTCATTTGCGCTTCATTTAGTTTTGGCCATTGAACGAGCACTTGATGCCGATGCCGATGCTGCTGCCACACTGTCGATGCTGATGCTACTGCTGATGCCGATTATGTCTAAATCAGAAAATGTTGTTTAATCTGTGGTGGGCCTTATACCTCGATGGCGGGGCACAACATGAAGTCTCCGGAAATTGCCGAAAATGTGCCCGTCGAACTTGGTTTTTTTTCTTTCAGAACTCTGGCCACAGAATTTGTTTTGTTTCTCTATTAGGATTTATTTTTTTTGCGGCTCCCCGAAGCGTATAATAATTTATTATAACTGATGAAGATAATAATCAACAGAGGACACCGTGTGTGCTTGGTGGTTGTGGTGTGTGGGATGTGTGGTGGGGGGCCTTGAGAAATGACAGCTGTCATTGACTGAGCATTTGCTTGTAAGCCCTAGAAGACATTTATATTAAGAGTTTTTTTTTTGTATTTCTCAAGAGAACACAACAGTCGAAGGTGATCTCTTTATGGGAAATACATATCAAGATTTAATCGTAATTCTGTGAAACTTTTCTAGGAAGTCTATTTTGGGGAATTACTTTATGAAATATAAGGATTAGAGGCATACTTCTAAGGTGCTTACAGCCAAGGATTTTATTTGAATGAGAATAATATGATTAATGGTTTCAGTGAAAAAAATTAAAACATTTATTAAATGTATATTCTATATTTCGATTATAGCATACCCTCTATTTAGAATTCGATTTTTACTTCGATTGTGGCTGCCAATAAGAGGATATAGGAGGAAGTTACTTTCGGAAATATCTCAACAGCTGGCAAAATATTTTAAACTTTTTGCACTGTAATATTTATTTGCTGTTGATGTTTTATCTTATGTGGGTAGATGTTATCTATGTTCTAGAAATAATCTTACAATTAATATGAACTTCTCCCCAAATATTTCTACTACTTAACACAGAAGGTTCCCCTAACTACATCTCCCTTTCAATTACTTTACATAAATTCCAACTCCATAACACAGTTAATGTGCCCTCCATAGAGTGCAGAATATAATCAACACACGTGCCGTGCCGTAAGACACATTTTTCAAAAGGTACCTTAATGAACCTCTAGGTGCCTGTCGTATGGGCGTGGGCTCCTAGACAAATACAGGAATCTGCCATTTGTTAATCGGGACACGCACACGCAAATCAAAATCGCAAATACATACAAAGCAAAACAAACAAAAACAATACAGAAGCGGAAAGACATAAGGCACACCTGCGAAAGGTTACCCATCAACGTTATTTATTCACTTTGTTGACAATAATACTTTTACTTGGCGTTCAGGAAATACCCGAAAAATTGTGTGTGTTTATCCAGAAATAATCATCATTTGGAATTTATACAGCAGAACGGTTAACTTTTTCGTATTAAAGAATATTTATAGGAATATTTAAAAACTTTCTTACCAGTTTGAGAGTATTGTGGGTGAATTATATTTCCACTACGAATCCTTTTAAAGTTCGTTTTTTCGTTGCTTTCTTATCCCTGATGCTGATGCTATTTGAATTTTCGTTTTGTGCACTGACTCTGGACAATTTCACTTTTTGGCTACTTTGCTGCTGCTGCTCTGTCCTTTCAACATTGTCATCTATGGGAGAGTCTTTTTCCCAGTGAGCAATATGAATCGCTAGTTTTTCACATGATTTAACATGCAAAGCACAATTTCACAAGAGCTTTGACTGCCTGCCAGATATTTGCTTTTTTGGTTTCTTGGGGAATTCGTTCTCCTCTTTCGACTTTAACTTGATTTTCATTGAAATTTTTCCAGTTCTTAGTTCTTTCGATTTTCACATAAAACGTTGGTTATTGGGTTTTTTTGGTTGGATGCTTAAAGCATATTTTTATGGCACAAACTGTTTCGTTAATTTGTTTGGTTTTGCATCGCTGGCAGCACGCTTTACATTACTTGTTTTCTTTTGCTGTACGAGAATTAAGGCACACATAGAATTATTACGATTTCCATTTCCGATTAAAGCTGGCAAATAATTCGTTTCATTTCTAAAAATACAATTAAGAATTACTAAAATAAAATATCTGCTTTGTAGCACAAAATACTTAAAGGCGAACCGGAAGCCAATTGATCATTTTCGTTCGTGTAATATGTAAAGCCGATTAAGGCAAATGCCACTTTATTTAATGTCGCCCAATGCCAATTTTACTATACCAATAAAAATCATTTGAGTAATTTAATTCTGACTGATGGAGGTCGTCAAACCGAAGGCAACAACGTTTCAAGGTTTGCCCAAGAGATTGCCGCCATGAAGAATGACAAATGGTGTCAATCATTGCTGGGTATAACTTTTCACAGAAACGCCACTCTATCCCCTATCCTGACCATAATCAAATTGAAGTTACAACATGCAAGAAGCTGCTGCTGATGCTGCTGGAACTATGTATCCCCCACAGCACTTAAAAATATCTAAGCTTTCCGCAGTTACTTAAAGTTTTGAGTGCAGTAAGCAGCAGATTTAAGAATATCAGTGGAAACTCGTTAAATTTACAAGCGCGTGGGAATTAGTTACAGTTGGGCCAAAGTCTGTTTTGAAATTGCTTTGTTTTTTACGACATCTGTTTTAAGTATCTTCATAATCTTTAAGTGTGTATATTGTACAAGTTTTTTAGGAAAATTATATGTGTTTTTTACTATTTAAATGGCTTGTGTCAGTTAATACTGAAGTACAATTTATTACAGATGGAAATTTTTTCGCTTTATTTATTAAAATTCTGTATTATTATTTACTTTCTTTACTTTTAATTTTTTTATTACTTTCTTAATTTTTTGTTCAAGAAAAATAATAAAAAAAAATTATTGTCTATCCGTTTAAAATCAAAATTCAACATTTAAAATTAGTATTATTTTTATTTTTTATTAATTTATTTTACTTAAGGAATTATGATTTTAATATTGTACAATAAATTGATCATTTTACAGTTGTGCAAATCTTTTTCTGTGAATATTTTTGTTATTGAGATTTCAAAAACTTCATAAATCACATGGCCATAATTTTGTTTTGTTTTGACATTTCCATCTAATTTTTCAGCATAAATATTCCCAAAAAATCACGTTCTCACTCACTCACACACGCATAAGGGTAAAGCACGATCCAACACTCGAATTTGAGTAGAATTCTCAGTACGAAAACACTTGAATTATTATCCAAAAAGCACTCGGTACGCAGATAGGTTCGGTTCAAATTTCTTTAGCATTTTCGCATTTTGCTTCCGAATCGTTTGAGATGCGCGCTGTCGGTGCTTTCCCGAGCTGCATTACTTCATGACTGAACGTGTGTCGGGACATGTCTGCTGGCGCTCGTTCCCGAAAGTCGTCGGAGTCGGACGACCAAGCCAGTTGCTGGCTAACAGTTGGCTAACAGCTGGCTGTTAACATTAACAGTGGCTGCCATTGTTTGTTGTTGTTGCGGTAGGTTGGGGGGCTTTTTGCGTCACGTGCTGGCGCTTTGTTGCTGCTTTTGTTGCATTGAACTTGAACTAGTAACAAAAATTGTTGTAGTTTCTGTCGCTGTGTGGTTGCTGTTGCTTCTGTTGTTTTGACATTGGCGCGCATTTTGCCGGCTGTTTTGTTGCCTGCCTGTGCGCTCTCTCCGTGCGCATGCTCTCTCTTCATTCCACTGGCCAGTGGGATAGCCACAGCCACAGCCAACAAGCATGTTGTTGCTGTGGCCGTCTTACAATTTGCAAAGGCGTTGCAACGGTAAAGAATTAATTAGGCCCCCGCCATCTTTGCATGTGTAATATGATAATGTCAAACGAATAAATAATGCATTTTGGGGAAAAGCTAATTTTCAATGCTCTTATGAAATGTGACACACTACGTATGAGTAATCTGATTGCAGGGGGATTAGCAGGGTCGATGCTAGCAACTTAAGCGTGTGACCTGTGTAGTAGCTTAAGGTGTTCCACAATTAAGTAATTATTTTCACACTCTTGCGTTTGTATGTACAAATTAATTATGGACTTATTCTCACTGTACTTTTGTTATTTTGTTTAATGTTTATAATCCTTCGAACATCAATTAAAATCTCTTAAATATAATTTAATCCCGATTACAACTAATTAGTATTATTGGGTTCTAAAACCTCACCCCACTTTAAAACATAATAATTCCTTGGATACACTGCCCTTTCCGGCCAATTCTCTACCATTATAGTTGGCTTAAAATCCCTCCAAAATGTGCTGTGGTCGAGTGCCAGAATAGAGTTACGGTTCACCATGACAGAAACGTGCAGAACAGATGCGCAACAAGAACCACAAGAGTGGCAACAACCTCAATGACTTGGCCGACAGCCATCGCCATAGCCATCTGTGGGGTATGGCGGAGAACAGACAGGAAGCTGCGTCTGGGTGGCGAAATTAATGCAGTCCCATGTGCACACAGCAGCAAGGAAGCATGAAAAATCCATAGAAAAAAAAACAGCTTCAACTGCCGAAGGATGCGAACCATTTTATGGCCCTTGCAATTAAGAGAAAATCACCAAGGTGGCGTCGCGTTGCGGAATTCTAAGAGAATGAGAGGCGGACAGTGTGAGTGTCAGAGGGTGGGGGATTTTTCCGAGCACGCTCATTAAATTCAAAACGTGCGGAAAACCCAGAAAAAACAAGTGATGACTCTGCCTGAGTGCTGACGATGATAATGGTTAGCGATTCACGATCCAACCAACCAAAATACTGAAAATACTTAGCCGAACCGAGTGGCTGAAAGATATGTGCTAGGGATGGTTTAATGGTTGGTGCAAGCGAATGGGTAATGCTGTTGGACAGAATGTCCAACTTTATTGCAACGGAAGTTGTTGGCAGTAGAGCGGAAGTTCCGCCAGTTAAGTGGTTGCATCTGCCACAGCCACTGCTGCTGCTGCTGCACAGATGTGGCGCTCAAAAGCAAACTATGCATTTTTCATTTTGTGGATGTCTTTTTTTTTTGTGGACGAGCATATGGTTTTTTTTTTGCAGGAAAGAGAAAAATTTGCTATGGAGCAAGGAGTTTTAAGGAGAAAATTGGGGTTCTAATTAGGGATAATGAGTGGGAATAAAACGGAAAAGGAAGGGAACGAAGATAAGTGCTTTATGAACGGTAAACGTAAACAAATGGAAAGGCAAGGACTGGAAAGCAGATATGGAAAGTAAAAGCACGATAGAAAGAGAGGGAAACAGCAGAATACTCGCATAAGAGACGCCTGCTTAGCTACCTTTTATGAGAAGTGCATAGAAAGGTGCTGTTAACATTCCTATGTTAAAAAGGGTCGCTGTAAAAATACACATGTTAAAATATACTTTTTACAGTAAAGGGTACCAAACTCAGTGCGGAAGTGCGCTTTGTTAGCTTCCCCTCTTTTATCTGTTGCCTCTTGGTATTGTTTAATATCCAAACTTAATTTTCTCATCTCCTTTTATCATTTCTATCTTCCTGTAGCTGCTTTTCTAAAGTGCGCCATCAATGCGTGCAGCAAATTGAATTTATTTCATCGATTCTTGAGATGTGAAGTCCCAGTGCCATTTTTATTCTGCGTAGTCCCAGGCAATCCTTCAGTCAAGTGGCAGTTGCAACGTGAACTTGATACTGAAAAATTGAACAAAGCAGCAAAACTTGCAACGTGTGTGTGTGCGCGTGTGTCTGTGGAGTTTAGAGGTTGTAGGTTGGAGATTGTCGTAGATTTGCTTGCATAAAAGTTTACAAACAAAAATCAATTGTCGTTGTTGCAACACACAGTCTCAGCCTCAGCCCCAGCCACTGCCACAGCCAATGTCACTGACTGACGAGGGAGGGGGAAGGCTGCACTATGCATATGTTTATAGTTAGGATCGTAACGAATTGGCCAATGTTTGTCGTGGGCTAAGCCGCAAACTAACCAAAAGACAAGGCAAGTTTTTCTGTTCCACAACGGAGGGTAGTCTTGTCTGTTCTCCTGCAACTTTTCAGACTCCTCTCCTGAAATTCTTTGCTTGAATTTCCGCCAGAGAGAGACAAACAAAAAAAAAGAAAATCAAACTGAAACTTAAATCGTTCCATCCACGGCCAAGTTCAAGTGGCAAAGTAGTCATAAGCCGCTGCCACATGCCTGTATGGGGGAGTACCATAGTACTCGTACTTGGCCATCGATGGCAAGCTTTTGGTAAATATTTTAAGTATGTGTGCATTGGGCTTAGGAATGAGGCAACCAGCGAAGCGATAAAAGGTTCCCACTGGGCTTTGGATGCAAATTTAATTTTGTGTCACAGCTGGCGCAACGGGCAACAAAATTTATATAAATTGTTCCACCTCGCCCTTGGCCATGTGTGATCCACAATCCCATAGAAATTTAATTGATTTTTACTTCACACACACATCAATGCAATTTGGAAGCCAAGAAGGAAGCTGAATAAATGTCGTGACCAGCTGAAGAACCAGTTCGAGGCCATTCAAAGCCAGCTAATCAATCAATCAATAAAGCTGACGATAAAACACTGCAGAATTCCATGAAAAATAGTTCTTTGGATTAAAACAAACAATATACAATATTCTTAGCTCTCAGGGGTATACAATAAAAAATATTGAAAAAACTTTTCCCATATCCATTCCGGAAGTGGTGGGCAACAGTTCTTCCGGGGCCAGCAACATTTTTAGTCGTGGGAAAAAGCAGCAAAGCCAAGCCAAGCCAAGCCACAACCGCTGGCTAACCACACACACACAACTCTCTGCTGACTGATTGATGAATTTTCATATATGAAAATTGCATAAATTCAGGGCATATATTTTGTAGCGATAAAAAAGAATAGCCGCTCAGAGCCATGCATTTAAAATCTGCGTCCATAAATTCAAGGATCGTCGTTTAATAAACATTAATTTTGGAATAAAATCAGTTTTAAGCATTTTGTTTATCAAAGGAATATACACAGATATAATGTGCACACTCACATACATATATATGTACATACATATTTGGGCAGCATTGTTTGGGCCCACAAATAACTCATTTTACGACTGTGCACATAAGCGTACAAATTTAATCAAATGCTTTCACTATAAACTCTGAGAGCCGTAAAGATGATGAGCAGCAGAGAGATAGAGAGTGAGAGAGAGGGACTTAAGACCTGCTGGAAAAGATGAAGTAAGAGCAGTGCCAAGAGCCCATAGTCGTTCCCGACTTAACTATGTGTTTTGCCATAAAAGCAAATCAATTGCCTGTGTTCCAGGCAGCAATTTCTCAACGCTTTCTGCTTGACTCAACTCTTCCCAGGATGGCAGGAAGCAGGAAGGTGAAATACAAATGTAACTCCATTCTGGAAGCTCCTTCAAGTGGCTTGAAGCTTTGTATCTTTCCACTAATTATCAGCAGAAGCGACACAACCATAGAAGCCAGTAAGAATATGTTGACCCCTGTTGGCGGCCGCAACTTTGGCACGTTGGCAAAGGTTATGGCATACTTTCAGCCAGCCAACCGTCTAATGAATAATGACAGCCTAGAGCGGCATGAAAGATTCTCGGCCGGACAGCCACTTTTTTGTGTGCGTGTCGAAGGGCATGTGCAAATCGAGCCCAAAACACGACCTTGAGCAGCAGATATTTAAGTGACAGAAAAGTGGGGGGTGGCTATGGGTGGAATATGCGCCGAAGAGCTCCGAAGTATCCTCAGGCATCGACAATTATACAAGCCATTTGCTTCCATTTCTTTTCGGGTGGGGTCGAAACTTTTCACAGGTTTAGTTGGCAAAGTTTAGTCGTGGCAGGGCCCTTTGATTTTCAACAGATGTTTGTTAAAGGCATTTTCGAACACTTAAAGTCTAAAGATGCCTAGTCCATATCAATAGCTGATTATTATTTTTATGGCATTAAGTTCCTTAAGCAAAACAATTTTCATAAATTTTGAGCTAGTACAAATTAATAGCTTACCTTTAAATTCAGCCAAAAATCCATTAATATTGACATGTAAAGGGCCTTCACAGCTTTATACTATTTTGAGCTCTAATTTCTTGATACCTTTAAAATAATAGAAGAACAAAAACTGAATTAACTTTCAAATTTAATGAGGAGTTGGAAAATAACAATTTTATTAAAATCCAATAATCATTTATATTTATATTTTTTTTTTTTTAAATTCAACAACGCTTATACATACATATATTTTCATAAATATGCAATTTGTATCTCATAAAAACATTCTCATTGAATTATTGGTTATCAAAATATATACATATATGCCAATAATTCCATTCGGGATTAGGAGCCTTCGAAATTTTTTAAAATTTGTATTATACAATTATCGAAATTGTAGAAGATAAGGGGATATATATTAAAGAATGTGTATCGGTAATGCATGGCTTATCGGTATAACCCCGGGGGAATGGTTGGTTAAATGCTGTGTTGTAGTTTAAAATTGTGTGTTCTTATGTGGCTCATTTCATTCGTTAAATTTGTTAATAAATTAGACAAATTAGCTCTTAAAATCAAAAAACGCGAAACACCATAATTCCCCGATTTTGTTGTATCGCACTCTGTGAGAGTTCGATCTATCAGTCGATTTCCTGATTTGGCTTTAAGGGAACAGAAATAAAATAAAAAAAAGAACAAAAATTCTGCTTCTGTGGGAAAAGAAAAATTAAGGAGGGAAAAGAATTAACAGTATGCTTATTTTAGCTTTCATGGAATTATTTTAAATAAACAGACTAATAACCGCATCATTTCTTATATTTCCAGCAATTAAAAGGTTGCATAACCAGAAATTTGTATGGAGTATGAAGCGGAGATATACCCTCGAAGAGGGTATTAACGATCAGATCTTTCAAACTCAGAGAAGTTGTTGTTTCCTAGCCGTTAATAGCATCAATAAAATGGAGTATTTTCAATGTAAACTACAGCTCTACGATATATGTGTAGTTAGATTATTTACGTTTAAATTTAATAAAATCCAAAGACCAACTCGCATTTCCCCACAGATATTGGAACCATAATGGGTACTTAATAATATTTATTTGATTGAAAACAAATACATATTACCTCTTACGTGTAGGACAGTGGGTAAAGGTAACCTTTTTGAATGCTGTGAAATGGGATTGATTTTAATTTTTGATTTTTCACAAACTTGTATTTTTGTAATCTTACGTGGCAATTTTATATTCTTACGCTGGCATTCAGCCATTTCGAGCCTGCAACTGTTAGCTAAGTCATGACCAACACCATTTTCATCAAAAGCACATACTGGGTTGATGACAAAAGGGCAGAATGACTTACAGCCATCGTCAATACTGGCTGACGTGGTCATAGCTTAAAAAGAAAACAAAATAATCTAATAAAATTCTAAAATTCAGGCTCTAAACTTTACCAATAAGAAACAATATCAATATGAACCTCATGACCATTCTTAGTTGGGATATTGCAATAGAATGAATATTTTTTAACACCACACAATGATCCAGACTGTTGGGCGCAACATTTATCATTTTGCAAGCAATTAGATTCAGTTTGCATAACCCCGGATATGCCTCTTGCAGAGAGTATTCCCACTTCAAGCAGATGTTTGAGCTCCTTTGATAAATGTGAACTGCATACATAAATTCAGGAGACTATAGTCGTATTTCTATTTATGTTCCACATTATTCCCACAAATATATCGACCATAATTTTTATTTTTTCGATTTATGGATTTTATGGGTAGCAAATACAGACGAGTACCCTCCATAAAGTATACGAAATGCAAATTAATGATGAAATTCATTATTCAAAGTACTAGAGAGAACTTACTTAATGTATGCTTAAAAGTTGGGATATTCCAAAAATATAAATATTTTCAGCGTCATGCAAGCGGGCTTTATAGATCAAAATTGAGTCGTTAAATGGCGCAAAATTAATAATTAATTTCATGCAGTAAAAATAATATTTCCTTTTGCATGGGTTGCTTTTTTTCAAATGTGAATGCTCGGTAAAGAAAAACATTTTTTGCAACTGAATATTTCGATGCGATGGGGTTCTGTTCTACAACTTCCAATCCCAAAGATACCATCTTCTCATTACGGATCTACACGTCGGCATTTGGGTTTATTGGTGGGACACTCTTTAGCGGCTGTTCTTTCAAATGCTGAGGCAAATTCTATTGAAACAAGTTTAATATTTTTGAGGTTTATGATCTTAGCTTACGTGGCATATTAGTTTCCCCACGTCTGCAGATCTCATAGCCCAAAATACACGCATTGTCTGCTTCCAAATTACAGTCATGGGCAAAACCACAATGGGGCCAGTACATTCTGTTGCAGGCTAGCGAGCAGTTGGTGGCACAATGAATTCCGGATGTAGTCATAGCTTTAAAATAACAAAAGATTGTAAGGAATCTTAATAAACTAGAGACCGAAAACCCACCAAAGAAAGGGAGTAGAACCAAGAAAAGCTTCATGGCGATGCCTACGAGTAATAATGAATTTGTTGCAATAATATAAAATTTTCTCAAAGATCATGGCTGGAAATTGCACATTTAGCATGGAAATGGAATTATTTACGGTTGTCTACCTAGTCAATATAATGTATTTATATTTATAAATATACAGTGAGGAATTTTGAGATGATCTTAGTTTTTATTAGTTTATTCGTGTTCGCACTCCATAAACAAAAAGTAAAAAACCCAAGTATAACGGGGAAAAAAATAATAACAAATTTTGTTCTTCATCCACTTTTGGCTGTGCCAAGTAATAAGGACACCGAAATAAAACATGTTATAATATTTCGTAAAAATGGCGTATTTCTAAGAGTTTTTTAGTTTTAAACTATTGATAGTAATTAGTTTTAGCAATTTGAGATATAAAAACATCCATAAAACAAAGTTTAGATATTATATTATTTTAGGAATGGAAAGGATGTTGCATTGAAGCACTCTGATACCCATGGGCATGAAAAAACGTCCACAAAAATGGAATTTCGTACCGGAAAATTGCCGAAACATTAAAGTTTCTCGTGGAAGTTAATGATAATGCAATAGAACATCGAATAAGGATGGAAACACGGGAACAAAAAAACAAAAACATACCAAAATATTTTATGGAGGCAAACCCTTATAAAATATGAATAATACCTAAAGCACCATGGCACGCCCATACTATAGGGAATCTCAAGACGATGCTTTGCAGTTGGAATATTACAATAGAATGAATGACTGTTAACACCTTCCAATGCTTTTAATGATTGAGACTAAAGGGAGCAAATTTCTTATTTTGTAAGCAATTAGATTCGGTTTGCATAACCAGAAATATATAGGGAGCACAAGCAGTGGTATACCCTTGCAGTGGGTATTAATCATCACAGATTTTTTAAAACTTAAATAATTTTTCGTTTCCGAGCCTATTATACCTTCAATACCTTCACAACTCGACAAAATTGAACTTTTTTCCCGCTGTGGCCTAAAATGACTTTTTCTGAAAGATTTCGGGATTTTGAAATTTGTAACTTATTAAATTTTTTTTATAATTAATTTTTTTTTTCGAATTTTTTGAAATTTCTTAAGTTTTTATGTTTTTCAGAGGTAGTGTTCATTTGCAAAAACAGACTATATCTGGTTGCATAGAACTGCAGTTCTAAAGCTGAACAGCTAAAGTCCGCCCCGCGTTTTGTAGCTGCAGCTAAAGTGGAAGATATCGTTAAAAAATTTCCTGAAATCACAGAAAAGATGGGCCAAAGCAGAAAAGTCGTGTCGCAGTGTTATCTCAAACAACAAACAACACATCCCCCCTAGTGTGTAATAGTGTGCGGTATAAATAAATAAACCACAGACCAAAGACCAAAGTCGTATAAGCCCCACCCCCGTATGGACTCGGGTATAATCATATTTATTTGATGGACACAAAACCCCTATTTGGGTGAACGTTTTTTAGTTTTACTGCAATCGCCATAGGTAGTTTTAGGCGAAATGAGATTGTTCTATATTCCAAAAGCTTGTAACAGTGGCAATTTGTCCTTACGCTTGCATTCAGCAGTATCGATCATGCAATCGTTAGCAAAGTAATGAACAACACCTTTTTCATCAAACGCACATATGGGACTAAGGATTAAAGAGCAAGATGCCTTACAGCCAGCCTGAATATTTCTTGACGTTGCTTTAGCTTAAAAAAAAAGATTAACTACAAAAATACCGAAATTCAAGCTCTAAAAATGACCAATTAGCAAAAAAATCTAGAGGACCCTCATGAGTTTGAATATTACAATAGAATGCATATTTTTTAGCCCCATACAATTATTTATAATAATTTAATTTAATTTAATTTATTATTTTACATGCAATATTATTAGTTTCAGTTTGCGTAACCAGAAGGAGTGCGAAAAGATATATCCAAAATACATCTCATTCCTTCCCCAAATATTTTCACAGATTATGGACATTTTAAGTTAAATTATCCCCAAAGATATTGCAACCATTATGGGTAAAATCATTTTTATTTGATGGATACAAAATACCCATTATACGGGCTTAATCTTAAGACGATCACGGCAATCGCCATAGGTACTATTTTTTAGTGCTGTAAAATTAGATTGATTTATAATTTTTGTATTATAAAATAATATTTTTGTAATCTTACGTGGCAATATTTTTTCCTCACGCTTGCAATTCTCTATTTGGGCGAAGCAATCGTTGTGAAAGTAATGAACATAATCATCTTCATCATACGCACAAAGGGGCATAAGCTCTGAAGGGCAACCAAAATCACACCCATATTTAGTCTGGCTTGAAGTGGCCATAGCTTAAAAAAAAAACATTAGCTACAAAATTTCCGAAATTCAAGCCATAAAAGATACCAATTAGGGAAAAAATCAAGAGAACCCTCATGAGTTGGGATATAACAATAGAATGAATATTTTTTTTAGCACCATGCAATGCTTTTATAATCCAGACTTATGGGCGCAAAATTTCTTATTTTGCATGCATTTAGTTTCAGTTTACATAACCAGAAGGAGTACGAAGCGAAGATATACCCAAAATACATTTATTTTCGCAGTCCTTATGGGTACAATCATATTTTATTTATTCGATGGATAAAAATTACCTAACCTTCCATCAAGGTATACTTAATCCCAAGACGATATCGACAATCGCCATGGGTAACATTATTAAGTCCTGTAAAATTAGATTGATTTATAATTTGTATTACAAACTATTATTTTTGTAATCTTACTTGGCAAATTTGCTTTCTCACGCCTGCAATTATCCAAAAAGGCTAAGCAATCGTTTTGAAAGAAATGAACAGCATTGTTTTCATCATATGCACACAAAGGACTTAGATCTGATTCGCAAACACCCTCACAGGTATCTTTAGGATCGCTTGACGTGGCCATGACTTATAAAGAAAAATTATCTAATAAAATTCCAAAATTCACGCTCCAAAACTTACCAATTAGGAACAAAATCAAGAAGACGTGGACCCTCATGACGATGCTTAGCAAATGGGATATTACAATAGAATGAATATATTTTTTTTTGGCACCATAAAATCAATATAAATGGGCGTAAAATTGCAAATATTTCATGGAATTAGTTTCGGTTTGAGTAACCAGAAGGAGCACGAAGCGGAGATTTGTATACCATTCCAGACGGTATTAATTACCTGCTACCCAAGGCTTCAAAGACACGTTTCAACATTCTTATGTGTATTTTCTGCAGGGGTATCAACGGCAACCACCTGCACCACCTCCACGTATGTAGGCCATATGCCATGATGCTTTGCATAGTTTTTGCGGCGCTTTGGCATCGACCAACACACAATTTGTACCGTACCCAACCCAATGTCATGTGTCACGTTTGCTTTCATTTTGCTTTGACTCTTTGGCTTTTGTTGAGCATTTTTGCTTGCTGTGTTTGCTTGCTTTGCCATTTTTGCCGCAGTTGCAGTTGCCATCCCTCACTCCCTTCACTCTCCCACTGTGTGTTTCTTTCTCTTCCTTTTGGATGCTACCTTCTGCTGGGTACACTTGCATTTTATACGTTCATTGGCTTTGATGTTGTACGCTGTGAAAGTGTAATGAACCCTTTGGCGGATGGCAGAAATGGGGGCATAAAGCACACCAACCAACAGAGCAGAGCCACACTTTGAGATAGATAACACTTGCAACAGCACCAGTCTTTATCTGTGTATATGTGTGTGTGTGTGAGTTAGTTTCTTTGTTCAGACAACTCACACACACAAGATATATGCATGTATATTTATATTTATATTCGCATTTCTTACTTGAAACTCTGGCCACATTAGGGTCAACCTTTGCCCTTTTGGGCTCAAGCAAGATCTTAAGCATCTATTTAACATTCATAGAACTTTGGTCTCGAATCAGACTCTCTAAAATGTTCGAAACTCAATCGATATTCCAGGCAATTGTTCACATTCATAGCCATAGCCGCTCTTCAGCCGCTGATTTATTTAATTACATTCAAGTATCAGACACATTGCAAGTCATGCGAAATGGCACAACATTTTCAAGTGCTCAATCAGTCGTTTTTTTTTGGGGTTGACAACATTATCCACAGCGAGGGGCGTGCCCCACAAAAAGAAAAAGAGAGAGAGGAGCATAAACGTTTAGCCAAATGTGGCCAATTTCTCACATTAATGCGTTTGGAAACAGCGCCAGATACAGGCTACAGCCACAGGACAGACAGCACAAACAGATGGTAACAGTCTGGCAGGCAGAGGCAATGAAGTAAGCCAATTCGAGGCTTTAGGGCTGGCAAAATCGTGTCTATAATTGAGTCCATAAATACGATAGAGTAAATTTAATATTTACTGCTTTAATTTGTGCCTAGAATAATGAGTAAATAATTTCCTTTTATTAAATATATATATTTTGTTTAAATACAATTTAATTTAAGCTGCAGCCCTGTTTTCAGCTTCACTGAGCCGCGCCATACATCTTAAGCAGACAAAAGTCGTCTTGCTTTTCGGCGAATATTCAAAATAAATCCCCAACTTTAAAGACAGTAACAAAAAGCCAGAAAAAAGCAAAAAAACAAACAAGTGACAAAATTGAAACTGCAGGCCAAGACTCGGAGTGGTCTGAGGCTGGGGTGGCGCCTCGAGCTGGCCGTTTATTCATTGTCCTGTCTACGGTTGGACACATGCAATGTTGCTGCAGGCAGATACGGATGAATGGATATGGGCATGAAGTCAAACACTGAAGCGGAAATTGCATGGTCGTGTCGGTTGCTAACAAAGCTGCTCCTCCTGCTGGTCCTGCCACAGAGATCGCGTGGGGCGTTGCATGCCAAATGAAATGCCAGCTTTATGACCCAACACAACCCGCTCAAAAAGCGTGTTGGCCCACAGGCAATTTGATGGAGACATGGCCATAGCAAAAGGCGTACAAATTTTGCAATGGGAAATAAAGACCCCAATGGACCCCAATTGTATCTTATTGGTTTTTTTTTAATCCAACAAATGGCAAACTTTGTACAAAAAGTTTCCAAGGATAATTGATATGCCATACAAGACACCAATTAGGGAGGCTGTTCTCCTATTTGTGTTCACTCACAAAAGGGCAACTCAAACATGAGTCATGAATTTCAAGTGGGCCCCCAAAAATTTTCATCAATATTCTAACCCACTTTTAGCCGAAGCCCCTGGGGGGGGCAAGTTCAATATTTGAGTATAGCAAAGCATTTATAATTCAATTATGTTGATGTCTTAATGGGGCGTACAGAGAAGGAAGAATGGAAGATAAAAAGCGAGCGAGCGCTGCCTACACGGGTATCCATTTGCACTACCAATAGCCGGCGGAAGTTTATAATTACAGTCCTTAACGCGGCGCCTGCAGGGGCCATACACAGGTTACAGGTGGGCGTGGTAAGAAAATACCATCATCATCATCATCGCTGTCATCGTCATCAGCCCGGGGCACGTTTCGTGTCAATAACTTACAATTAGCAAATGGGAAGTGTGGGACCCCAGTGTCCTGGTGCCCTCAGCTCTATGGTGGTGGAGGGGGCCATAACTAATAGATAATAATGACAAGACAACGTCAAGTGCCCGATGGTCTTGTGGTTCAGTGGCCTCCGCCTCAGTGTCAGCCAAATGCTGAGCTACACAGATAGATGAGGGAGTTCACTGAGCTACGGGCTAGTTCTGTGCCTTTGCATGCAATGTGTCTACTATTCGTGCCCAAAAATGTATTTGTGCCAAAAATATTTCATCAACTTTAACTCTGACAAGTGCATGAAAATGTCCAATCATACTTTGGCTCAAAATGCCACGCCACGCCACAGACTGACAGACTGACGGAATTAATGGTGCAGGCGCAAAGGAAGGCAAAATGTTGATTATTTCTTGGTATTACTCAGCAGTTGTGTGAGCAATCCAGCCAAGGAGAGCAGAAGCAGGCATCTTTTTACAATTTTAAAGCAGTTGATTCAAATAACGGGCATTGCAGATTGCCGCAAAGCAGTCTTTTCTTTGAAAAGCCGTATTAAAAGCTTGGAAGCTGTGGATTTATATAAAAAGCAGTGCATAAGTCCAAAAAGAAGTCAATAAATGTATTCAGCAATCGATTATTCAGTTAAATTATTGCATTTTGAAACTTGTTAGATTTTCCTGCCACCATGAGACTTTTTTATCATTAAAGCCAGAGGTTTGGGCTTTTTTAAAAATTTCTCTCAAAATCTCACCCGAAATCTGCCTTGATTTAATATTATATATTAAATATATCAAACATTTTAAAATGCAAAATTAATATAAATAAAACAATTGTACCATGAATCGTACCTAGCAATCTATTTTGAAGTACATCAAATAATTTATCTAAAATCCAATCTCTCATACTTAAAATATTTTCCCATATTGCTTAAATATACCTTGAGTACACTCAATTATTTAATTCAATTTACTTACTCAGTGAATATTTGTATGTACCTGCCATACACAGGATTGGAAGCCATATCTAAAACATCAATTTAAATATTGTTATCAAATTTCTATGACTACGATGAATACGTACATAAAACTTAAAAAGTTATTCCACATGAAATTTATTGCTTTTTCATCCCACCCAGAACCCTCCAATCCACTGTTCAACCATTTTTGACCCATGCCCGAGTTTCGTATTGCCAATAAAATAAATTTAAGTGAAGCGAAAAGTTTTTTGGTTTTTTCCTATGTGCGTTAAACATTTTAGAAATCGAAACGTTTGCCCAGCATAAATGTGTGTGTGTGTGGTGGAGAGTGAAGCATTAAAAGTTCAAAATTCTACTCAAATTTCATTAGATTTGTGCTTGGGCCAAAATACACTTGAAAGTTTCTCGACATGCGATAGCAATGTCTCAGGCATACGTACCAAGAGATATATAGGGACGCTCGACAGATAGAAGACGCCCACACGAAACGAGTGTGCAAAGCCATTGGCATTGGCAGTGGCATTGGCAGTGGGCGGTGCACAGGGCACAAAGCTTATATTTATAATCGCCTTCAACGCCATCAGGCACACAACATATTGAAATTGTCTCTCGTTTTTTGCCTAACAGAACCTGGGCGACAGTTCAATGCACCAAGGGTTTTTGTTGTTTTTGTTGTTGCTGTTGCCCATGCAACGTGATTTTAAAACATTCTTCGCGTCCGGTCAAAGTTGAATGGTCAGTGGTGGGCAGTGCCCAGTGGTCACCACTGGTCACATAGGCAACAAAAAAAAAGTAAAAAGTCAACGCTCAAAATGTATATTTGCCAAGTGGTTAGCCCGGTAATTTAATTGCCAAATGCAAATCCAGAGTCCAGAGTCCCACAATCCCTAGTAAAAACTTTTCGACAAAAAAAAAAAAAACAACAACAAACATCAACAACGTAAAATACAAGTCAAAGAACATTCTGTGGGAGTCTCATCCAGCAGCAATTAGGTGTTGCTCCAGGTGCTGCCAAACAAAAAAAGAAATATACGTACCGAGACAGACTAAAGGGAATAAATAGTACACTGAGGGCATAAAAAGCAATTTAAAAGCAAGTTTCTGTGTGGGAACAAAATCGTTAAAGTTGGCACAAATTGAAAGAAAATGTCTGGAATTTGCATATCAAGTGGAATTTGTCACGTTTTTTTTTTTGGCAAGCAGCTGCTAATGGGGCATGCCATGCCAAACCCCACAAAAAAGGATTCAGAGAGTATGTGTGATATTGGCTCTAAAGGCATTTCGGGGTAGTCAATTTTCTTGTTGAATGGTAAAAGAATATTTAAAAAGAATTTCAGTTATTTTTGAAAATTTGTTTCATATATTTATTCCACTACTTTTGCTGTACCTTCTGTTGTCTTAAGCTTCCAATAAAGTACAAGCCGAAACGTGTCAAATGTCATGGGGGCATGCAGCAATCAGTCATGAGTCGGCCCGGCCACAAAAACAATCCACAATATATCCGTCAGCATAGCCTTAATGAAGCAGCATTCACACACACACACGCACTTAACCGGAGAATGCGCGTATATTGGCAATCAGCGACCCGACTCCACCATAATCCGGAGTTCGGAGTCTTGGCCACATCCTATCCGCCATTTCATGCCAATTAGCATGTCTCGTTCTCTTGTAATTATGGGACAACATGTGGGGGGAGTCAATAATTGATACTCGGAGCCCATTGTGTGGGTGACCTTTACAACACATGCACCCAGCCAGCACTGCCACAGCCACAGCCACTGCATAATTATTCGCATTGAGCACAGAAAAGCAAACAAATTTGAGTGCCCTTCAGCAATTATGTCAACTAATTCTGATGCCACAGAAATAGAAAATTTTTCTTCTGTGCAAGGAGTTGATATTGCAAACCAAAGGAAAAGGAGACTGTGTGACCACAGCAAGTGGAGACTTTTCCGCCCACACAGCACACAGCACTGCTGTAACCACAAAATGAGAAGCAGCAGTAACCACAAATCGTAAACTGGAGCCGACAGGGTGTGTGTGTGTTTGTGTGTCCTGTTTATCATTGGCAACAAGTTTGAGGTTTACTTTCTTTCTATTTTTGGTCTTTGCAATTGGCTGCACATTTGAAACCGAATCAAAAAGCTGAAATAAACATGACTACAATGCGGTGTAAAAAGCTAACGCTGAACAGAAAATAAGTATATTGAGAAAAGGAAAGGAAAAGGCAACAGTAAAGGAAGGCCACGAATACATCCTTAAAATAAGATATATAAAAACATATAAAACAAATTTCTTTATCATTTGTAACATTCATTAAATATAAATACACTTTCAGCATTCATCAACTTCAATTAAATGCTTATAAATGATTATAGATAGATCTATTGGATACTTGGCCGCAGCTATGTTTGATGAATGACAGGGACTGAATGTGAAAGAAGAAACCAAATGAAATTAGTGTAACCGCAGCTGAGTGTCTGACTGACAGATTGCCTTTGGCCTTTGAGCCTTAACAGAGTCCGAATTCTGGCAATGCCAATAAATTGCCACGGGCAGACGAGGCCTCTTTAAAAATAGCTTACACGGAGGGTACCAGCACCAGCACGTCCCATGCTCCATCTCCCCCCTTCAGGCACTTTGGGTAGTAAAAATGTTTGCTCGCTGTGTCTGGACATTGTCCAAAGGTTCATGCCACAGTGGCGGCACCAAGGGGCTCAAAATATCCACAGATTATACGGTATAGCAGGCACTCTAAACCTTGGCCAAAAGTCAGACGGCAGGGCATCAGAAATAGTTAACAAATATGGGGTAAAAGTCAGTAAGCCAGTAAGCGAGTGATATATGTATATATGACAGCCCCTTTTACGGTCTAAGCCACTGCATCGCCCCATATGGCCAGGCCATAAAATTAATTCAATTCTTTTCGTTTAATTGCATTTTCTTGTATTGGGTATCAACTAAGAGTACCAACTAAATTGACTTTTTGACACGACATTTTTTTTATGTTATTCCGTAAGTGAAAGCAACACGTAATGCAATTGTCAAGAAAGGACATAAAAAAGTCATCATTATTGTAGGATTTTATCATTTGTAAATGTACAAAATATAAATAAGAAGTGTTTATTGTTATTGAAATAAAAATAAATTGGAATATTTGGAAAATTCGTAAGCAACCGTTGAAATATATTACTTGTTGAAAATATTTAACCAAAGATTAACTACACGAATGCTTTTCCTATTGAAGAAAAACAGATTAAATATATTAAAAACTAAATGTTAAAAAAAGTGTGGTACAGTTTAAGTTTACAAGCATTTACCAGCACTGCTTGATAAAGTATTTAAAAATTTTTGGTCCTATTTTCATTTGAACAAAGTAGTCGGTGACTTTTGAGTTTTATTTTTAAAAACTTTTCAACTTGAAATGATTTTTATTTCATTTCAGTTCCAGCTGTTGTCGAATCAAGAACCCCGCTTTGGATTTTTTAGGAAAAAATCTACAAAATGGGACTAGAGGTAAGAAAACATAATTAATAATTCTATAAAAAAAAAGGAAATATAAAGAGACATACAAAAAATTATACGGAAAAAAATGCAACACTACATATTAATTTAAAATATATTTTTTTAAATTTGAATTTCAGTCAAAGCCTGACTTTAAGTTTCCCATGCACGATACGCATCTGCATAAATCGTTGCGTAACTTGAAAGTGGCCTGTGTCCTGGCCCTGATTGCTCCAGTGTGTCTCTACGTTTTTCACAATGCACCGCGCAAGGCCAAGTACAAGACCTTCTATTCCAACTACGATCCAATGGATGCCTTTGAGCGCATGATGAGCGCCGGTTATCTCAGCTCCTGTCCGCCGGGCAGTGGTGGCAAGAAGGACAAGGACAAGAAGAAGTAGAACTCTACTCTACGAGAAAATTACACACTAACTGACACTCGATAGAAAAGGCAACAACACACATCCAAATTCTAAGAAAAGATATACAACACTCTTTAGAAATGGTTATAGCGTTTGATTCTAAGAAATTTTACACCCTAATGGACACCCTCAACACGAAACTATTAGCACACTTTTACTCTGAAAACACTGAATAAAACACTGAGAGCATTGTAAACAATTTTGAGTGGCCTTTTGAATACTTTCATCTGAGATTCCCCAAATACTGCTTGCCGCCCCCTGGAGATACTCAAGGACACCCCTCCCTGGGACTGACTGGGACTGCCTGCTCGCCTCGTAAATCGTTGGCACTGATTTTCCCTTCCCTATAGCTGTGTGGCTCCGGTTCAGGTGCTGTCAGGTGTGTTGCTGCGCTGTCTGTTGTGGACGTCAGCTGACAGTTGGGTTAAGGCTGACGTGGGGACATGATGCGTGAGCGGAATTGCAAAGATTTCTACACTGAAAAAAAAACGGGATTGGGGAAACCCTAGAGATATTTAACAGTCTTCTATGGGGAGTGTAAAATTCGTTGGCTGCTTTGGAAACTCTTTTTTCCCCTCAGTGAAGAGATGTTCATAAGTTATTTAAGCTTAGCTTTATTTCCATTTAATCCCCCACTTGATATGTCAGTAAATACATCTCTGTAATGACATAAATCCCTAGGAATCGAACATCTTTTCCGTATTAATTAACTCATTCTAATAAACACTTTGCTTGATTATTTTTTGTACATATTAATAGTGGAGAGAGTGTGTGTAATTTCACATATACTCGTATGCAACCTCCAATCGTTGTCATCATTCTCACCCACTTGAGCTGCAAATTTTTCAAAGACTTTCCTAGCGTAACGAGCAACTTTTTTTGGGGCATCGAGCAGGATATATGGTTGGCATAAGCGGAAAACCTCCCGAAAGTGTTACCAAACATGTTAGATAAAACTTTTCAAATCTAGCCACAGGCCACAAACGAGAGCGATGCGAGGCCCCGGCCCCCGAACCCAGGCCGCAGCCAGCTGACAACACAGCGACAGGCAAAACTTTTTTCGGTTAGCGAAGAAGACTCATATGAGGCAGCATGAAACGCCTCCCCCCCAAAACAATGGAATAATGCAAGAAATGCATAAAATTTCAATAAACTTGAGCTGCACGCTAAGAAAAAGCGGTTCGCGGTTCGCTGTTCCCGGTTCGGATTTACAAAAGAAAGCAAAAGCAAAAGTATTTGTGGGCGGCTAAGCCCCGTGTCATTTAGCAAAAGTGCAATGTCAGTGAAATGGTGAAATTTATTGCCAACTGCATTGACATACCACAGCACCCCACAGCCCTCAGCCCCAACCAGTGTCACGACCCAAAATGTGGGGGCTTCTTCCAAAGCCAAGGATTGTTTGTGCAGAGAGCCATAAGCGAGCAGCCGGCATGTCCCTAATTATCCACTCCAGAAAATATGCTCAACAAATTTCCACGACTTCTAGCATTTTGAACTACCAAAGCCGCTTAGCTTGAGCTCTCACTTTCGCCCAAGTCAAGTCAAGTCAAGTGTTGGCATGGGATGGCAGGCGGCAGTCCTTAAACCAACACCAGCCATGCCGAAAACGTCCAACTGCCAGTGCACTCTTCAACCTGCATGTACATTGTACATAGTACATAATGGAAGAGCCATTCACTCCAAGCCTTCATGTGGGGAATGCCACTCAATGGACAGCAGAGAGCACACTCCCACTCCCACTCCCGGTGCTCCCAAAAACTGCATGGACAGGACTCACAGCCCGCACCCGCAGAGGAGAGACGTGCTCGGCTTGTTGAACACCTCAGAGAGTAGACCGCAAATGCTCCAAACTGCTTCTTGACAGCCGGCAACAATAATAAACAGAAAAACAGCAGGTAGAGAAGCAGAGAGCCAAGCGGGGTGCTTTCACAGCGGTTACACGAATACCCTTAATGGCTAAGTGCCCTAAAGGCAAACCCTATGGTAGAAATTTAAATTAAATCTTCCAGATTCGATCTATAGTAATAACTATCTTTTATCGTTAAATATTATTTTTTTTTTACCCAAAAAAAAAGCTTTAGCGATAATATACAAATAAAAAATAATAATAAATACAGTGCCCTAAAGGTTGAAACCTATGGTTGAATTTGAATTTTAATCTTCAAGATTCCATCTATATTAATAACTATCTTTTATCGATGAAATATCGAAAAATATTATTTTTTATGCCAAAAACAAGCTTCATCGATAATGAAAAAATAAATCGTTTCATATATCTCATTCATTTAATTTCACAGATCTAAGTTTGATAAAAAATCGCTATAATAAATCGATAAATATATTAATTATCGATGTTAAAAATTACGAGTGCTATCAAAGCTATCCTCCCCCCCGCTTTGTAGGGCATACAACCACTTGAATACTCAACGAAATTTGTCTGGCCACCTCGAATGGTTATGGCCCTTGTTCGCAGGGGGTTTTAAAGGTGCCACCTGCCTCGGCTTTGGCTACTTTGCATGTTCGTTCGTTTCGTTCCTCTAGGAGCCGTAGTTATAGCCCGCCCACGTAAACAAAAATGTTTTGGGCCACGTCTTGTTGGCCAAAAAGTATGCCAGCCAGGCTGTGGGCTAGGGCCACTTTTTTTTTGTGTACAAAGCAAGACAACATTTTTTATTGCCATCCCAGGTCCTAGACAAATGGCCATGTTAAGCACTGTGTTTTCCATCTCCATTTTACACATTTTTTTTTGCTTTTATTTTTATAGAACCTGCCAGAGTTGAGGTGTATTTTTAGAGGCATGTTTGCTGCTTGACCCTTTTGCTACCCATCGATGGCAATGTGCTGAGGAATTTGCTTCACATATTTACATTTAATTTGCCAGGCGTGTGGCATTCTTTGCGGGTTTTTCTCTGTGATTGTTTGGCAGTTCTGTACTTGCTTTACTCCTACACTAAAAATCTTCAACTGTTGCTTAGTTGTGATTGCTGTGGGCCTGGACTTTTGATTGCTAATTCGCTGGCCCAAAATTTTTACGACTCTCTGTGAGTGTAGGAGTTTATCCCTCATCTGTGTCTCGTTTTCAACTGACAGGACTGTCTATCTGTACCCATAAAATGGTCCCTGAATAAACCAAAGAGCGCCAGTTTTATGTGTGATTCAATTGGTAGCTGAAGTATATACTTTTTTACGAGTGCCTCTGGCTATGCAGCTGGATAGGGTAGGGGCTGCCGGGAAGTAATGGCATAATTGCTACTTAGAATGTCTTCGACTTACACAGCTCATTTAACTCTTGTTGTGACTGTAGCTGCAAAAGTTTGACAAATTGCATTGGGGGCCCGGCCTCTGACTCTGCCACTGCCATTGCCGCCTCCTCCATAATCATGGCCCAATTGGTCGCCTTCCAGCCGGGCCCCCGACAGCCGGAGCTACAATAAATCAAGCTGGCAAAAAGGATTTGTGCACCGACTTGGACTTGATGCATTTAATGGGGCAGGGCAGGGCAGGAACGGGCACTGGTTGGTGCTGGTGCTGGGGTCGTTTTGGCAAATTGCAGTTTGGCAGCTTGGAAGTTTCTCCAATCCGCTTTCACGTCACGACACAGCCAGGCCATGCGCCAAAAAGGGTAGACAACATTTTGCATTACTCTTGATATTTATGAGGCAGAAGGGCAACTCAAAGAGTCATTGATTTATTTGCGGAAAATCGTTTATTAAAGCCCCCCAAAACCCCACAAAATTCTGATGAGTGGGAACACCAGCCGACAGTTGGAACAATTGAACATTTTGATTGAGTCGTGGCAGGGTAGGGTGCGATGTGGCTGTTGCACAATTCGATTGGCACATTTGTCAGCCCGTAAGTAGGTTGAACGAATGAGAAGTCGTTGGGGCAAAAAAAAGTGGCAACTTTTAGGCTTTTGAGGGAAATTGGGCGGAACTTTATTATTGCTGAATTAAAAGGGATACAATTCTCCCATCTCTGTGTCCCTCTCCATGCACAGCTCTCTCCCAGTGAATGCCCCTCTTCCTTGGACTAGCGTGAGTTAAGGATACACAGCATAGAGATATATAAATGCATATATAAAAACTGAGCAGCGGGTATCTTGGTGTCCAGGTAGCAAAACTTTCCACTGGTTATTTATGATATCGAACAAGTTTCATGGGGTTTCACCTATCCATAACTCCTTGAGCCACGTTCCATCCTGGCCAAGGTGAGTTCTCAGAATTTGTTGACACTCCACCCCACGCTAGTTTCCAATTACAATAATCCCCCAAAGTAACCTTGGCAACCACTTAAAGGAGATGGGGGCAGGGAATATTCATTCATTAGCACACACAAAACACCTGCCACAGCCCCCCACCCACCCACACACAGACACAGAGCCAGTTACAGAACTCTGTGTGTGTGTGTGTACTAGGGAGGCCTGTACGTGGGCCATGGGCTGCCATCAAAGTCAAATATTAGGCACAGTGGCTTTATTAATTAAGTAATGGAGAAGAAAAGGAGTCCACACACACTCACACACACACACACACACCGCACACACACAAGTTGAATAAAACAATTCTCAATTCTGTGCTGAGAGGGGCACGAAAACTTTGCACATTGTTTTCTGATTGGCACAAAAACCACCGTCTCGAGCGAGAGTCATCAAGAGTTTTCCCCCCATTGTTTTTCCATCAGTTTCTATCAGACGGCCAGACAACCTTGAAGTTTCATTTAATTTCGTTTCGTTTCGTTTTGTTGTCAACTGATTAATATGCGAGAATCGGTTAAGGATACACATAAATCAGCGCAGCATCATCAGGATTAAAGTTTCAGCATCGCTTTTGGTTATGCGTTTCATTTTCAGGGTAAACAAGAGCTCCCGTCCGACTAATTGCCCAACATTTAGCAAGCACCACGAGCACCGTGGGGGGAAATTGTAGGGCGCAAAATTGGTCGGCAGGGACGGAGGAGAGTGCTAATCGGGTTGTCATTCTGCTCTGTTGGCTGCCATTTTGAGTGGCTGGCTGGCTGGCTGGCTGGCTGGTTGGTTGCCGTTTTCATCTCGGATTAAGTGCACAACTAATTGTGGAATTGTGGCGATTGCATAATGCCACAATACACACACACACACACATACCACACAGCTACAGATCAGTGTGAAGCTGTCGAGAAAACGTTGAAAACTTTTAAATTCTTGCAATTGGCCAAGCATGAAATTTAATTCCGCTCGTCCCATTGTTTCGATATAATTTCTTAATTTTTCCACTTACAGAAATGAACTCGGGTCGCGAATGAAATAATTAAAAAACAAGAGAGAAAAATGGGGAAATGGCAAATGGAAAAAAGATATGGGCAACAGTTGGCCGACAACTGGTCCAGCCCCAGCCCCAGGCCAGTCTCGGTCCACCCTTTGGGTATCCACTTGGAACTATAATTAACATAAATAATTTGTCAGCTTTTGTCCAGTCCCCGGACAGGGTGACAGGGTGGCAAAAAAGAAAAGGGAAACCCATGAAAAATATACAATAATTAATTGAAAGTGAGAGAGTTGATTTATGCAATGCAGATCTTTACATTTAAATTATTTTTCCTTTGCATAACGGCATAATTCTTTATTACATAGTGTATTTTTTACATAGTGTATTTTGTATTAAATTTTGATTAATTTTCCTAGTATTAAGTTTATTTTTAAACTGTTAAAGTTTCTCCATCAGCTCCCACGTATTATTCCTGCTTATTAACTATTTATACGCATAGTCTCCTGAGCAAATCATTCTGCAGCTACACAAAAATACTTGTGCATGGATCTGTGAAGCAAACAGCAAACATCTCACATTTTCACACTCATGCTACACAACACAGCAGAGCATTCCCCAATGGGAAAACTCTATAGAAATCTTTTGGAGTGATTTCCCTAAGCAAATATCAAATGCCTGACACACAAGATGGATGGATGGATGAATGGCTGGCTGGTTTATTGGCTGGCATTCCTGGTTGGAAATGGCTTGTGTTGGCTGCCCAGAGAGTTCTGTAGATTCCCCCAAAGAGACGGCAGAGACTGATACTACCATCAGCATTATATTTGTGCATATTTCTAAGTGTTGTGCATATGCTGAGGCATGCATAAATTACAGGTTTATCAGTAGAATGAAGGAATTAAACTATTTTCAAGTATCGATAATGTGCTTGCTGTTCAGGGATATGAAACCCCAAAACATAAGCAATTTTCAGCTTCATAAAATCCTTTATTCACAGGCAGATCTTTCATAATATCCCACTAGACTTTGCTGCATTCGAAGCCTGACTTTTAATCCAACTTTTGGGGAACACATTGCATTCATTATCGGCTCATCGGCGGCACGGCGGCAACTTTGATTAAAGCTTAAAGTTTTTGGGGCGGCAAGTCGAAAGTGGCAAAGTGTGGAGCGGGGAGGAAGTACGGATTTTACGCCTCACAACTTTTAATGGCAAAACGCTGACGCCTGCCGCATGCCTCGTGCCGCGTTGCTGGTACGGTGAAAGGCGCTTAATACGCCCGTTTAATGCATTCCATTGCATGCATTTCGGGGCTGGTAGCCCGCAACCCACCCCCCACAAACCATTTCCCAACCAACTTCCCCTGATTTACCAACCCATTTCCCATCCCCTCACACACACAACAGAAAATATTATGCAACGTCTGCGCTTCGCTGTACGAAAAATCGCATTTCATGCAAATTGCCAAACGTGGCAGGCAGTGGCAAGCGGCCCCACGCTACGTCAACCTGCTGCGGCATGTTTGTCCAGCCCTGGCACAGAGTGCTGCGGCTGCAGCGTGGGAATACCCCAAATCGGGGAGGCTGTAATTTATTTCACACCATGGCGCCCAACCCCATGGCGGGGCACCACACTGCGGCGTGTTGGTTTAATTCGAGGAAATTAGTTTTTAATTTTTGGGCAAGCTATTAAGCAACAAATGAAAGTTCGGAGAACTACTAGAGCGATTACGTGGGCGAAGTGAGCAGCAAAAAATTATTCAATATGAATTATGAGTTATAAATAAGGGAGCAAATTGAATTAAATTAAAAGGGGAAGCGTATATAAATAAAGGGAGAGCAACACTCACATAAATGCACGGGAAAACAAATAGAGAAAGGCGGGTGCTCATATAGACAGAGAAATTAAAGTCTGAGAGTCGGAATTTTTGTGCAGGATCCACAAACATTTCTCTATGGATAAGAACTAAAAGCCGAATGCACTATTATTTGTAATAGTCGCGCCTCCACCCTTTGCCAATACAGTGCCAAGAAATGGCCGTCAAAAATAGTCAACCAAATATAGGTATATAAATTAAATAGAAGTTCCTGTTATTAATAGCTAATCAAATGTCTGACACATGCTCAAGCAATTCGTGGAAAAAAAAAACAAAAAATAAATTCGTCTTCCCTACATCGATTAAATTTGCATACGAGTATATCAAAGAATTATATTTCCCTTTCCGTGAGCGGCAAACTCAAATAAATTCCCAGGCAGATAAACCCAGTGCCCACTTCCTTGTGCCATGTCAGAACCTACAGCCTTGCCAAAGGTTTCCAATGAACTGAATACATCTTCCCGGGGAGCTTTTAATTAAATGTGACATGCTTGCAGGGAAATAAATTTAAATGGCGTTAAGCAATTAGAAAAAAAAAATTAAATAAAACCGCCTAAAAGCCGAACAATTTCTGACAGAAATCTATCAATTAGAAAATAAATGAGAAATACTATATGTATTGCCCCAAAAATGACAGAAGCCAATAAATTTGGTTTTGGGAAAATCAATTATATATTTTGTGTAAAGTTTAATTGCTTTCGCACAGCCACAGCCCACACAGAGAATAGAACTGGGGCGATAAGTACGGACGGGGGTATGGAGCAAGAGAAAATTGTTTTCAACATTGTTACTTTACTTCCCTTCCAATTGGCAAATGAGAATTTATGACTTTGGTTTCGAAGGCGAAGGCATATGCCAGTTGCCTCAGCCCGGCGTCTACTTCGCTGCTCCTCGACCGCGTCTGTGCCCCTTCAAGTGGGCATAATTGAAGAAAATTAAGACAGAAGCCAAACAGAATGCCATTTGCAAATGAAAGTCCAAGTCTCGAGTTCAAAATGAATCAATTTCGATCATTAGAGGACGCGAAGAAGGAAACATTATTTATTTGTATGCCATTACCGAATTTATAGAATTTACGGAATAAAATTAACAACAAATTTTCCTATCCACACACAGAAATCTGAAAGCAATCAAGGCGCTGCATTAAAATGTTTAATTGATTAATGAAATGTTTAAATTTATAGCACAGACAACAAATTAAAAGCATAATTTAACCCATAGATCTTATTCATTCCACTCCGATCATTCCTTATAGCTATATGACATTAGACTGCGAGGAGAGGGATAGGATAGCATACTAATCAAAATTATTTTTCGTAGCCGTCTCTAGAATGGTTCTATTGCCTTTCAGTTGCACAACTGAGACCACTACTTTAGACCAAATGATGTTTTCCATCAGAACACAGCCACCAAGCCAGCAAAATTGTATCAGCAAAGTAAAACAAAATAACTCTATCGTCTAATAGTCTAATACCACACGCGACCATCCACCATCCATTCCGGGGATGGTCCGTGATGGTCCGTTCCGAAAATTTCCCAGTTATTCCACCATCCATCTGGAATGTTCCTATCTCGCACGTTTCAAATGCAACTGTATATAGTTGACATTCACAACGAAAAAGTGCAATTCACTACGAAAATGTAAAAAATGACAGACAGGAAAATGGGAAAAACCAACAACAGAATTTCAGAATGATATGTCAGAATTGTCACAAGCACAAAAACACAGAAGTCAACACAAAATCATATAAGTTTATGGAATTATACGGAACTCAAATAAAGACACCCTAAGGCTTCTCGCCTTAGAAACCCAGCCACCAAAATGAACAGCCAGGAAAGCAACGCGATCTCTTCGTCCGAGAAGACTGTCATCAAATTGACTGACCGCCTCTCGTCTGACATGGGCCGCCTCTGCCTGAACGAGCTCTACTCGGACGTGTCTTTTATTGTGGAGGATCAAAGCCTGCCTGCCCACTGCCTGATTTTGGCCGCGCGCAGTGAATACTTTCGCGCCATGCTGTACGGAGGCATGGCCGAGTCGCAGCAACGCCAAATACAGCTGCCGGAGGTGCCGCTGGAAGCATTTAAAGTAATCCTCGGCTACCTTTATTCGGCCACGATGGAAATTTTCACGTTGGACGTGGCTGCTCACATCAAAGTGCTCCGTTTGGCCAATCAGTATGGCTTGGTGGAAGTCGAGTCAGCCCTATCCGGACATCTGCAGGAGAATCTTAGCGTCAGCAATGTGTGCATGATTCTGAAAACAGCGCGTCTATACAATCTGAACGAGCTGGCCGAAAAATGCTTGAAATTCATGGACAGAAATGGGTCCAAGCTGATGGCAGATGACTCCTTCCAAAAGCTGTCCCTGGAATCCCTTAAAGAAATTCTGCGGCGGGACACGTTCGTTGCCTACGAGGGTGACATCTTTCTATCGGTTTATGAATGGATCCAGCACAATCCGAGCGTGGACAGAAAGTCTGTGCTCTCGCTGATACGTCTACCGATCATAGGTGTCGACGACCTGGTGCGTGTGGTGCGTCCCACTGGGAATCGTCGAGCCGGAAAAAATACTCGACGCCATCGATAAAGCGATCGACCCGGAGAATCGGCCCTACCGTGCTTCCGTGTGTCCTGACCTGGATGTTACCAGCTACTGGAATAAAGCGTCCCTCGTAACACTTGACGACAATGAGATTGTGATCGCGCTGAGTTACTGGTACAAAATCAACAAAATTAGTATTTTAGGCTTACAACATCATTTACATAATATCTTAAAGTGCGCCGCGGAAGTCTCTAGCGACATGTCACACTGGGATCGCGTGGGCCGTGGCACATTTGAATTATCGCCCTTCTGGCACGATATCTACTTCACGAGACGGGCTGTACGCTTTATTCGTATCGTGCATCCAGAGAGTGGATGCAAAAATGTATTAAGAGATGTGAGGCTGACAGCCATGCTTATTGACAATTTTCCATAAAAGATAGACTTGGAGATCGTGCGGTGCTTCTCCTGACTGAGTCCAGACTTTAAATGTAACCCATCATATTGTAATCAAAAGAAAATAAACAAATTTAAAACCTAAAATGATAGTGAGTACCTCAAAGTCGGTCCTCCGTTGTGTTTTGTGTGAGTTTTTTTTCCCCCCATGTGGAGGCTTTCACTCAGCCTCAGCATTTTCCAAATGAAATTAATGAAAATGCGACTGAGCGACGCGTCGCCGGCCACAAAAATGGCAAACGGAAGGCGCAAATTTTCACGCGTCTAACGACACACACACACACACACACACACTCGCACACACGTGACTTTGTTAGTGTGCGTGTTCGTCTCTTTGTGTGAGTTTATTTTAGTTGCGGCTCGACATTTTGTTCAACTTTGCGGCCTGGCCTGGTCTGGCCTCCCGAGTGCCGACGACGCCTTTTGTTTGGCCGCGTCAAGGCGGAAACTGTGCTCAGGGGCACGGCGTGCACGGAAAACGAGAAAATGCTGAAACTATGCTGTAATTTTATTGTGTGGAAAATATTCTCCGGCCTGTCGCATTCAGACACTCAAATGTGTGCCAGCGGGTGGAGGGAAGGGCAGGGGGCAGGAGGCTGGTGGCTGGAACCGCTTGACCTTTATGACTTTTTTCCGTTTGAAATATTTGCAGTATCGTTGGAATTATGAAAATTAAATATAATTATTCTAAATGTAATTGGTTTATGAAATTCCTGATAATACATATGTGTGTGTGTGTGTGTGTAAATGAAACTAAAAGCTTCATGGAAATATTTTAAGCTAAAATCGATTTTATATTATTTCTGAAATTTCCTATAGCATTTAAATCAGCTTAGAGTCTTTTTCTGCACGGCGGAGATGCGTGAAAAAACCCAGAAAACAATTTCTTTAATGCAATGAATAAATAATTCGGTATCTAATGCGACATGGTGTACCGCAGAGCCATTCTCACGTAAATGTGTGGAACCTGTGTGCAAAAAGTGTGAATGGCAAATATTATGTACCCCAAAAGGTCGACGGTGAACAAGGTAACCCGTATAACAAGCGTACTCTTTGCTTCTGAAATGTCTCCGAATCTACTGAAAATCTGAATCTGAATCCCTTGTGTATTGTGGTATTTATGGTTCAAACACATTTAAAATATATTTCATTTTATTAAAGTTTTCAATTCGTTTGCTGGAACTGCCCTGCAGTCATGTTACATGTGTATCCCTCCATGTATGTACATACATATATCCTCTTGTTTATATTCCCACAATTTCAGAGTCATGCTAAAAAGTTCTTGTTGTGCTCAGCTCATGTGACTTCCGTTTCCGGTTTTTGGGTAGTTTTGGGGGGGGCCAAAGACCGGCAAATTTAAGCATGCGGTCAGTGGTAAAAACTTCTCATGCTCGCATTTATAAATATCCTGCTCATATCATATCCTGTTTCCTCTGCTTTACTTTACTCCTTAAAGCCATTAACCGGATAATGTGCCAATCACAATGTTGCTGTCTTGCTGTGTTTCTGTGAGAGCCATAAAACTTTATAAAGCGTACGAAATGGTCGAAGGCGTTCAAGCTTTAAACCATCTACTGTATTTTGTGGACTAATAAAAGTTTTTTGGTTGGTAAATTTAGCGAAAAGTTATCAGCTGCTTAACTCTGTCGGTTTCAGGGGGGCATAATTCCCGCACATTGACTTTCCACATAAGTGGCAACAGGAACACTCTGCCACCGCCACAGACAGAAAGAGACATTGTTGTTGTCTAAATATTTTTTAAACCATATTCGTTTAAAGATTTTTGTTTTGGACTCGTGTGCCTATGTGTGTGTGTGTGTTTGACAGAATTGTGTACACTTTATGGTTTTTTCTTACGGATTAATCCAAGTGAAAGATCCCCCCAAAAGCTGCCAAAAAGGTTGATGCGACTGCCTTTCTATGGTTAAATCTTGGGCAAATTCTTTAGCTTTTTCCCCTTTTTGATTGCAGCTGTTGCTTCAGCATTCTTTTTTTATGGCCCTTCAAAGTTTACTTCTGACTGTATTTCACTGGTTTTTCGCTTGAGACCAACTGTTGCCAGGCGAAGCCCAGCAAAAAGTTACCAAATAAAATGGTATACAATTTGTGTTGCTTTACGGAAAACTCATCATCGGTTAACAGATCAAATTAAGTAAGGATATTTCTGTGTATTTTTAGTATTCTTTTAGTATTCTTTTGTTTGTAAATTATTTGCAAATTATTCTTACCTTATCTTTAAGCTGAAGAAGCTCAAATTGTGTAATAAATCGAGGCATTTCCATATTTCACAGCTTCACAAAAAATGATTATCAATTTGTTCTTTTTAATGTGTGAGACATCTGAAACGCTCTGAAGAAAACTGCAATACGAAAGATAATTACTGGGGAAATTATTTCCTTTTATTCCATAAAATTTTGTATTTAATGTAAATTTTCGCTACAATGTGTGTGGATATTATGGATATTAATGTTTTTTGTTGTGCCCCCGTCCTTACTTTACGGCTACAATCTCTCCGGGGGGCCGCTGTCTCCTCCTATCCCGGGTGGCAAAAAATTCTCGTGCCGGGGCCACCAACCGGGCAGCAAAGTCCTGTCCAAGCCGACTGTCAGTTGTGAAAGCCCTTCGGGGCTTTTGGGGGCGATTGTCCTGTCCTCTCCTGACCTGTCAATGATTTTTAGCTGTGTGTGTTTTTTGTTCGATATTTTTAGACTTCGCACTGCAAACATTTTTAAAGTTTTCCACTCCGTAAGGAATTTAAGAAATCTGCACTCCCAGAATATATTTTAATTATGCAACACATTGTGGCATGCTGCAGAGTGTAAATGGGGCATGGCAAAAAATAAATATAAAAATCATAGGAAATCCGGCATGAAAAAATTTATCCAGCCTGATTTGCACTGGGCACTCGGCCAAGCACCATTTGTGCCCACAATTTGCTCTCAACTAATATTTTTTATTCGCTTATATCTGTTGGATATATGTGATATATATATATATATATATATAGTATATATCGTCCAACTCCAAATGAATGCCCAACACGATTCTGGCATTTTTTATTTGTAATTTATTTATGCGCAGTCGTTTCGCTCACAGGGCAAAAATTATGCTGCAGCATATGAATATTGAATGGAGCGGCGAAGGCGGCTGCGGGGTGAAGAATGCTTTTTGCAAAAGTTTCGAGCTTCAAAATTTGTTGCTGAAATGCTCGGGGGAACAAAAACGAATGAAAGGAAAAATCTAGAATGAAACAAAAAGGATTTAATGCTCTTTCTGCACTTAAAGAAAATTTATTTTAAATTGAAATTTAATATTTGTTTCCTCAGATAGCAAAAGGAAATTGTCTTCCAATTTTTAGCTTGTAGTTTTCAACCTTTTCTTCAACACAAACATCCCCACCAAAACATAGCACCTCTATGTAAGGGTACAGAAAAAGTTACACCAGCCACGGTCGACGGCCCAAAAAAAAGTATTCTCCAGAAATGTCCCAAGCGAAAGTTTTGCTGGCGTTGAGTCCAGTCCTGATGCCTTCAAGAGTTACTGCCTTTTAGTTAACAGTTCAATGGAACTGATTAATTCCCTCAAGGCCCAAAACAAAATCTACAAGTAACTGCGGGAGGTACAAGTTGTGTCATAAATCTAGTAAGCAACCAAAAAGTGTGACTTTTGCTTTAAAGATTGTACAGCTTCTGTTAAAATTTTTAAATAATTTATAGAAAATGCTTTTAAAGTTTTCTTGGGCTTTTGAGGACACAACTCTTTGGGTCTGCCATCAGATTCTACTCGAACACAAATTGGGCATACCAATAACCCATAAATACCTTTTTTCCTTTTTCCCAAGCACTGAACTATCAATTGGTACCTCATTTTGATACCCAACGCAAAACTATGTAAGTATGTGTGCAACAAAAGGATGAAATTCATGGCACAAATGCTGCAGCATTGCCTGCAATGTGACCCAAGGCATCGGTCAAGTGCTATTAAAGTGAGCAATATGGCCAAGCTTGAGCTGAAATTGTGGCACGGTCCGAGAGAGCACGTGCCACCCCACTGCGACCTGACATGGCTTTCGTTTTGTGTCAACAATGGCATGCAGCACCAATGCAGTCGGTCGGGTCGACTTTGACCGTACAGTCTCTCCGGGTTTTATGAGCCACATGGCCTGTGGCTTATTGCACTCGTCTCATTCCCTACATTTTGTCCCAGCTTGCCATTTTCCGCACGAAATTCAATAAAGAACTTAAAAGTTCCCAAAGCACTTTCCTTTATTTTTTAGATTTATTTTTAAATATATATGTTATATATTTTATCTAACAAAAAAACACCTCGAAGGAGTCACAAGTTTTTCAGTTTGAAATTTTACTTGTAAAGTTTTTTGTCTTTATGTGCAGCAAATTTATGATGTTTTAATTAAACAATTTTATGTTTGTGTTTTTGTGGTGTTCGTCACAGCGTTTGGGTATCTCTCTCTATCTCTCTCTTTTACAGCTGGCGAAAACTTGTTGGCCAAAAAACTATAAGTGAGTTTCTTGCGTTCGTACCAACTTTCATGTAAATATTTGCAATTAAAATAAGTGACTCTCCTCAAAAGTTCTGCGAGTGGGCAAATGGAAAAAGTTGCTGAGGATAATCTTTGAGTTGTTCTTTGGAGTTCAAACGGACATTAGATTTGGACCCAACCAAAAGACTAAAGAACTCCAATTGGAATTGAAAACCTAACCAAGACATTGAATTTCCATGTTTATTTTCCACTTTCCTTTTGCAAGAACGTGCTCTAACTTTCCAGCGCTTCTCGATTGCAATTTGAAATTCCATTATTCCCCCAAAACAAAAAAACCAAAAAAAACAAGAAAATTCTAGTCGAAAATTCAGGCACGTGCGCTGTCAGAAGGATACCAGACAAGAACTTTAAGTAATTAAATAATGCAAACCCAAAAATAGATAATAAAGGGCAAGACATGGCTTTGGCTTATAAAAATCTAACAAAAAAAATGTCACGCGACCGCAGAAGCGTGAGCATGAACATGAGCGGCGTTCTTGCAACATAATTTATGAGGCAGCGGCAAAGACGGAAGGTCACACACAGCACATGTAGGGCCCGGAACTTGGGACGTAATCAACAAACATGCAGAATACTTCTACTCACATGTCGACATGTTTGGGGAATATATTCGTAAAAAAAAAGAAGGCAAGGAAGCAGAGCGCCCCAGAATAAATCTACTTTGCATATGAAGATGAATATGCCCCGGCGATTTGACTTATGTGCCGCACGTTACGCATACGCCATGTTGTCAGACAGATTGCCACAAAGTGGCAAAACTCCTCCCACTCTAATTCCGCGCTTTAAAAAGTCCATCAACTCGACTGGAAACACTCGCAAGTTGAAGTTTTTTGTTTTGTATGAACGCGAGATGCATCGGGCGCGCATGGCGCACATGGCGTATACTTTATTCATACGCTTCATCTCCGGCTAAACATCTCAAAACATCAAAGAGCACGGATAAGGCATAGAAATGTCTAGCAAAAACTCAAGAATTTTCCAATGGTTTGAGTTTAAGGAAACAAAAACCCCATTTCATATCTCTGTCTGGAAAACAAACAAAAAAAGGGATCAAATTGCAGGAAGGGTTAATAAAAAAAATATCTTCAAAGTACATATCTATCGTGTGCGATGCTATCCCTTGGGGGCTTTCTTATGTGGAAATCATTTCCTTTTGCCAGTTTCTTTTTCGGGTCTATGCATAAATGTACAGTGCGCGAAAGGAAAGTCAAAGAATATGTGGAATACATTTTAAGTTTACGTACAACAGAAAGAGATGAGCTCTCTCTCTCTTTTTACTCAATATTCTTTGAAGCGCATTCAACGTTCGACTTTATCTGGTTAAAATATTTTTAAATTCTCTTGTATTATTCAGAGTATTTACATATGAATGAGCTTGCGCCAGTAGAGAACGCATCAATAAAGTAATTTCATAATAACTTTCTCCGGTTGAGCGTGAAAATATTTCACTGTGACCCTCTTCAAGGGACATGTCTCGCCTTCATGCTTATTTTTATTGGGTCTGGAATCAACATGATTTTCTCGGGAATTTGTTTGCCTTAATTATTACACATTTTTGTTGGTTTGAAAGGGAATTCAATTTGGGAATTTGCTTGCGATATTTTAACAAGAGTCACTTAGTTTTTTGGGGAAAATGTTTGATGTGGTTGTTGTTTAATAAAGAAGTTTACAGGAATGATTCTGCATAATTTTATACATTCTAAAGCTAGCTTGTTTTTAATATTTCCTAGCTAGCTTGCTTTTAATTTTGTTCTCTTCTGAAATGTCTTTGGTATAGATTTTCCCCGCCAAAGACAAATTTTGCTACTGTATTTTCTCCGCTAATGACCTTTCAAAAGCCAACAAGAAAATCCTGGCATTTCCATTGTGCATTGATAGCTCTATTCTTTTCATTGCAGAACTTCATATGCAGACACACACTGTTCTTTTTTTGCCTCGGGTCAAGAACAGAGTGAAATAAAAAAAAAAGAGGAGACAGTGTCTCTACACTGTATGCTCCAGCTGCAGTTGGCCACAAAATCCCATAAATCTCTTTTTTCTTTTATTTTTGTTCAATGTTTTTGTGCTGGTAGCCAACATTTCTCTTTATGCTGTTTGTTTCATTTTTCGTTTATCGACTTGTTTTTCAATCTGTTAAATCGCATAAACACGGCTGAGAGAGAGAGAGAGAGAGAGAGTGCTGTATGTAGAACTGCCGAGAGGTTGGATGTGGCAAGCCATTTTTTTTTATCCGTACCTCAGCCCCCACCACTCACGTCTCGCTCTGGTCTCTGGACTCTGTGCTACCTGTCGCGTCAGCTATGCATCGCTGCAGTTGTTCACCTCGACGTGTGGCATTATTAACGCCCCACCATGCCACAACAAGAACAATAAAATAACTGAAACAATAACCTGAAATAAGAGAAATAAAAGGCTAGCATTTGGGATCGAAGACTTCGATGCCCATGCATTCAAATTGCTTAGAATTATTTTAAAAAAAGTCTACAACTATTAACTCGAACTTGTTTTAGATTTAAACCAATTGGTAGTATGTGCTTTGGATAATAAGGATTTTTTAATGTTAGTTCCAACTTCAGATATAGAGATCCAAACATATATTTTTTTTCGGCTGCAAAAATAAGATTTGATGGAAATTTGTCTAGAATTTCTCTGGTATTCCTCGTATATTCTATACAATAAATTTCCATTATTGTTGCAAATCCTTTCTCTAGTCTCTGTTCTGCCAAACATAGCTCGCTATGGTGTATGCCCCCTCGTATGCCCAGGGTATGCACACACAAAAACCATCATTTGTATTGTTGCCATTGGGGCTGGCTGGCTGGGGACCGCCAGTTGGGGGTTAACCAAATTAAAGTCGCCTTTTGTTGAATTCTCGCTTTTCTACAGTTTGTGCAACATTTCTCCGATAGTTTGTTTGTCTTTTTTAAATTAAGTTGTCAAGGTGGTAATCACTGCCGCACGAAGGACACCAACAGCAGCAGCATGGCGGAAATGAAATTATCTGACAGTTGTTTTCCCCTCTTCATGTTTGTTTTGTTGTTGTTGCTGTTGGTGTCACTGTGGCGCTTCTGTCAGCGCAACCATAATTAAAAAAAAAGAAAAAGAAAGGAAAAATAAAATGCAAAAAAGGGACAGGCGAGTCGTGTTAACTATGGAATCTCGTCCTTTGGCTCATCCTCTGTATGCTGTTAGGGTGGGTTATCTGTTTGCACTGTTCTTTTTTTTATGTATGTGAACTGGGGAAATCAATGGTGAAAGGAGGCCAGGCACATGGAAAGGCCTGGCCCTTGGGACATTGAATCACTTTACATTTTTATAGCATATGAGAGTAAAAAAATATTTTTTAACAATTGTGGGGATTTAAAGTAATATTTACACACTATCTACCATAAAGATTTTCATAATTTTCCGATTATGTCTGTTTAATAAAACGAGTCGTATTTATCCTCTTGAGAACCCATACTGCTCCCCCATCCTCATATCAACTTTCGAAACTCCCTAGCAATTTGTGTGCAAAGACCCCTTTTATCGCAGATTATATTATTAAATTGTTTATAGGTTTTTAATATCATTATGGCCCAACTACTGCAGAATGTCAAGGCCAGAATTGAGCCATGCCTTGAGTTTCTTAATGGTCTTTAAATTGCCATTAAATCTTGATCCCAGGCAAGAGTCAAAGGGTAAGCGGCAACAATTCCAACAAACTTAATCACGAAAATAACACCCTTCCTGCTGTCGTCCCATGTGCCCATCGCGCGGGAATGCCGTCACAGCCCTCGCCCCCAGAATGAATGAATGAATGAAAACATCAAAGTCCACTAAGCCGCTTAGCTAACCCCAAATCCCATCTGCGTGTGCGGAACCATGTGACCCGTTCCGAGAGTTCTGGTCCAACTTTACAAAAAACCAAAAAAAAAAAAATAATAGTTTCGCAACGAATCCACGTTGGCTGCCGGTTGCCGGTCCACTGGATATGTGACACTGCCACGTGAATTGTACGCTTTACAGCGGAGAGTTATTTTTATCAAGGATAGGGTTAGAGGCGGTGTGAAATATTCAGGATATTTTTGAATACCCCCTAAAACCCGATGGGGATGGAAACATTTTTGGTTTGTTAGGAATTGTGTAAAAAAATATACAGAAATCGAATGGTTTCTTTGGATGATCTTTAGAGAACCAACAAAGTCTCTGAATTATGCTCCCTATAGAAGTAATGCTCTTGAAATGCTCATGTATACAAATTAAAATTGTTTAATATTAAATAGTAAACATAAACGCAGAGAAAAAATGGCCTGAAATTGTATTAATTACGCTAACATTTTATATACCAGTTTTAAAAATATATATAAATTTATACCAATAGATTTACTCTGAGAGTGGACATTTTAATGTAAAAATATTTGATTGAAATTAAATATTTTCAAAAATAACAAATTTAATATATCATATTTATTTTAAAGTATTTTTTTTTTAGATTAAGATTTTTAAAAATAATTTTATTTAAATCAAAGTGAAATCTATTTAGTTCCACTATATTTGTATTTTAAACTCGAATATTTCTTTTAAGTATTGGCGTGTTTATTTTTAACTAGTCATTTTTCTCTGAGTGTATATTCAAAAAAAGATCCGTATGTTTTTTGGTATATTTTAAGTAAACCAAAGAAATAGAACTCAAATATATTTCTTTAAAATACTCAATAAATTCATCCTCACCCAAATCTTAATATTTAAATTTAAATAAAAGATAAAAAATAAATTATTCCCACAACACCAAAAATTTATGAATTTTATCTATATCCAAACAGCTAAAATGACTAAAAAAAAACATCTAGTTGAAGGAAAATATTTATAATTACAATTCATCTTCCAGCATAATCCTACAATCAAAAGACTTTTGATTATGCAAAAATGTTGATATACAAACAAATAAAAAAAACAATACAAAAAACATTTAGCATTTAAAAATACTTTTGACTAGAGGGAACACATCGTCCATTTAGAGAGTGTCCTCGGCTGTGAGGACTTCCAGGTTGAGGCAGTTTATCCAGAAATGGTCAATGGTGTTGTACAAATGGGGCAGCGCATTACCAATGCTATGGTTCTCATCGGTATAGGTCTTTTCGGTATGGGAGAGTTTTCGGAATCATGTATATATTCAAACAAAAGAAGGAAAAATGTAAAGCCTCTAACCTGCTCTTCAAACTGTATGTCCGCTCTTTGGAGCAATTTGGCCAGCAGCAGGGAATGCTGGTAGTGTACATTATCATCGCCCGATCCATGAATCAATAGGAAATCATGGGTATTGAAGTTTTCCAGATTCTGGAACGCACTGCTCTCCGTATATTTCTTTAGGTTATCCTCATCCGTGGGCAGACCCATATAACGCTCCGTATATATTGTATCTACAAAGGAGAACATCCAATTAGAACAAGTTTTAGTTAAACGGATTAAAGGATAAACAAACCGTAATACAACCAGGAGGTTACTGGCGCCACCGACACGCCGCACTGGAAGATGCGTTTGTCATCCTTTTCGATGGTCTTGGCCGTCATATAACCGCCATATGACCATCCCCAAATGCCACAACGTTCGGCATCCACATAGGGTAGATTCTGTTGCATCCATTCGGTGACATAGAGTTGATCCTCCACCTCGTGATCGCCCAGATCGTTGTTAACCGAAAAGAGCAGATCCTTGCCCTTGTTGCCCGTGCCCCGGCCATCGATATACGCATAGATCGTATTCCTGGCGGTGGTCACAAATGCCTCGTAGCCCAATGTAAATCCGTTGGTTACGCGCACAGAGTTCGGTCCCTGATAGACCACCACAATCAGTGGATATTTCTTTGTCTCATCAAAGTGTGGGGGCAGCGCCAGTTTGGCCATGCCAATGCTACCATCGGCCAGGGTCACATTCAAGAACTTATAGCTTGGACGCAGTTTCTCCTGCAGTTTGGCGCGATACTCTGTATTCAGTTCCCAGTCGATTACCAGCGTGTTTGTGTTTGCCTCAAAGATGCGTGTATACGAGGGATTGGGTCCGCTGCAGGACAGTGTGTAGTAGCCAAAGGATTTGCTGAAGGTAGCGCTGGCCGAGCGGCATTCCTGCCCATCCACATCGATTTGATTGCAACTCAGACAATCGTCGTTGCTGAACACATGATAAACGGAGGGATCATTCGCCTTGGTGGCCTGGTAGTATCTAAAACGAAGTTCAAGACACATTAATATATATCAAAAGCAAATTCTGTACCGCTTCTACTCACAATTTATTATTCACTTCATCGTATCCGTAGACGTTGAGCACTGTAAAGTTGCCCCTCGATTGCCAGCTATTGACGCCCGTCTCCAGATTCAAATTCCACACCTGATACCAGTTGTCGATGTAATAGGCAAAGATGCAGCTCTGTCCACTGCCCAGGCACTTGGGCGTGCTAATGTCGACCCAACCTTGAGGCTCCTCCAGACGCTTCACCTCCACGCAGACACCCAAATGGCTGCAGCTCTGTATGGAGGACAAATTCTGGCGACGATTCATCCAGGTAATGAGCAAATGTGTGTTGTTCGACCACACAACATTCTGTAGAATGTGATCGCTGCTCACAACATCAATGGGTGCCCCAATGCGTTGCATGGTGGGATCAGAGTTGGTCAAATCGTACACCCGCAGGTTGACAACGGGGTTCTTGGTGCCCGTTTTCGGATACTTGAGATGCTCTTGATGCGGATACTGATAGAAGGTGGTATCCCCATCGCCATAAAGGAAGTAATTGAATGTCTCCACTTCGGTGTCGTTGAAGAAGCCAACGGCCAGCTTTGTGCCATCCGCTGACCACCAAATGGCGCTGCCGCTGCTCAAAACCTCCTCCTCGTACACCCAATCGGGCACACCATTATAGACGATACCATCAACGCCATCATCCGTGATGCTTATCTCCAGATTCTCATTGAAATGTATGTACACATTGTTCAGATAGACATACGCCAGTCGATCCCTCAGCGGCGACCATCCACAGTACTGCAATTTCTCGCCCTTGTGGATCTGAATGGTTGTGTTCGTCTCGATATCATACACATCATACTGGGCAATGTACGAGTGCCGGAACAACTCTGTCAGATTGTGTCGTATGAGGATCTTTGTATTGTCCGTGGAGAGCGTAAATGTGGCACCATCATAATTGTTCTGAAATTCCATAGATTAGTTTTTGTCTTGCTGATAGGGAGAATTCGATTTGTACGTTACCAGAAATGAGGAATTTTGGAATATAATATCAGTTTTGGTGGCAGCATTAAATTTATGTATGGATCTGTCGGTGGCAGTGTAATAAAATTCTTCATCTGCAATAAAAAATAAAAAAAATTATTTTAGCAAAATATTTTAAATGATAAATTTAAATTAGTTGAGAAATTAAACATATTTTATTGTATTTTTTTCGGCTTTGAACTATCCTAAAACTAGCCTTCAAATAAATTAAAAAATAATTAAATGATAAATTAAACTTAATAGAGAAAATAAACAAATTTATTTGGACATTTTTGTCGGCTTTAAACTAGGAGTATCAATGTGGTTAGCATTTGAATTGTTTGCCCATTGCCAAAAAGCAAAAACCCCACGACAACAAAAAACAACAAACTTAAAAGCCGTAAAAGCGTTGCCAAATTTCAATTACTGTTTGTGGATAAAAATCAAAGTGCCAGTACATGTAATTGGCATTTGAACGGGCGCCAGAAAAAGAGAAAACTAAAAAAAAAACAAAAATATTTAAATAAAATATAAACTAAACTGCAGTAAAATATCAACTGAAAATCCAAAAGTTAGTACTTTTTACCCTTCTATTTACGAATGCAAATTAGTACATAGTACCCCCCACAACATAGCATCAACTACACTGGAAACAATCACGCTCTAATTGAAAATCATGTCTTATCAGTGCCAGTTAATCTTTTCTGTGGAAATGCCCATAAGTTGAGTGACGCAATCAGCTTAACAGATCATTCATGAATTCATAAAATTCCCAAAAATATATTTAAATGCATTTCACAAACCACAATAAATTTTTATAATGAGATTTCGATCTCCCAACGCCATACAATGACGCTTCCAGCTGCCAGGTAGAGCGTGCCAATGGCAGAACAAAAGTTTTGACAGACTCGTCATTACATTGAGTACTTTCAGTAGCCGATGCGACGATTAAAACCAGTTTGAAAGTCGTACTTGAATTGTTTGTAACAGCTCTGCCATAGGTGAAAGCTCTCCAGAACTTCGAGTCAGAACTTCGTTCGCTTAATTTGATAAAAGAATAGCAGAAAGAGAAAAGTAAGAGGCATTATCTGGACACAGTCATTATAATAAACCACAAGACGGCGCCGATAAGCAGAGGAATACGTGTATCAGCATATTGCTTTGGGCCACTAACTAGTGCTCGTAATTCATCATAGATTAGATTGCGATGCCTATAATGTAATATACAGCTCTTGAGAAGTGTGCAGAAATCAGCAGCACACACACAAGGTTAAACAATGATCCGCGATGTAGGGAAAGTACAACTCCAATAGGGAAATGACCCTACGCCACATGCATAGACTACATAATTGAGTTTACTTTGATAAGCTCCCGCTGTTGCACTGTCTCGCTGATTGTGCGTACAAATTGTAGAAAATTCCCCCGGCCATGGCACGCCATGGGGAATTACTCAGGATGATACAAAAACAAGCAGTTTACTGCTTTCAGCAGCGTACTGGTTCATCGAACGGAACAACTAACCTGTTATCCAGGTGCCACTGAAACCACGTAGACCCGCTGTGCCGGCCAGGGCCTCCGTTAGGTCCCAGATCGTTTGATTCGTGCCGCTCTCCTCCCTCCTATGGATAACAGCGCCATGCGCGTGGGACACGCAGAGCAGCAGCAGCAGCAGCAGCACCGCAAGCCCCGTTAGATGCGATTTCACGTGCATGTTTTTATGCATAAGAACCATAAGCCGATTTTCTCACTTGTTACACGCCGAAAATCAAGTGCGACGAATTCTTCCACTCCCCTCACGACGCGCAACAGGTAAAACACACACGACACACGGCACACGGCCAAAAGGCAAGTGAATCGAAATCAGAAATCAATTTAAATCGACAATTAGCGGCGCACTCGAAGCAGAACAACTTAATAACACTAGTCAACACGATTTTTCCTCAAGGAACAAAACGAACTTTTTCTAGAAGATTTGGGGCTTAGAAATGGTTTGATGATATTTTTTTTTTCTATGGCAGAACCGACTATCAGAAAAAGTCGGTTTGGATCCTTGAGGAAAAAAAAAGTTCGATTTTGTCGAGTAGTGTAATGAGCGGTGGAGTGGGAGAGAGGGAGAGAGTGATGAAAGATAACCGTAAGCCGCTCATTTAGCTTGCCCATGGCCCTGCCAGATCGACGCATTTTGGTGTTTGCTTCCAACAAAAAGTAAAACAAAATTATTGTTGTATCCAAACTGTAAACTGTGATTATAATTGCAACACTCTATAAAGTAATAACTAATTTTTTTATAAATATTTTAAATGTTGTTTCCAAATTATGCATCTGGCAACGCTGTGATCTGTCGATTGCTGATAGATCGATAATCGATTACGTTGGAGCGCGCGCGCGTTTAATTTTTAATTGTTTTAATATTTATGCATTTACCTGTACACCATTTTCCTTTGAAACCTTTCCAGCTGTTGCCATAGAGCGCCTCTCTCAGTTTCCAGGGGCTTTTGGGTCTCTGTCTTGCAGTCCCAGAAACTGCAGAAATCTCGCCAAGTGGCAGCAAAAGCAGCACAAATAAATTTATTTCCACCCGCATAATTCGACACGGTCGTTGCAAGAATGGTTGTTAAATGGTTGGCTTCCCGAAAGCAACTGATTTCAAGGGAGATTTCGCTTAAATATAATACACGGGCAGCAAATTAAGGCGCACCGAATATGTAAATACCCTTAAAGGAGCGAAATTTCGTTTACTTTGTATTTATTTTTATTTTTATTACTTTAATTCTTAATATTAACACTTTTTTGCTTGTTTGTATGTATGTATAATTATTTTTTTTTTTTTTGTTAATTTGTAGGGTATTAATATAATCGTAGGACACACCAAAGCGACTTTACAGTTACAATTCCCAAAAAAATGTAGACAAATTGTAAGGCGTCGCGCGCGTCCTGAAAATTACAAACTCGTTGATTTGCTTAGAAAAAATGTCCAAAATTGTTCGGCCCCACCGGCTCCTCACTGGTGTGGCTGCCCGGAATCTGGTGGCTGGTGGTGCATCTGCTGTGGCGGCTGCGGTCGGGACTCCCACTGCATGAAGCGGTTCAGTATCATCGTCTGATTCTCCAGCACCTTGGGAAAGAAGGTCTGCATCAGGTCGAGCTTGCGCTCCTCCAGCTCCAGCCGTTGACGTGATATCTTTGTCTGTTCGGCAATCAGCTGCGTGTTGCGACGCACCTCCTCCATGTAGAGGGCCTCCAGGGAGTCGGCCGCCAGCGTATTCGATGATCCAAAGGGACGGCCGCGCCTGCGTGGTGCCGGTGCTGGTGAGGCTCCGCCGACAGACCCGCCATTGGCGTTGGTGGCCACACTGATTGTGTTGTTGCTGCTGTTGATGTACGCCACGGCGGTGATCGGCTGATGATTGATGTTCGGTGCGGTGGCATTTGCGTTGCTATTGGTGCCATTGCTGCTGCTGCTGCTGTAGAGATTTGCCTGCTGCTGCTGCTGCGGCTGTGCTGCCGGCTGCTGATCTGTGGACAGCTGCTGCTGCTGCTGCTGCTGCTGAAACTGTTGCCCGTATCCAGGCTGAAATTGTTGCTGCTGGAGCTGCTGCTGTTGGAGCTGCTGTGGCGTCTGCAGTTCGAGCAATTGAGCTGGCTCGGCTGGCGAATACTGTTGCAGTGGCTCCTGGAAGGGTATCGAGCGATACTCATCGTCCTCGTACTCCTGCTTCACCGCCTCATCGTACTGATCCGTAAATAGTTCCGTATTGAAGCTCATGCCACCGCCACCGCCGCCGCCGCCACCAGCCGTGTTGTTGTTGTTGTTATTGTGGCTGCTGCTATTGTTGCTATTGCTGCTGTTGTTGTAGAAGCTGCTGGCCGCCGCCTCTGTGGTGAGATTGAGACCTTTGCTGCTGCTGCTGCTGTTGCTGTCGTTGCGGCTGTGCTGTTGGCTGCTGTTGCAATTGTTGCTGCTGTCGCTGTTGCAGCTGCAACTGCTCTGGCGTCATGTCGTCCCTGGGCGGCGTCATGTCGCGATTGTTAAGCATTGCAGCCGGTGGCAAGGGTTCGGCATCCTTGGGCCTGTGCAGATTCTTCAGTATCCGATTGATAATGTCGTACTTCTTCCAGCGATTGCCATAGCTGCTGGGATCCGACAGCAGTTGCTTCTTCACCGACCTACACAATCCATAGACGGGGCGGGAGGGATTACAGTCAAATCAATTGCAAAGAGACTGTCGATCGATGCACAAACTCACCTGAACTTGGCCCGCGTCTGGTTGACCTTCATCTGTATCTCCTCGGGCTTCACATCCACCCCGAAACGTTCGCGCAACTCCTCCGCCCACTGGGCAAAGAATATCGTGTTCTTGCCGTTGCGCGTCAGACGCCAGTTGTCGCGTCCCCAGATCTCGTAGAGGCGCTCCTCCTCGCTGGGCGTCCAGTAGCGACGCGCCTTCTCCTTGGCCTTGCCCTCCAGCATATCCTGACCCCCGCACATGTTCAGATCGGACGCCGCCTCGGCGTTGTTCGTCCCGCTGCCGGCTGCGCTGCCACCACCACCACCGCCGCCGCCGTAGTCCATAAGCACCGCTGCAGACGTTGTGCGACGTTACTTCGATGCAGTGCAGTGTAGTCCACGTTTCCGTTTCGGTGTGCACGCACAGAATTACACAATAATTGGATGCATTCCGAAATTTGAGAAGCCAAAAAGATTTTTTGCACAAAAAATCAACAACAGTGATAAATAGTGTGACCGCGGACTAATCAATAAAACATACCCCTCTGATCCACATAAATATACTGCAAAAATACCAAAAGGTAATGCACTAGTGCATTGCGTTAGTATTTTGTCGCCATTGTTTTCGGTATATTCGTTTTTGGCATTTTCACGCCGACCGCGTGCTGGTGCTCAGTCACGTACGGAAATGTTTGGACGAATTGCACAAAATTAAACCAAAATAACATCATGAGCGGAAAGCATACGCGCTTGCGTTACTACACCACCATGGAGGAGGCCACCATGGTGCGGGTGTGGCGTGATTATCTCGGCCAGATACCCACGTACGGCGACAATCTGCCAATCTTTCGCGACGTTGCACTGAACATGCAGCAATGCGGCATTCGGCTGAACAAACAGGAGGTTCGCCGTCGCATCAATAGCTACCGCAATAAGTATTTGTGAGTATTACCAGGCACTGCCAGCTGCCAGTGCAAGACTTTCACTAACATTTCTCTTGGCCTGCAGAACCGAACGCAGTCGGTTGGAGGGCAATCCGGAGCATGTAACGGAATGGCGTCTATACCCGCTTGTCGACTGCCTTTTCCAACCCAAGCGACCCACGGCGGACATGCACCTGGCCCAGAATGTGCTCGAGTCGGCGGCCATGAGGGTGCGCAGCGAGCAACCGGATCTGCCCAACATTCCCAGCTCCATGTCCAGGGCGCCGTTTGTGAAGTTTGAGCGCGATCCGGATGGCTGTGCCTTCCTGGAGGCCCCACCAGCACCAACACCTCAATCGTACCTTTCCTCCCAGAGCACAGTCAAGACTGAACCCAAGCCGCTTGAGGCGGACGACGCAAACAGTCCAATCTACGCAGAGAGCACCAAGCGACGGACACCCCTGACGCCCGCCAATTATCAGCTGCCCCTGGACGAGCGCATGGAGATGGGTGCGAATGGCCAGATGGAGTACAATGCAAAGAAGCGACGCGGCCGCCGCAGCATACTGCCGCGCATGGGCCAGATCTCGCTGGCCCAACTGGAGGCGTTGCGCATGCAGAACAGTGAACTGGAGCGGCAGAACGAGAACAACCAGTTGGAGTTGGAGTTCAAGGAGCGGCAATACAATGAGCTGGAGCAGACCCTCGACCTCTGGATGCATCAGCAGGAGGTCTTTCTGCTCCACTTTGATCGCCTGGGCTTTAAAAGCACTGAGGAGTAGCCACCAGTCGCTCGCCATACCTCAAAGCCCCCCTGCTCGTTGATCTATTGAATAGTTAGCTTTAATTGTGTACAAAGGCACCTTCTAGGCTATTGTAGCGAACCGAAGATTTACAATTACGTTCTCATTATATTCTGGATTAATTAATTTCTCATTTAAGTGCTAGTCAAAATGAATTGACAACGAAGCTATAGAGAAGAGATTTCTGAAACTATTTTAGTTTAATTTTCAGTTTAATAACTACGTAGACCTAAGCCTCGAAACAATTTGCATGAAGCAAAGAAGAAATTTTATTTTTAAGTTTATTTTTGGATTCGCCCTTTAAGCCCAAAAAAAAAAGAGAAATTACTATTTCATTTTCGTTTGGAGATATTTTCTAAATAAATACATATGTATATAAAACTGTTCGATATGTGGCATGGCATGGAATCGTTTATCTATATATTTTCAGAATTGGAAATTTTAATTTGACTGAAGTTATTTCTTCTAATGCAAATGTACTGCAGACAGGGTTTCAATTAAATAGATAATTATCTCTATGTTTAAGGGGTTTTATTCCATTCAGATCGATCCTTTATATTCGATTTAAAGGTAGTAGAAAATCTCTTAAAATCCGCTGCTACATTTAAATTCTACATGTAGCATTTTGTTACATTACACCCATTTTTCCATCCATCCCTCAGAGTCTCTCAAATTTTCAGCGTGTTCAAAAATATTATAAAATTTGTTTGCTGTTCTTTCTTTCAATTATTTAATTATAGTTACTATCTATCGGCCTCCTAAGCCAACTGCACCACGCCCGCAACATTTTGAAAATTCTTTAAAACAACACCAGTCTGGCCTGCCACCCTTAAGTGGTTACCACTCCCTCACCCCTCTATTCCAGTTGGTCAGAGTGAAAGTAAATTTCCTGTGGCGGAGTAATTTTTCGTTTTTGCGTGCAAAATTAATTGCCTTCTGATAAGAGACCGTTAGAACGTCCCATCTGGCTTTAATTGAAAGTACTTTCGTTTTGGGGCCAAGTCGCTGCTGTTCACAAAATTGTTTTTTTTTTTGTATAAAAAGCGCGGCAGAAAATTAAATGAAATTTTAGAATATAAATCTGAGCACAATCATTTAAATAAATCTTAAATTTCCATCACTGGTCCACAGCAGGCGCAAACCCATTCTGGAATGAAGAAAATGAAGCAAGAACGAGATGTATCTACTTACCCGATTCAGTGGCATCAGAGCGAAAAAGATTGAAATGTTTAGCTGCAAAAAAGTTCTGCTTAACGAGGCAATGATTGATTGATTGACTGCTTGCCGGCCAGTGCAGCAGTGTGGGGTGCGATAGGAAGCGCCAATCCAATGCTAATGGTACATCAACATGAACGTGGTGGGGACATGGACATGTATAAAAAAAGAAAAGTTAAAAAGAATGCAGAACGCAGAACGATGGCAAGGCAATTACGTCCAATTAGAGATTGTGAAATCTGTGGCCATTTGAGTGATGCTCTAATTGATAGTTCTGCATCTCTAAGACAAATATCTGTGCAACACGACACTGCAAAACAGGAAATATTTAATATTTAAAGTTATCAAGGTGCTAAATAGCATTAGGCTATGGGTTGGAAGGATTAGGACAACCAAAAAATCTGTTTTCGATAATGTTAGTACATAAGTTCAATTATAATTCTAACTGTAATTACTCTAAAATGTTTCTATGTATTCTGAATTTTTTTTTTTTTTTAATGTTAATAACTTTTAGAATTGTTGTGACTAGCGCCTTAATTTATAAGTATTTATATGCTTGTCGCGCTAGGATGGAAAATACAAAATACAAATATGAGTTTTGCTCCTTTAAAAAGGGTTTTCCTGTAAGATTGTTATTTAAAACAAACAAAAATGGCTTACAATTTTTAAATCGCATATATGCGGAAAGAAATTGTTAAAATTGGCTTCAATAAACGGAAATTAAAGAATCGCAGTCAAAGAAACTATTTATTTAAAACGCGCGCTCTAGCAAAGACGCCCTCTATGTATCAGAATGGCAACAGCTGTTAAATACCAGAGAAAATACTACATTTTAGGAGCATTTACACGCTCTCTCTTGTTCGGAATGTGTCTCTCTTTGACTCTCCTCATGTCCTACTATTCCAGTCGCAGGGCTTAGTAATATATAGGTACTACTTAGTAGGTAGCACATTCCACTAGTGTTGGGTAAATAGTGCACATTATATGAATATATTCTATATAAAAGCAATTAAATGCATACCTTATTAAAATACGATGGAAAATCAAAACATAAACGAAATCTGATGACGTGGCAAGGCCCGTTCTTATATTCAATTGACACGCTTTTCTTTCGGCCCTACCATGGCGATGAGCAGTAAGTTCTCGTCAGTAATGGTGGTGGGTGCTGGGTGCCAGATTCCCCAGTTTCTTGAAACATCATGAGTTCAAGTACTGCCCCGGGTAATGATTGAAAAAAGTCATTCTCGGTAATTAAAGACTGAAAAAATGTCTCGAAGCGACTGAATAAGTCTGTTATATAGAGTAAACAGAGAGAGTAGTAGTGACTGAAAAAGTCTGAAAAAAAGTCCCTATCTCTCTCTCATCTCTCATAAACCAAACTGGGGAAAAATAAAGATTGAAAAAGTCTCTCTCCACCTGACTGAAAAAAGTCATACTCGGATTATTAAAGACTGAAAAAGTCTCTTCCTTCTGACTGAAAAAAGTCATACTCGGATAATTAAAGACTGAAAAAGTCTCTTCCTTCTGACTGAAAAAAGGTCATACTCGGATAGTGTCGTTTACGAAAAACAAATTTTTTGCTACAAAATAATAAATATCTGATTTTTTGTTTCTTTTTCTATTATTTTTGAGTTGCCTCGCGCACATGATAATGCTTTGTTATAAATTGAATTATGTCCCTCGAAAGAGGCCATTTGTAGGCTGTACCTAATATATTTATGCCATGTGGCCGGCTGCTACTCGCAAGCACATTATTATAAACTTTATATGCTGTGGATCTCTTTCCGATTTCAATTGGTTCTCTTCTTTTGCATTCGTCGTGTCGTGCGGGCGTTATTCGCGCGCGTTCACAACAAATCCGTGAAACAGACATTGTCGGGCCGAATAAGAAAAATGTTTATTACGCCAAACACAAAAGCAACAACGTAACAAAAAAAAAAACACAACAAGAGAGAGAAAGAGCAGCAGCGGCAGCGTCAAGTGCGTGTGTGTTCGAAGGTGTGTAAAGAGAGAGAAAGCCAAAAGGAGAAGCGTGACAGAGCGACACGGACGGGGCCGGGGCTCTTAAATAAATTTCGCATATCCCAAAAATAAAACCAAAAATCCGTAATTGCAAATAGAAAAACAAATGCAATGCATTAATTTACATGTGATTGTTGAGAGTGGCTGTGTTTGTCTGTGTTTTGTGTGTTTGCTTGGGTTTGCTGTCGGATTGTGTTTGTTTGAGAAACAAAACACACACAAAAATTGGCTGGCATTCCCAATATGAAATTTCGTTGTTATTGCCGCTGCATCAGCTGGCGACGACTCTCTTGGCCATCTGTCTACCCCCCCCTCTTTCTCTCTCTCTTTCTGCGGCAACACCAGCCCATCTCCCTCTTTCTCTTTGTGTTGTCCCCCCACAACTAACATTTAGCATTTGGGTGTAAAAAAAATCTTTTCCTTTTTTGCGCTTACATTCTGGATCTTAGCTTATCTCTCTTTCTCTCTGCCTCTCTTTTACTTAGCCCAAAGTCACACAACAACAACAATAACAAGCAGGTTGGCACGCGGGAGTCGAAGTTTGCGGTACCCTGCCAAATGGCAGCAGTCTGACAAACTCAAAGAGTTTTGATATAAAATTATCAGAATTAGGTTGCAACGTTTGGAAAAATAATGCTGAACTTTAGCATGGATTATCTTTAAAGGAAAACACTTTCTTTGCCCATCCAATTGTGCTTTCTCAGTGTTGCTACAATAAACAATTAATTTAGTAACATCGGACATGGCTATATCCCCGCGACTGTTCAGCCAGATCATGAATATTATAACTTCCCATATCGACCTTCTTTGGTTCGACAACATCTAATCAAAATAGTTAATACTCTCTCTCTCTCTCGCTCGCAAAAAGGGTATTCCAAAAACCCGTTTCATTTCGCCTTCTCTCTTTCCTCTTGCACGGCCCGGCCCGACCCGACCCGCTCGCTCTTCTTGCTCTTAGCGTCACGCCTTTTATGTGTGGTTTTTGTTGTTTCTTTATTTAATCGCCCGGCCCCGTTACACGCCTCTCCCCTGACCATACGTTCATTCATAGAAAAAAAGCAACAACAAAAATGTAACGCGATTTCTATTATTTTCACCCAAAAAAAAATCCAACAAAATTAATCAAATAAACGGAGAAAAAAACCAAAAACCGCAGAAAATATCAAAAGAAATCAAATTTCAAATTCGTGCAACAACAAACAACAACAAAATTACAATTATCCAAAATCATCGCCAATTGCATTTTGTTGTTGTTTTGGGTTGTTGCTTCTTTTTACACGTGTTCACGAGTACGTTTGTGTGTGTGTGTGTGTGTTGTGTTTGGCTTAGTGCCCTTCCCTGTATGTGTGTTTGTGTGATGTAAGTTTATTTAATCAAACAGAAAATAATAATAAAATTTTGATATCTACTGCGAGTATTATGTATAACTGGCGCTATTGTTGTGCTGCATTAAATTTTTTTTTTTTTGTGATAGTTGTTTGCTCATTTGACTTTCGTTTCGTTTTCCGCTGGTTACGGGGGAGGGAGAATGTTGGTATTTTGATACTCTCTGGATGTGAGGTGGTGAGGTATGATAGGTTTTGGCAAACGGTTTAAGAATAACGAAAGCTACAAGGGAAGCTACGATCCCCAAGGTGTACGAAAAAATATTGCACAACAGCAGAGTTTTATTGTGGTAAATGGTATAAAGAAATTGTCTTTTCTTTCCACTAGACTTTATATTATACTACACGGAAAGGGTAGCAGTCAGCCGAAAGCAGTCAGTTTATCGCTTCATGTTTCCAGTCTCTCTATCGCCACTAAAAGTTCCGTTCATTCATTCATGAATTCGATATTTGTATTGTATGTTTATGTATTGTTTGTCTTTCTCCACATGTTTGTTTTCCTTTCCCTATTTCCCCTTCGTAATTGTCATTAAATACTTATATTTTTAGGAGAAAGATATGTGACAAAAATAGCTTCAATAAATACAAATAATAAATAATAATAAAAAAAAGCTCAAAGACACATTTCGAATAACTTAGATTGTAAATTATATTATGTATAAGCTTTAGTTTGTAGTTTCATTAATGGAAAAAATATAAATAAATATTAAAAGAATATATTAAGGAAAAAAAGACAAAAAAAATGAAAAACAAACAGAATAATGTTTCTTTTTAAAGGGAAATGTTTCAGTTCGCAAAATCATTTGAAAAAAAATTTTGACCCAAAAGAACGAAGCACCAGATTTGATTTTTTAGGTGTAAATCAACCGAATTTAGGTGTAAATACTACAATAAAACAGCCCTGTGCAAGCCAGAACCATTAGTGTCCAGTCCAAAGAGCATTCACTGTATTTATTCGCATTAAAAGATAATTATGAAGACCTTTCCCACTCCATAATTAATCAGGTGTAGGCTTTTCACGACATTGCCGAGTGTTTTTCAAGTGGAATTTCATAGATAACCATACATTATTTTTTTTTTTGGCTGAAACTACTGTATGTGAAGATAATGATAAGAAGTGCCCATTCCCTCGAAGTCCCAGGGGTGAAACAAATGTGCGCTAATGGAATGTTGTTTTAGGTCTTCCATCCATATTGTTGGGACCAAAATTTTTGACCAATTTGCTTGCCAATTGCCAGCTTATTTAACACATTAACAAAACATTTGTTAACACATTAAAAATATGTGTTTAATCATTGCTGAACAAGGCCATTAAAAAGCCATAGGGACACCACATAAATCTTTTCATCGTTTGCGGCTGGCTAAATATCGCTGTACAGAAATTAATTTTAATTTATGCGCGCGTCATTTAAAAATAGATTTTAATGGAAAGACAAAAACAAAAATAAGAAAAATAATTCTTTGAGTTTTGAATGAAAAGACGTTGCGGCATTTACCTGAAAACTTTGAGAATGTGCTTTGATTTTCTAGTGGGTGAAAATAGAAACAATTCCGTTGAGATTTAGGTGTATTTTTAGCCTTTTTTTTACGAGTTTTAGCTGGATTTTTAATTGAAATGTTATTTGAAATATCCATCCATCATTATTGGATGTCATTGATTCATTGTACATTTTTACTGATAATTCTTTGTTCGAATCCTTTGTTTTTTTCACTTGAAAATAATGCACTCTGATATCAATAAACACGATTTCGATAGCACCATTGCACAGCACCATTTTGATTGCCCAAAATTTGAACAATTTCATCTGTTTGCCTTATCAAACATTCAACTCATTAGCAAAATGAATATGCAATCAATTTGTGTGCATCAATTAAAGTATGAACACTGTGGGAAAACATCTTTATTGATCAATTGCTAGTATAAATATTTGCCAGACACAGACGGTATTGTATTTCTGTGTGTGCTCGTGGAGCATTGTTCCCACCTTCTTGTGAAGATCATTCAAGGATAGACTAATAAAAGTAGCCATTGAACAAATGTTTTTCATTTCTCAAACGATGACAAATATTTGCCAAGCACGTGAGCCACAGAATAAGAGACATAAGAGAGAGATGCCTGCTCATATATAATTCTTGGTTGCTGGTGCGCTGTCTGCCTCTCCCTCTGAGTGTCGCTGCCATCTAAAATTCTAACGTGTCGCATAAAACGTTGATAAGAAGAATATAGGAGGAAGGCACTAGAGGCACAACTGGAGACCAACGCATTGCAGTGTTTTGGATTACGTGGTGGCTGCCGCCGTCACTCGGTGACCAGAGGGAGGGCCGCCGTCTCGATAAGCGCTCGGCATCATTTCTAGTTTCTTGATAAACAGGCAACAATTATACAGTACATCTTGTACACATAAAAGGCCTAAGCGGAAGTCCATAGCAAACGGCAGTCACTTTATAGCTGCTTCAAATGTAGTCCCCTGATGATGTTGGACAATGAATCGCCCTGGGAAAGGGGTAAACATATGTGGAGATGGCAGCTACTGCCAAGAGAGCGTAAAATACATATGTGATCTCCAACGTAAAAGCGAAGTTCAATGAAAGCGAAAATTATTTTAGGTATCTGCCCGATCGCTAGATGAGAATGAAAAATATGCTAAGAATATTTTTAAATTTAGATAATTAAACAGCGAAGATAAAGGGGGGCCTTCATAATATTTGCAATGCTAAAATAAATTGCCCAAACAATTAATACAAAAATCTTCCCCTTTGCCTGTGCCCGTTGACCCATTTTAAAGCCCGAAACGAGTATAAATGTTGCTTGGCTACTTTTGCAGAAGACTCCTCTGACTCTCCACTGACGTAACTTATTCACAACATCATTCACATCATCATTCACATGCATTCACACATAATTTGTTGTTTGTCATGGCGACAACAACAGCAGCGACAACAGCAGCGACAACAGCAATAACAACATTTATCATTTTAGAGCGCGTGTCGCTTGAGCTGGGGTGGGGGGGCTTTGTAGCCGTGGGGTCACTCGGTGGGTTCACAGGGGTCAAACAGGGGGGCCAACATTTTTGCCAAACTGTCTGGAAATTTTAACTGCAGCATTAATTTGAATTTTTCTCTTTATCATATTTACTTTTTTCGTTTTGTGCACAAGTCAAAGTCATTTATTAATTGAAGAACCAGTCAAGTGGAAAGGCAAAAAGAAATTCTTTTGCCATAGAAACATTTCTATTATTACTCAGAGTATTTTGAGAAAAAGAAAAAGAGAGTCTGAGCAGGAGAGACACTGGAGCAATATTCAAGGTCTGTGAGCCAAAGTTCTTAACAGATTTCTGTACCATTTTGATGGCCTTAAACTTGGCGTAAGAGCAAGCCCTGTTCAAGTTTGCCTTTCTGTATTTACCTACAGAGAGTTCTCATCATTAAGGTATCCTCTCTAAGGAAATGACCAAAGTTAATCCAAGCACCATCACCCCCTTTAAAAACTCTTTGCAGAACCTAGTACAACACTTAATTAAAGGTTAAATTTTTTGTATAAACAAAAACAACTGCACTTTACACTTGAATTAATCCAGGGTCTGCTGCCTTGAGCAACAAAATGTAAATAAAGCTTAGATCGAGTTGGTTAAGAGGTCGTTTCCGTTCCTTTCCTTTCCTTTCATTCCGTTATTGGTATTGGTTTACCATTTTGCTGTGGTTAACCGCAAATAAGCATTTTTGTGCATTTTGTTTTCTCGTTCGTTTGCCTTTTACACTTTTCCTACTAGACCCCCCCCAGAAAACACCCACCCCCCAAAAGAAATTCAGTCATTTGTAAAAGTTTAACTTCTGTGGGGTTTGGGATTTTTATGTTGAAAGGACAGGTGCGGATGCGGTTAGGAAATAGGCAACGCAAAATGAATGAAAACTTAATGGGAACCTTTTCTTGGATTATAAAAATGTACTCAAAATGTATTATTTTGCCAATAAATTTTCCCATTAATAAATACTCTTGGGTATTTTTATTATTGGCCCTAAATCTATTGTTGCTCAAACCGTTCCCTTGACAATCCGCTCCTGTTTTTGACCCTTGGTATTATTTCCATTTGGACAGCTCCGTTTTTGGGTTTTTTCGGGAATTGGACTTCTCATCAATATATTCGCTTGGGTTTCCCCCACTTTTTGCATTAAAATGTTTCACACTTTGCTGAAGCTTAATGGGAAGAGGAGGGGCATCCTGCCTGAAGAGTTTTCCTTTCTTATTTGGCATGGGAATGGGGTCTCTGGGGGGCCTTCGTTTGTTTTGGTAATTTATTAAATTTGTTAATGCACTCAACCTCTGGTTAATTCTAACATTTGGATGGACCCTATTTATACCTCTTTTTGGGCCCTCCAGGATATGTCTGTCATGACAACGAATTGTTTTTCTTCACTTCCTTTAACAATTAGGCACGCAAAAACTGTCAGTCAGACAACTCCTGGGGGGGCTGAAAGCGGTGGGTTGCAGGTGCGCCAACACCTTTGCAGCGCCCCTCAACAGAAACAGGGCGGGTGGAGGCGTGGCCATAGGGCATGTCAGCGTCAGCGTCAGCATGACATGCGTGTGTGGGTCGTCCAGTCGAGCGGTGTGTGGGGGTGTGCGGGTGCTTATGTTTTATGGTTGATTGAATTTGCATGGAATGTGCTTAACCCCCAGGATAAGGGTGTCCCGCGGTAGCATACATATTACGGATAGTAATTCACACAGAGAAAATGGTGCCAAGGCAACCCAAGCCAAGGCTAATCAGAGGTGTTTAGGTGTGGCATAAATAAGGAATATCGAGAAAGTTATCGCAACGAAATTTATCGATAGCACCAGGCCATTTATTAATCACGTATTTCTATAATAAAAATATTTAATATTTGCCGTGTCTGATTGTCTATAAAATTTTTGATTAATTTCATCGGCTTACCAAATCTTTTTAAATCAAATCTTTCAAGGTATCTTTCAAAATTCCCTTTAAACGTATCTGCATAATTAAGCCCCCAGTCTAAGGCCATAAATTGGCCATTTAGCTGGGGATTTAATATTCTTGGGCCCCGCAGTCAAGTTCATGGTTTGTACAACAAAAACAACAAAATTAGCATTTCTAGCTGGTTTTTTTCGGTGGCGGCAATCGTTGCTTTAATACCGACTGACACACGCATCAAAAAATCTAAAATCAAACTGACGCTCAGTTTCTTGCTCAGCTTCTATTTTGATTCGTGTTGGTTCAATAACCCATAAAGGAAAAGGTTTCCTGATTGCTGTCTAAAATACAAATAATAGCTCCATTCCGAGCTAAAAGGCATTGCACTTTTGATGGGGCAAATATAAATAATATTATATATATCAGGCTAAAATGTAGATTAGGGTCTTGAGAGATCTTAAATCAATATATAGGGATTATCAAAAGGCAATAGAATCCTGCCATGGATGTGCGGAATACCTTTCCTAATAGAAGGACTCACTGTTCCACAGATCTATGCAATTTGTAAAGCATTTTCCTACATTTCCTTTTGCACAAAACTTTAGTAATTCATTAAAAACTTGTTCCAAGAACCCAGCATAATGGAAATAATATTGAAATTTGCATAGTTCTCCCCCCATTCGGCACCATTCCATTTCCTTTTGCATTTCCTTCTATTTTTCGTGCGCTAATGATGTTTACGACACAAAAGAAATAGTTTTGCCCCCTCCACCCCCACAAAAAGTTATCCATATCACGTAGCTTGTGTGAAAAAAGTAATTATGTTAATGTTCCTGTTGTTATTTCCAAGTGGGAGGAATTATTTTTGGAACATGATCCTCCCAGTAGCCCAAAAACTGTTTTTTCCCTAATTGGAATTTGTGTGTTGGATCGATTTTTGGTTGCTTAAACAAAATATAAGTAGAATATCAGGTAGTGCAGCATTTTTTTATTTTTTTTATTTTGAATTGAAATTTCTTTGTGCTATCTTGAGATAACAAATCAATTAGCAACTTGTCATGTGACAGTTTAGAAAACTATTTAAAATTAATTACTTGACAACTTTATGGCCGTCGTCTACAATTAGAGACTCGTATGATTGATATGACAAATTTGTGTGACTTTTTTAATATGTGAAAAAAATGTATTCAGCAATTAATTAATATGTTCAACGAATTTTCTTAACGAACAAATTTCACATTTAAGTTGTAAATTTTATTTTTCTTTTGTGATTTTTATTATTTTTCAGATTAACCCTACAGGGCCCAAGAAGCTTCGGATACTGCTTTACATTCTTCCTTGATAAGGTGAGTTTTTAAATTAAATGTGAACGTATTTGCTGGGTTTCATGTTGCATAAAAGAATCACAGTAACAGCTGCTTCGGACTGCCACTCGAAGGCTCATATATACATATATTAAAGCCTCTTTAATCCCTACCATGAATACAATTAGCGTTCAACCCACTAGTCAATCAATTAGCAGATTAATTAAACCACAAACCCCGTCATTGATTGGTGGTGCGGTGACTGCTGTTCGCAAGCCAGCTTGCCTGCTTTCAGGCGCCGCTTAAATCCATAATTAATCTTACCAGCACTTAACCGACAGAACAACCGACAAAAACAACTGCACAGAATAATAAGAGCAGCGCAGCGAACTTAAGTTGTAATTAATATGCAAATGCAACAAAAGAGAGCCACTAAAGCAAGGCAAGGGAAGACCAAGGGAACTTCGTAGTTCCCGACGCAACGTCAAAAACATTTGCACAAATCATCGGTTAAGAGCGTTAGAGCTGCCTAATTGTTATGCAAAAAGGGTTGCCTCCAAGTCAGACTACACATAGACCGACCCGAGACCCGAGACTGACAGTTGTTGTTGTTGTGTTTTAAACTCAATTGAACCTTTAATGCAGTCCAAAGTCCGTCCACACCCTGGTAATAGACCTAAAACGAAGCCCACATTGTACTACTACTACACTGAGCAACATAGTTTTTGCCTGAGTTGCCACACATTGGTTGTTGCTTTAATTGAATTTACAACACAAGTCAGAGATCAGAGCTGAACTTTGTAACTATTTTAATTAATTTTTTGGGTGCTTTTTGGTGTTTTCTTTTGAAACTGTTTTTCGTTTGGGAATGTAATTATTTCTGTGGGTTTTATTGTGCTAAGAACTTGAAGATATATTGTTGGGTTTAATGTCTTTCCTTTAAGTTTCCCCAACTGAATTATTTCTTTAAGAGTGAGAAAATGGAGGAGGGTTTCCAAAGAGAACTGGTTCACTATAGTAATAAATATTGAATCAGCCAGTTGTCATACAATTCTTGCACCAGTTAGTACTAAAATCTCATTCCCAAATTGATTTAGAATTTCCCACCAAAATCAATCATTATTCCTACAACTTAAATATGATGAAAACCCTAGGGAAATCCTTGATTTAAACTTTCTCGTTTGGTAAACAGTGTCTGTCTCTCCTTTCGGAAGAGAGGCTGAAATTTAATTAAAAATCGTTTGGCCCCAGCAGCAGCAGCACGTGCTGTGTGCCTCGCTGCAGTAGCATCAGCAGCAGCTTCTCTGTGTGTAGTTTTTGGCAGCCATCCAAGTGAGGGGGGAAAATGCCATCGATGCAGTGCCTCCCTGCTGCTTGTGCCTCCTTGTGACGGTGCCTGCTTCCAGTGCCAGGCGGAGATGAGCGAATGAGCAGAGCAGACGACACTCAAACTTGACATCGACTGAGGCGTGTGGATATAAGGGTGTAGACGAGTATGTGTGTTCCTGAGGACAAGGACAAGAGGCCACCAAACAAGAGGCACAAGGCCCACTAAGCGACCAACAACAAGAGGCACAAGAAAGCCCACCATGGGGACGGCACAGAGGCGGGGACTTGAGATGTGAAAACCATTACGAGTATTGTCCAATGTGGAATGCAGAGAGAACCCCTCGGGGACTGCGCCTCTGGCGCTCCTTGTGGCGCTCCCCCCGCCCATTCCTTGCACAAAAGTTTGAGGTTAAGTCTTCGAGCATCCTTTTAAATGAATTAGTGGAAAATACATTATAATTTTCAGCTGCATGTGCGTTTTCCTCCAGTTGCTTGATTACTTAAAAGCTTTTATTCACTTTCTGCCTCAAGAATACTCGTCGAGGAATTGCACTCACACACACATCCACACACACACACACACACAGGAAAAACGCCTTTTGGTGGCTTTTCAAATCGATTTATAAGAAAGGCAGAGGAAGGAGGACCTTCGGTTTCCAGTGGAATGTTCATTCTAATGTCGCTGAGAGCACTGAGAGCATTTCAATTTCTTAAGCCTCATTGAACAGCAAAGTGTGGCAGAACGGCTCTGCCCAAGAGATTCTTAGATTTTTCTTAGTTTTACAGATATGATTGCTTGCGAGAACGTTGCATCGATTTAAATACTTTCTACTGTGTAGATTGTGGAATAGATGGGTTTGAGGTTTAAGAAAGTTTGAATGCTAAGATCACTGTTTTTATCGACGTATTAAACAATTTATAACAAGAAATCATCAATCGATGACATGTTAATGTCTATATATTTAATTTAAGAAGCTTATCGGGCTTAAAACTGTTAATATGTTAGTAAAATCGATTAAATTCAAAGAAATTAAAAATATAATCCATAAAAATCGATAGACATGTAATGAAAAGTCGATAAGAAATCGATATTAATTTAATGAAAAATCGATAAACATCTATATAATACTAATTGAATTAATCAAAGTGTTCGTTATCTTGGCGAGTATTTTGTGGATTTTCCTGATTAAGTATCGCATGTATATAAAAAATATTGTAATATAAATCCAATAAAATATGTAGCTTATTTTTAGCAAACCTAATTTACAGGATATCTGTTATTTTAGAAGATTCTTTCTTTCTGGCTTATCATAAACTGGTAACTAGGAGAACTTACCTTTCAAAAGAGAATGCACATCCTTCAGTTCCCTTACAACTATTGCCACAGCAAGCAATTTTTCTGAAAAATAAAACAACATTGAATAGAAACCATTTGTGACTATGACTATAATAAGTATACAAAGTCCCTTGGGAACTAAATATTCTTTTGTCTAGCCGTTTTTCTACTACTTTCCTTCCTTCCTCCGACCCCAAAAAAAAGAAGGCAAAGCGAGCGAACTAGAGAAATATGCCGACATATTTAAGTTACTTGAAGCGCACATAAGTACCCAACAAATTGCCTTCATGCGAACACACTGCATCCCCACAACGTGCCTCATGCCTCATGCTCATGCCACATGCTCATGCCTTTTCTTTCATTTTGATTGTGCTTTTGAAAACTCATTAAAACTTCAGAGGCGGACAAAACGAAAAAAAGTACAAAAACAAAAAAGAACTCAACACATTTTTCCACATGTGCATTGCGACGCCTTGGAATATGCTACAGGAGTTTTCTTCATTTTTAGAGGGTTTTCCCGCAGAGTGTTTTTCCTCCCGTCAAAAAAACCTAACCGAAATAAGACAGTTCTGACAGAGAAAAAAAAACATCCAACTAAGTCTGGAAGAGTGAAAGCTCTGAAAAGTGAAAGAGAACTCTGCGCCAGGGAAATGAAAATAAATGTGTGCATGTGTAATTTATGTTTCCCGCCGCTTTGTTTCCTGCGCGACGAAAATCGTTAAGAAAACTGCAGTGGGGAAAACATTTGTAACAGGAAAAAAATATGAAAAACTTTTACCCACTGCAGCAGCAGCAGCAACAAAAACTTTTTACCCATTTCCATTTTTTTTATATTTTTATTCTTATTTTTTTTTTTTTCGTTGTGTTTATTTTCCACTTGTTATTGTAGCCAGTGCCTTAATTTATGCCCATGAGAGACGCCAAAACGACATACAAAAAAACTATATATATGCTTCACTATATAGTACGATATATATGTACATATGTATGCTGTATTTGTAGGTGCAGGCTGCTTTTGGTGAATGGGCGAATGGCCGGGGCGGCTGCTTAAAAGGATTAGCGTTGCATGGCCGATGAAAAAGTCCTTGACCAAAATTGCTGCAAATTGTGGCCTGCTCCTCCAGCTTCATTTCAGCATGCCTCTTTTACTCTCACTTTCAGGCTTTTAGGGTGAGAATTTTCGCTTTTAATGGGTGGAGAATTCTCGCTTTTATGGTTGGAGAATTCTCTTAATTTTTTTTTTGGGGGAATTAAGCTTATGAGGGTACTAAAAAAAAAGGAGAGGCATTATGCGGTTACTAATTACTCTGGCAGGGGATTATAGTTACAGCACTTTGAGAGCTACGTAGACCCTAGATCCACTTAAAAAGGCAATTAGTTTTCTATTGAATATTTTCACATTTCACTTTACAGAAAAATAATTTTTCAAAACGAAGTAAATAATCTTTAAACTACGTAAGAATCTTCCTTCAAAAATATTCAAATTTATATTTGGGAAATATCCGCACTTGACCTCTTGTCTTCTTACATTTTAAACATCTGGAAACTCTTTAAAGGTTTTAAGTAATCCCTATTATTTCCATTCTCTTCCATTCCATCACATAATTTTCCGACATTTCTCTCTCACAGTGCAGCTAAGCAACACCCAAAATCCTCTTAAAGAAAGGAGTACAATTATTTCAGCAAAGCTAAACGATTAAGAAGAATTTTAATTAAAATACCTCTTGAAATATTTTAAATGGATTTCAAACTCCCTTCCCTCCGGACTGGGAATCGGATTTCCTTATTTTTTTTCCACCGAATTTTCTCTCTCGTTTAGCATTTGTCTCGCCCGCTCGGTTGACTTTTTAGCTCGACTTTTTTATTTGTATGTTGGTTTTTTCCTTGCCGTATTTTATTTTTATTTTTTTTTTTTTCGTTCGGCCAACTCATCTTTCGCTCTTTTGTGGACAGGCCACATTGTTGTATATTGCTGGCTTTCGGTCTTTGGATGCTTTTTTTTTTGCAGGCCCCAATACCATTGTTATCGTTTGTATTTGGAGATTTCTTTGCGAATCATTTCAGGGGGGTTTTTTTTTCGGTCCGTCAACGTTTTAGTAATTGAACGTTCTATCGTTTTTTTCCCTCTTTTTTTTTAAGGCCTTTCCCTCCCACTAACAGTTTTCACTTTGTTATGGTGAGCGAGCGTGGTGGGAAGGCAGAACTAATGGGATTCGATTTTTAGCTATCAATGAAGTTTGAGATCTATTCAGGAGAGCCATCGGTGTTAGGATACAAGTTTTTGCTGTACAGGAAATTTAATTAAAAAGGGGAAACGTAATGAAAATGGAGATACAGTTGAGAGAAGAAGATAAAGGGTTTCAGTGAAATAAATACAGTGAAAAGTGCAGAAAATGATCCCAGAAACTACAAAAAATTATAGAAAACTAAAGAATTGTTCATGTGAAAAACTAAAGGTAAGGAAACTAAAGCCTCTGGTAAAAAAAAAAGAAAACGCAATGTCTTACGACTTAAATGGGCCATTATCATTCTAAAGAATTTTTGTTGATGGAATTTTAAGTCTAAGGCTCGAAATATTGGCATAATATTCACATTTAATGCTCTAAATATTCGTTTTGAGATGGGTTCAACTTCTAAAGTACTTCCTTTGATGAATACCCAAAAATTGAATATAAATCAATGCCACAAGAACTTGTATCCCCACCCAATATATTGGAAACCCATATACATATATTTATAGATATTTATTATCTATCCTTTGAAACAAAATTTACTTCATGTTTAAACAAAACATGTGACAAGGATTGCAAATTGTGTTTAAACTCTGGAAGAATAAATCCTCGAAATAAAGGGAGAAAAGGGAATATACACCTTTTGCAGGACATGCAATATAAATGGGAAACCCACACCACATGGGCCCAATCGGTAAATCAAAATGTCACCTAGCGTAAGAAGAGGCCCAGGCACATTCCTCCAGTTAACAGGCGCAAAAATGACAACAGCTGGAGGTCCTGCCACACACACACACAGACACGACAGGCAGGCAGGCAGTCGGGTGTGTAATATCATTAAAAACAAATTGAGCACATTAATAAATATGAATTATGATTGTTAATAAAAATGATGGCGTCCGATGGGATGGGCCCAGAGCGTGACCGAAAAGTGAAAGAAATACGAGACGAGAGACAGATCCAGAGCCAGAGAGCAGCACAGGATGCGAATGCGGAAGTGTAGCATACTTTTTGGGGTATTGCCCACTCGTAATGCTTGACACCTACTCTGCGGCCACGCCCTACGCCCTGAAAGACAGGAGGACTCCAGGAATCTCCACCAACAAAATGTGGGAGTCACTGGGAAAACATTTTGCTGCTCTGTGTGCGGCATGGTATGGCAGGGCAGGGCAGGGCAGGGCAGGGCTGTTGTTGCATAACTTTTGGGCGCTGCAGAGTGTGTGGCAGACATCATAAATCAATTTATTGCTTTTACATGCAGACAGAGAAAATCGGAGCTGCCAGTGGGAGGTGGATTATAGCTTCCGAAAGCAACCACCACAACCACTCACCCGCAACCGCTTTCCCGCCGCTTTCAATGATAAAAATAAAATTGCAATTTTTATTTGAGGTCGGATTTTGTTTGTGGGTAGAGCGAAAGCGGAGCGAAAAAGCGGAGGTGCCAACAAGCTGATAGGAAAATCTACCGAAAATGGGATGAGTAAGCGAGATAGCTATTGGCAGCTAAAGAGTGGGAGAGATGGATGGATGGATGAATGAATGGACTGTGCACCAGCAAATGGATGCAAAGTTAAACAGAAACTGCACTGTGGCGAGGCGAGTGTTTGCTCTGTGAAGTATCCCCATGGGAAAATGGGATTTAAGCTGAAATTTATGGTAGAAATTTGGGGGGAGTCGAAGCTAGATATACGCTTGTAGATACAAGTGTTTTTTTTTTTATAGAATCAGTTGATACTCGTAGTATAGTCATGAGATTTGATCAGAATTATAGCCTATGCAACGTTGGATTGGATTATTTTTTGAATATTATTCTGAATATTATTTGAATTTATTTTGATAAGATTTTTTAGATTATGTTGATTTAAATTTAAAATTTAGGCTATATTTATATTTTATTTTGATGCATTTTCTCAGAGTAAAGAATCACCGCGTTATTGTGCATCTTAAAAAGTTTCATGGGACTCAATTAAAACAACATCTGTTAGAAATCATAATAACCTCTGACAGGGTATTTATGTAGGGTACATACATATGTACATTAATTTTCCTAAAAGCTTTTGCTTTTTTGGAAAAAGTGATATGAACATTTTTGACGAGAAAGGAAATGATTCCAAAAATGTTTGCCCAAAAAAGAGGAGTCTAAAAATGTTTTACTTAAAAACTGCATCGTAATTGTTTGCTACAAAAGAAAGAGCGAAGAAAACTATAAATCCAAATCATAAATGAAATGATTGAAATTATTTTACTTATGAACAAAACTTGCCCTGAATTTAGTGCTTTACAGCACCTTACCTCAAAGGTTCCACCTGTGATACCCGTTTAACACCTTAATCCTTAATCCTGAAAAACCCTCGTAAAAACCAACGCAAACCGCACCAACAACCGTTAGCCGTTCATCATAATTGAGAGGGTGGGGTGGCGGTTGAAGGGAAACCCCCGCCTGCATTTTGCAGCGCATGTTACGGCTCATCAGCTTTAATGTCAATCCTGAAAGCCATTTTGTTTTTATCATTCCCGCTATAAGTCTGACACGAGCTTAACCGATGGTTAGGGCGTCTTACATCCACTTTGATTACGTCCCGAGAGAGGTGGGTGTCGGTGCTAATAAAAGTTTTGTGCCATTCCTTCCGGCTTGCCAATCAGAAAGGAAATTCCCCCACTCAGCTGTCATTTTTGCTAAACAGATATACAGATATGTATGTAGGTATATAATATACGAGTAATATGCTCCGTATATAGGATTTTATATTGAGACTCATTTGCGCTCGATTGCGCTTTAGTGAGCGCCCGCGAGAAGCGTCAGCTTGTCAATTTTTTTCTCCTGAAAATTGA